TTCAGTTTTCCGTGAAACACTCGAGCCAATAAGTCAGGCCTATCAGATGCGACTTGTCCCTCGTATAAATTATCCTGTATTTCTCTCCACTGAGGATTACATGTCATGGTAAGGAAGTATGTTGGTTTTCCAAAGCGCGCGACGATTGCCATGGCATCCTGATAAGACTGTTGCATGGCTCTGGGGCTCCCAATGTGTGAAGATGACAACACGATACGACTTCCCGGAGGCCCATTACTTTCCTCGCCAGCCACATAATCTTGTAGACCCCTATAGGAGTCAGCTCGAAGGTTGACCTGGTGCGTTCGATGGTAGTTTAGGCGATTTTGTTCGATCTTCACGTATGCGTCAACTGCAAATTGTTGGAAGAGTTTTTTTGCGTGGAGAATCGGATTAAAAGTCTCTCGTATTGACAAAAGATATGAGTAGTACTTCATTTGCGTGATGCGCACTCCTCTCCTATCCATGAGGGTAGGATCCCAACCGCCCCTTCCTGTCGGAAATAAGAGGGGATAAGTTAGGGGATCGCATCTTTTGTCAATATCGCTAAGATTCGTCAAAGCGGCGCCTTCTGGCTCACGCAAGTGCACGGCTAACCTTCTTACATGAGGTACATCGTTGCCGTCCCCAACGTAAACAACCGCAACTTCATTGGAAGTTGGTACACAATATCTACCTCGGGAGATGCCTCTTTCTCTATTGTCTTCGAACACCATTTTGATTACTGGCGGCCGCCTGTTTTCACGTCGCGCAGCTTCTTCTTCGGCTTTCTCGACCTCATGCATCATTCTGAATGATTGCGCATAGATGTTATTGCGCACAAACCATTCACTTAGATAAAGCATTAGGTCTGAGTCACAGTTCGCGTTCTGCGCAATCCCTAAGCGCTGTTGAGCAGCCAGTTCAGTGTCCAGTATATAGATCTGTCCGTACTGTCTTTGCTCTTCGTGGTTGGGATGTAGGGGGCCGATTTGATGATAAATTTGACCATGAATCCGAAAACAGTATGGACCCCTTCCCCTGGGCACGTCTACTTGAGCGCCCATGGACGCCATAGCTAGAGCGGAATTAAAGTTTCTGATATTATTGAAAAAGTTGTTTTGACGTTGTCTCATGTTTGGTGTTGCATCAACTGGCAGAAATAATTCTTTTATCTGCACAGGAAAATCGTCAAAAAAGTCCAGGTTAAAGCGTCCATAATCGCAGCAATCACCAAATGTATCAACGTGCTGCTGCTTTACCTCAAAACCGAAATGTAGTGCCCCACAATTAACGCAACGATGATCGAGCTCTCCCAGATAGTTTTCGGTCGTCGTGCGTAATCTGAGTGCTATACCAAGGGTGCGAGCAACATTCCGGCGCCGTCGATTCCCATTAGCCGTTACATCTAACACCTGTTGGCCATCAATTTCGTCTTGTCCAGGGTGACGTTCAGGATTTTCTTGCACCTCTGCCTCTTCTTCTTCTTCAACTTGCCGCTCACGGCGCAGTCTTTGCTGCACTGCATTCCTTCTTCGGCGTTCAAAGCCCTCCTCATCTGTTTCATTCTGCAGCAACCTCTGTTGACGCCGATTCTGCTCTAAAAGACGCTGAGCACGGTCTTCTATGCTTTCAGTTTGGCGTCGCCTTTGCTGCCGCTCAGCATTTTCAAAACGGCGTTCAGCGCGTTCATCATTGCTTTCATTCTGACGACGTCTTTGATGACGTAGTGTGTCCTGGAGAAGACGTGCAGACCGAGTTTCCTCACTTTCAACCGCTCGAGTTCTTCGCTGCCGTTGCATATCCTCAGATCGACGGCGTGCACGCTCTTCGACATTTTCTCCCTCACGTCGCCTCTGTTGACGTTGCGCATCAGCAAGACGTCTTTCAGCACCTTCGAGGAGATCCTCGGCATCGCGACGCCTCTGATTACGCTGAGTCATGGCCATCAGACGGGCAGCTCGCTGTTGCGCATTTTCAACTCCGCGCTCTTCGCGATGACGTTGCGAATCTTGAGTGCGTCTGATAGAGCGTTGCTCTGCATCCTCGTGCTGACGTTGGAGCAGATGACGTTCTGCATCTGCACTGAGCCGCAGAGCACGCTGTCTTTCTCCTTCAATGCTCCGATGATTTCTTTGGCGCTCCGCATCCGATGCGAAGACGCGAGGGCGTCCGCGCCTGCGAACTTCAGGTTGCTGATTTGGTTCCATCACTGATTCAACTACTCTAAATCATGGCTTTTTTTCGACAGTAGACTTTAAATGAAGATGAAGCATCATCTTGAGATCACAAAATATCACATACTGCGCAAAATAAAATTCCACTTCCATTATAAGTAAACACTTTATAATGAGAATTCTATCTCTGGATTTACAAACGACAGTTTTTGGGTTTCCTCATTGACAATTTTAAAATGATCAATTCTATACATAGATTACAACCTTGTAAAAATCATAATATCGTTTGATTTCTGAGAGACAGATTATAATAGTCAGAGTAAACGGATAAGCAGCGTTTAGCTGCAGATTCATTACTCAGCAAAGGATCAGTTTCCGCAAAAAAGATCTTAAGATTAAAAAGACTTTTGATCGTAGGATCAAGCTTTTATAATTGTGCCTATCCTTAAGCGGGGCTTGTATGAAGGCGCATTTTTGAATAGAAAAGTTAGATTTTATGGAAGCTTTCTTCATAACAGCTATGAGCGAATAATGCTCAAAATTAGGCCAGCGACTGACGGCCAGCGTGGTGATATAATGTAAGACCGTGCATGCGCAGCATTTTGCTCTTCTGTGAAGTTCCTTAAGAACCTACCGTTTGGAATAATCGAGTCAAAATGAGATCATCTCATTCAAGACGAAAGGACTTTCCCTTTAGAATAACATGCCTGCAGTTGCAACGCTTGAAACTTGAGGAAAATCAAGTGAATTCGTAAAGGAGAAATGTTACAGTCATAAACTTTTTCTTTAAAAGCACTGTACACGTGCTTGCTTCCACATCCGTCCTGCACTGTGCTTACGAAATCTTGACGCCTGTCGAAGGGATCGTTCAGACCGCGCACAAAGGCGCACGAAGGCGCACGAAGGCGCACAAAGGCGCACGGAGGCGCGTCTTGTCTCGTCTCGTTTATCTCGACACGCACACTCACTCACACGCGCCTTCGTCCGCCTTTGTGCGCCTTCGTGCGCCTTCGTGCGCCTTTGTGCGCGGTCTGAACGATCCCTAACCTAGCACTTTCGCGTCATCAGTTCCTTAAACAGCGAGTGCTGCTTTGAAACACACCAAGCAATAATGACCATCAGTAATGAAATGCTTGAAACTTTTCATTTCAAAAGTTCTAAACAATGAGTTCGGTGAATCCAGATGGAGAAAGCCCCCCAGCCTTAAAAAATTCCTTTTTTGAGTCGGTTACTGAAATCGTAATGACTTTGAATTCTCTGTAATCATAACGGTCGATGTGAGCTACATCCCTGAACAGAGATCTTCTCAGTTTCTTCGGTGGAAGCTTGGAAAATTGATCAGTTACTTCAGTGAACCTTTCTTGCAATATGTTCGGTAAAAATCTACTTTCCTTTGCTTTTCTGGTTAAAATCGACAGCTTGCACAATTGTGTGTCCAGCAATTCCAAAAAATCGCAAAAAATCTAATTTGGAGCCAGTTCGGCAAGTTCCAAGCTGTGTGGATCCGCTTGGTGTGCGGTTTTTGTAGGATAAACGCATTGGATCCGCACGAAATTTTGCATTATGGGTCTAGGTGGTATCAAGGTGCTATGACCCAAATTTCAGCTCAAGACCTTTGCTGGAAGTCGCGCTATGAATTTCGTGACAGACAGACATTCAGACAGACAGACACACAAAAACACGTAAACACCCTTAGCGCGTTATTATAGTAGGATACTCGGCATCGTCCGGTGAGTTTCAATGCCATCATAAAGAATGAATGAGTAAGGCGTACAGAGTAGGACCACAGCGAGCCTCTGCGAATGTGTAAATCATAGCGCAAGCTGCAGCCAAGATTTCGAGCTGATTTTTTGGCTACAGCACGCGAGCAGCACCCATGTTAACTATGTAAAGAAGTGAGCGAATCGCTGAAAATCGCGAGTCAAACGGATCCACCAGGCATTTGCTAAGGCAAAAGATCCTAATGCAAGAAGAGTCTGCAGTAACTGTAAGGCTTTCAACTTGGACATCTTCTAAGCCCTGGAATTCAGCGCAGAGACATAGCGAAAAGTTAATTTCATGCAAAAAGTGGCGTCAAAAAGAGATGACTCAATTGATTGTTGATTTTCAAAGAACTCACTGTATAGGTGGAAATGTAGTGTGCATCTGTTATTGTTCTAATTAGCCAGCATCACATTGATAAAACGGATTCAAAATTACACTAACCATTCACCAAATAGTTTCGCCACGCTAATTTTACCGATTTCACACGAAAACCTCGCAGAATGAATGGTTGCTTACATCATATTCTTCACGATCAGAATTTTCCGGAGAGGTTCAAAGCAGTTTGAGAGATAAGGCAGGGCGCTTCAGCTTGAGGACAAGCATGGAAGCGCAGACTCGCACGGACGATATTAAGGGGGTGCATAGAGCCAGTACCTGCTGTGGGCGTGCTACACTTTGCCTTCCTTAAGAGAAGATGTTGGTCAAAAACTATAGAGTATGACCAGTGCGAGCCTCTGCGAAGCAGAGGTGACGCACTGGTATGTAAATAAAGACAGTACAGAAATACAGAGCTCCTTTGAAAAATTAATCAAAAGTAAATTTTGCACTATTTCGTTCCCGCTCTATGAAAATTTTTGAAAATGTCCTCTTGAAATTTTTCGAGTTCAAAACTTTCTTTGAAATCCCATTTTGCACTATTTCGCATCCATTCTTTGAAAAAAATTATTTGGAAGTTATACTTTTTGCTTTTCCTATTTGTAAAGCCAAAAGTTAGAGACGTGGTGACGAATATTTTGAGCATTTTTTCTAAACGTTTAAAAAACTTGATTGGCCTAGGGTCTAAAAATCAATATTTTACAGAGATGCATGTGGTCTATCGTACTGGGCTCAAACAGAAGAATTGGCTACGAAATACTAGACATGGACTTGGAACAGACTGAAGGCTGTACTACCGATGTTCTTTCAATCGTAAGTACTTCTATGGAAAATTTCTAAGCTGGTTTTGCTCAAATTCTCTTTCCAGTCTCCGCGTTCTTCACAGTTCTCCGTACACCATAAGAAGGAATCGAGTTTCTGTGGTCCATTTGACTCACTAACGACTCGCAATGGAACAATGCAAAATGGCCGCATTTTTATTAGATACACTAATGCAGAGGCAAAGAATAAGGTTCGCTAGCAAAGATTTCTGCCCTTCTTTTGAACTACATGTTTTAGGGCTTCAAAATGCGCATTTTCGAAATTTCTGAGGACTGCAGTTCCGAAAACTTGTTTGTAGACGAAAGTGAGCCTAGCAAGGTTCTGGCTACACCTCGTTATCCTGGAAGTAAGTTCAATTTTCATTCATAGTTGTTGCGCCAACGTCGTGCCGGCGTCGTGCTAGCGTGCTAGCGCTGCGTAATGATCGATCGCCACGTCAGCACGGTTCTGGCACGGTGCCAGCACACAAGTTTTGCTGGAGCAGCAGGCAACTCTAAACGCAGCTCAACGGTGTGATTTTTGTACTGTTAAAACCTTTTACAGTGATACCACATTCACTGGACTGTCAGTACACTTTGCGGGCGCCGAATGGACATCGGCTCAAATTTACAGTTGATCCGGAGAAATTCAAAATGGAATCTGCCGATGACGAGTGGGTTTTTATAATAAGACTGAAAATAATTTTTATTATAATAGAAGAAAAGTGCTAAGAAGTAATTGGTGAGCCAGCCAATAGAGATGTGACGAGGGACGGAGTTTGAGGCCTTCTTTGAACAAATCTAAATTTTTTGAAAAAAGCTAGATTGAAGATAGAAATAATTTACAATTGATATGTAACAAAAGAAAACGTTTTTTTTTCATGAGGAAAATTTTTTCACGGATTTCAACAATTTTGTTGCTTCTATGAAAAATGTTAGCGATCATTTTAGGTGCGGCTGCGATGAATGTGATTGGCTTGAAATCCGTGACGGACCTACAGGACATGCTCCGCTCATTGGCAGGTAAGCGTAAGTTTCGTCATGATTAGTGTGACTGCACACTTTTGAATGAATTCCACCAGCGCAAAACGATAGAGTAGAAAAAGGTTAATGATGTATTATAAGACTGGAAAATTGTGTCTGGGTGGCAATTATTGCATCATCAGCACTTTCAGATACTGTAACATCTATGCACCATCCACAATATATTCTACGGGAAACTTCCTGTTTGTACGAATAAGAACGGATTCATATGCTGCCAGCAACGGTTTCACAGCTGCCTACGAACTAGGTATGTGCGAAGGAAATGGAGCGCCACTTCATTGGCTGGTTACGGTAGCGTTACTGTAATCATGCGAGTCTTCTTTTAAGCATCCTGCGGTGGTACTGTAGTGCTTCGACCTGGAATCAACCAGACACTGACATCACCGAACTATCCAGACGTCTATCCACTTAAATCTGAATGTGACTGGTCTGTACGAACACCGAATAGTCACATGGTGGAGGCAAAGTATGAATTTATGAACTTTTCAGAAAAAAGCATGGTGAAATTTGATTTTGAAAGGCATAAGAGTATTCTTTGTCGTAAAATTTAAAAGAAAATCGATCTGATACGTGAATACCATCATGCTACTTTTATTTTCCAAAACTGTCTGATTTGCTATCCCAGTGGCTAAATATTTGGCAATAAGAAAACAAAGATGGGCGGAGTCATCCATTCGGTGTGGAAAGGGGCGGAATTAGCCTGCCAGCAACACGTCAATATTTCATGATACTTTACTTCATGATATCATGATACCTTGAGTCAAAAATGGTCTCAAAATAGAAAGAACATTCAAATGAACTGGACTAACCAACACTTCCTAGAATACTACACATGGGTCTCACATGGAATGTCAACTGTTCCACGGATAGCCTAGCAATCCGTGATGGAAACAAGACAGGTAGGAACATGATTGTGACCCCTCCTCTTTATTTTTTGTAATCATTTTTTAGCCCCGTACCTCCTTGAACCTCAGTGCAATGGTCGCTATCTCAACAAAGTTGACTATCGCTCAGCTAGTAGCGAAATGACTGTGCAGTTTAGGTCAAATGGGACTATTCAGGTACAGAAACAACTCAAACTTCACGTAATATCTCGTACGTTCTCTGTTCGTAAAACCTGGGCATTAGGTCATATATTCAGTAGCTTTCTTTGCCAGAAAGTTTTGATATAGATAATCATGTTATTTATTTATTCAGGTGGTCTGGAGAATATTTCTCACAAGTAAGGGGCCTGACAATGGGTCAGAGACTAGCACCCGTGCTCGCCGTATGCTTTATGAGCAAAATAGAAAAACCGGTGCTGTCTAGAAATCCACTTATGTACTGCAGGTACATAGACGAATGCTGTATAATAACATCGATTCAGTCCGAAATGGACGAGTGCTTTGAAGTATTGAATCAGCAATCTCAGTACATAAGATTCACGAGAGAGAAACCAAACGAAGGTTGGTTGCCATATCTAAACACCCAACTGATGTTGACCACTGGCGCGGTACGAATAAAATGGTATCGCAAAGCAAGCTGTAAGAACATCCTTCTACATGCCAAGTCCGCTCATCCGATTGCCGTTAAACGTGCTGTTTTGCGTAATATGTTTCAAACGACAACTAACATCTGTAGTGGCGAGAGTGAGCGACAGGAATCTCGATTGCTGGCGTCCGAAATAGCAGCATCAAACAGCTACTATTCGACAAAGTCTACACGCATTCGAAGAACAACTGCGAGACCAAATGACAGATCTGGCTTGATTCCTTTCAGCTTACCATTTATATCAGACAGGGTAACCCACGCTATACAAAATTGTTTGGTGCAAGCCCAGCTAGAACGTGATGTCGTTCTCGTTAATATACCACGGAACAACATCAGAAAGCAACTTGTGCGTAACAGATTGTACGACATAGCTTGCACTTCTCCATGCTGCGTCATTTGCCCTTACGGAAAGCCGGGGGAATGCGCAAGATCTGGAGTAGTCTACGAATTAGAATGCTTAGACTGCCATGCTACATATATCGGCGAGACCGGGCGACCACTCTTCATACGCATAAACGAGCACTTGGCGAGTAAAAAACGGGGAAACGCAACGGCACCGCTGGGAAAACTTAAAAAAGTTGATCATGGCGGCAATGATTTCAATGTTAAGTGCGTTGTATTAGCTTTAGAGACAAAAATATCTGCCCGTAAAGCCGTGGAGGCGTCATTCATTCTATCCAGGGAGCCCAAAATGAATGGCAAAAATGAACAACTCTCTATCACAAGTGATCTCATGCCGTTCCTGTCATATTGCCAGCTATAATGCCCACTATATAAACAGATCCTTAAAAGGACCACGTTTATACTCTTGTCATCTCTGGGTGAGGCTGGGCACTGCTTTCGAAGCACATTATCAGCGTGACCCCTGGTGAGTTGTTAGTGAGTTGGATACTCGTTGATGTACACTTAAAATGAATTGAATAGTCGAGTCTAAGGCCCGTATGCACGTACATCCCCGCTGGGGAGGGGAGGGGAGCTGGATCCCCAGGGGAACGATCCCCTCCGCCGAACCCCGCCATGACAGAGGGGAGGGGAGCGATCCCCTCCCCTGCACCTAAGCGGGGATGATGTGAATGGTTTCAGAGGTATTGATCGAGCGAACCCCAGTGCATACGGGGTTCAAATGGGGGAGGGGATCCCTTCCCTTCCCCCACTCGAACCCCGTATGCGCGAATTCAACTCAATAACGCGGGGGAGGGGATCGACATCCCCTGCAACGAAGTAGGGGTTCGATGGTGTAGATCATGCCGGAGACGCGGATATTCTGGTTCTGCTCAGTCATTACCAAGCATTTCGTTCATTTTGACGGAGGATTTTCTTTGAAAGCCGGGTTCTTCTCTCAGCGACCTGTGGCTTGCAATTTGTCTTTCTTTTCTATATTCGCCTCTTGAGAAGAAATCCGAGCAGTAATTGCAGCCAATTTCGATTATTTGTAGGAGTTCTTGATCATTCAGAAAATTTGCGCATTTTTCATGTAACATAATAGTTTTAACTATATAGGCTGAGTAAACACTTTGTAACTTTCATATTTCATGACATATTGCCATTATCTTGTTATTTTAACATAAGCTGCCTCGAAAAAATCTAGAAAGTAGCGCATTTGCCTATTTCTGAGTAGAAATCCCCTGGGGAGTGATCCCCTCCCCAGGGTTCCCCTTGTGCATAGCAGGGATGGCCCCTGGGGATCATTCCCCTGGGATGAAGGACGATATGCTGTTGATAGCTACAGCGTTTATGGAGAACTGGCACAATTTGCCGCTTCTGTTATGTGTTAAAATACTGCTTTGAGCGTCCGCGCGGCACCCCCCCCCCCCTTTTCGGCAGCATAATGTCTTCTACCCATTCCCTTGCAGAGACACATCAACTTCTATAGTTCAACATTTTTACGCTGAAATGGGGCAGCATGAGCGAAAGTGGGCAGCATCCAAGAAAGCAGGAACATAATGGGAGTAGAAAAAATCATTTTTAGTGCCCCGAGCGCAGTCACTGCATACGCGCATTCCGCAACCCTAATTTATTGAAAGTGATGAGATGAAGATGAGTTGCAGTCAAAATATGAAATAAGAAAGAGTTTTTTATAGAAAATTTGAAAGCAAGGTGGTTACCCCGCTTGATCCCCTCTTGTGCATAAGGGGGTTCACTTCCCCTCCCCACAGGGGATCCCTTGTCCGATATTGTCTTTGTGCATACGGGGGTTCGCGCGGGGAGGGGAGGGGATCCCCAGCGGGGATCATTTCAATGGTTAAGCGCACATCCCCTCCCCGCGGGGATGTACGTGCATACGGGCCTAAAGGAGAGGTTTGGCCGTTTAAAGTGCAAGATTAAGGTGAATGACTGACTTTCAGGCCTCTGAGGAAGGCATTATTGCCGAAACGTCAGGCCGAATAAAACATTTATATCAAACCTGTCTGGCAAAGAAAGCTACTGAATATACAACTCAAACTTTTCTACCGTAACCATAAAAAACGTTTTTTAGAAAGCCGGTCGACAACTGTGTAAGGATAAGAAATGTGGATTTGAGATGATGCTACGAGTTAGCAATGAATGTGAGAAAGTACTTATTTCTATCACAATCAGCAATATGGGTCATTTTTCAGCTTGTGGTGGAATCATTACTGACCAGGAGGGTCAGCTTACAACTCCAGGCTACCCAGGCCGATTACTGCCCCATGTCAGGTAAGAAAAGATATTTCTACAAATTTCTTTTTCCAAACGACCTTTCAGATGCGAATGGGAGATGCGTGCTGGCATTGGCTATCGTTATCTATTATCTTTCGAATTTTTGGAAGATCGCGATGTCAGTTGACATTTTTCTATGGATCTATACCTTCTGTGAATTTTCTCATTCTAGGGTTTCTACCAGAAAAGGTTCGGTGGCGAAACTGATGGAAAAGGATGTTTTGCAGATTTAGTGGTTAGATATAATTTCGTAATGTAAGGCAGTATCTCGACGTAAAACCAAATTTTTCAGTTCTTCAATGGCAAACCGAAACATGAAGCGATAAACTATAGAAATGATCGGCTTTTCTGCGATTATAGGAAAACATTTGTGAGCGAAGCGGATCTGTTGACTGTGATGTGAGTTGATTCACGGACAAATATTTTGAAGCACAAACAAAAAAAAACAAAGTTTCGATAAACGGTTGTAAAATCACTTGTCGTGGCTGTAGGTGCACATTCTACATAGACCATACCATACTCAGAAATTTTGCGTCAAAAGGGAGTTTTTTGCTGTATATAAGACTGCTTAGGGCTCGTAGGTGGGACCAACGCAACGCCATCAAAGCCTGTGAGTCGCGAGCATTGTCGCAATGACTGATTATTGATTTATAACTCAAAAGCATCATTATTGCACGCTCCTGAGGATTTGGTGGTTTGCTAGAATTCGAGGCATTGGATATGTTCTAATCTTGTTCAAATTCTTTTAATCACCTTGGAACAATTGAAATTTTATACTCTGAGTGGATAGTTTTCAAAAATTTCGAGTTTCTTTCTTTCAGTTTTCTTTTCCAGTCGAATAAATGTGGAAACTGTGTAATTTTGCGTCTTTCAGCTATTCGGACTCGTACACCAAGCATTACATAGGTGTTACGGATGACTCCAGTGTCAATGTGTACTATGTTCCGTTCCGTGTCAACTACACAAAGGTTGAATTTTCTATTTTATTACTTGAGAACACAAAATGATTATAATGCTGTAGGTTCCCGCAGATTATGATCAAAATGGCTGTGGTATGCTTATTTCGAAAAATGACACCGTAACTTTCGGTAATTACACATCTGGGTCGGCTGATGGCGTTCGTGAGTACAAACCTCAAACTAGTCTGACTTCTCTCTAAATTTGATGTCTAGGGTATTGTCATGCACTCCTTCGACGTCCAGCCGGATATCAAACAACTCTATTGGAAATTACAGAGTATAGCGAGAATAGTGTGCTAAGTCTAGCTGAATGCTCGGATTGGTCAAATTCGGTCATGCTAGAATGTGAGTATTGATTCTATTGATTTTTTTGAGCAGTGTTTGGTTTTTGTGAACTCTGTGATGATTTTTCAAAAAGTTTTGTTGAATTAGATCATCTAGTAGGTATTCAAAGATCTAGGCTCTTTTGCACACACTACCGTAAGCCACCGTAGTCTCGCGCGCCTTTGTGGAGCAAAAGTTGCTTAGGTCACGTACACGTGCAAAGTACCTTCGAAATCGAATCTTTGCGGGCCACGTAATACCACAATGCACTTTGCTGTCACTGTTATAAAGTTGTTCGGTTACGGTAGCATACTTGAGCGGTGCAAAAAGCCGTTTTTGGAACATATGTCAATTTTTGCTGCAACTTTCGCTCGGAATTGTATTTTTAGCCACAATCGACATTCCTCGAGTAGTGAACGAACGATTTTGCAAAGCTTCCTTCATGAACTCATCCAAACCAATCACTCGGCTGTACCTCAATCAAGATCTTGAAATCCACGTCTTCTCTATGCAGTCAGCATTCATGCCGGAGGAAGGCCTTTCATTCACATTGAATGTGCAGTATTACGGTAAGTTTACGGTACCTGTTCTTTGGCTAGGTTACGTATCTTGGGTATTCAGAATGTGGTGGAATTGTCAATAATCCGAACAGTGGAGTGATTACAAGTCCGAACTTTGGCGAGGGTCGCTTATATCTGCGAAATTCGCATTGTATGTGGATGCTTGTGGCACCGGAAGGAATGATCGTCAAGGTATTGTTGATTTTTTTGTTCGGGAGAATTTTTGAAGAGTGGGACAGGTGGGACAGGTTCTTTTTTCAAGTATTCGAGGTTCTGCACTTTATTGATAAGTGTTATTTCCAAAAATACATGGACATATGCAGTTCTGAGTACTGAATAAAACAAACAGTAGATCAAAGTTTCTCGGTAGCCATTCAACTCGCAGTAAATGCACAGCTATTACTTCTTTCCGTACCATCCCCAACCACCAAGTCCGTAACCAAGTCCGTAACCCCATCCACCGTATGACCAACCGTTTCCCCAGCCGTAACCATAGCCGCAACACTGAAAATTTAAATTTTACTATATTGAATTGCCATCTTGAAGGAGAAAATAGAGAGCTTACGAGGTAGGCATCATTTTCGACAAACATTGTAGAAAGCAGAATTAGTAGGACGAGGAGAATGCTGAAAATGAGAAAGTAGAGTTGTGAAATCAAATATAAATAGGAATTATTTTGGTACACAGTTCTAACAATGTTCTTATACCCTAAAAATATTATAATGACACAAAGAAACAAAGGGACCCGGCTAAAAAGGGTTTATGATATATCATGAAATTTCTTAAAATGAAAGTTATTCAGAAATAATCAGTTTTTTGAATGAATTATTACTTAGATTTGCCACAAAAAAACTGTTATAGTTCTAAATATTTTTGTATCACTGATCTTTCTAAGCGGATGTAAAGTCGAAAGTTTTGAATTCGTAGAACTTATACCGTAATCTTGATTCATAAAAAAAGGATCCAGGCGGAATCGAGTAGCCTTTCACCAATCCACTACCAGCGTGTGTCTATCCGTATGATCCGTACCCATGTGATCCGTTTATATCTTCGGAATTCATAAATTATCTTCCAATACCGCTCAGAATGCTTGAGAAAAGTACGGTATTGGGCTAAAATCGTACTTCTTGGTCACGAATGTATAGTTTATTCCTCAAAAATGTTACCATAGTACCCGTTAGCTGGCTGCCTTTCGGTCGTTTTTAACGTTCATCTAATAAAAAGCCTTGAAGCTGATAAAAAGCCTTGATTTCAACTTGTTAAAAAGAGCGAAAGGCAGCGACCCATTCATCTCTGAAAGGCCGTCTGGATTCATTTTCAGCACAAGTGAAATTTGCTTTCATCTAATTACGGTATGAAAGAAATACAGCGTTTACGAAGCTCAAGTCTGAACTAATGTTTCTTAAAAAGAAAGTCGCCAACTTACAACTTCGTTGACATCATATTTGGAAGGAGTAGTGTTGGCGGGGGTGATGTCTGTTTTTAACAGCTCCTTAAATACTCTCTGGAACCATAAGTTTTTATCCTTGGGACTACAGACACTTCTACTTGTAACACTCTTTCGATAAAGTAAACAGTATGAAGAGTCATATTTACTCGAAGCGGTGCTGTCTAGTTCCTCAATGGGTGAATTGGTACCTCTTTTTGATTGATGATCTTCTAGTCGTGTAACGGCCGCGTCGCAGAAACAGAAGCGTAATTTGTTTCGTTGCGAAATGATTTGTTTCTTAAAACCAGTAATTTCGGCCATCACTTGACAGAGAAAATAACGGTGCTCCATCCTTTTGCAAGGATAGATTTTTTATGCATCCCTTTTGTTTATCTCTTTGTCGGGATCAATTACTGAGCTGTCCCTGTTTTTTTCGCACTACTTTCTCGGCAACAGGTTGAAAAAATGAGTGGTAGACCTGTGTACATAAGAAACACAAGCCCTAGAATTTCCTCTTTGAGGAGGCGGAGTTGAATTTGTACTTACAGAAATCTGTTTACCAGAAAGGGTTAGAGGACGGATTTCCAAAGATCATTGAGTTTCAAAATAAGAGTGAAGATTCTGTTGATCTTATTTTACTGATTTCATTGATTGTTCTCCACAATCAAAGGTGAAGTGTAGTAATGTTAGCCAAGCTCTCTCAGATTTTGTTATCTTGTAGTGTATACCTACAGCAGATTACTGTCTTTTTCTCTTCCACAGCTCCAGCAACTTTCAACTGGTTAGCGTATGTGATAGCTGGCACCATCGAGTATGAATCATAATTGAGCAATTACATATTGCCGGAATATATATTTTTATATTTCTTTTTTTTACATTCTCGGTGCAATGCACTAGGATGTTGTGCCTACATTTGACTATGTCGGACTACTCTCTATAAACTCACACAGCAGCCCAACCAGACTCGATCCTGGGATCCAGGCAGTGGCGGTCCCACGGTTTCCGTCCGGGTAGGGGGGGGGGACAAAAAATGCTTTCTAATAAAGTGCGTGGCATTAGCCACGATCTCTGAAAAATTATGGGATGCTTCCCAAATTTTTGCGAGTTTCAGAAAAAAGGGGCGTGACGGCAGCCACACCCCAGAAAAATCTTTTTGCAAGACTTATACGAAGTCTCAAAAAATTTAGAAAATTATTTCAATTATTTACAACTATAGACAAGTCTTTTGCACATTTTAACCCATGTAAGTACCTTCCAAAAATTTTGCGACCCGATCTCGTGGGGGCGGGGGGGGGGGTTGGAGGGGGGGGGAAGGAGCCCTCGATCTGCCACTACCTGCTAAATTTCACACTCAGATGTATAAAAAATGACAGACGACTATGTTTAAGAGGGTAGAAACGTCGCTACCCTCCAACAGTCTTTCCGCGAGCCCAATTAGCTTAAAATCTCTGCTAGTTGTCTCCGGTAAGATCAAAATATCGTCTGCCTTATCTCTTTATCACCTGTAGCAGAGGTGTTAACCCATTGACGACGATGTGGACCACCGATGGCCCACGCTCTTTTGACGCCAGGGAGATGTGGACCACCGGTGGCCCACGCTCTTTTGACGCCAGGGAGATGTGGACCACCGCTGGCCCACACCCTTGGCAAGATCATATCCTTTCCAGGTCTAGCTAGTATTTTTCCATAGTTCAGCATTTTTCCATTTTTTTGCGTTTTTGGAACTTGCAGACTTCGTCGTACAAGAAGATGGCTGTAGTTGTTTACAAAACATTTTTGCATTTCGTAAATATTCACAAAACTTTCCCGCGCCAAAAGTTTGTGTATCGCGTTGTCCCACGGAGCCGCCACGCAGAATTAGGCGTCGTCGTAAATGAGTTAAGATTTTCGTTTTATGGTTTATCTCTAGGGCTAAAGTTCGTAGACTACAAGAATCCCCTATCTTCCCGTATTTTCGAACAGAGGCGCGATGTTCCATACGCAATGTCCAATTTTTTCGGTCTTCTCTTCAAATGTAAGCAAATGTTTGGTAACTTTTACATGATCGCCGCCTGTGAGTCATCTATAGTACTAAAAAGAAGGCATTGGTTTTTTTTTGTCTGTTTGGTGGTAATACGCACTGAAGTTGGTTTGTTGAGTAATGCAAGGCGGAAGTGTTGAAGGGCAAACACTTTGAGTTTCTGTGCAGAAAAGGTTCTGGGGTAGCTTATGAGTCAAGGAACAGGTTGAGTTACATGAAGGGAGGTTCATGAGCGCCAGCTTGGTAAGTCTGGGTATATTTACTTGGTTGGATCAGGAAGATACCATAGGTTTGTTGACTCCATTGTCCTGCATTTACAACTGGTTTTTGAATTTCTTGAGCTAGCTTACCATAAAATCTTTTACCATACATACTTGTGAACCTAACATCCTTTTCTCCTTGCAAACTCTGAACGTTTGTCAAAATTTATTATAATTAAGGTTCTGGCTCAGATTTTGCAGCCTCCACCAAATCATCGTTTTCATCTCTCAGTCCGGCTTCTCTCTTGTAAACACAACCGTAATCACAGCCGAAATCGTAATCAGGTACTAGGACAGGTACCACTGGAATTGGTGGGGGCAGTATCAGCGGATCTGGTCCGAATGGCCCGAGAATTCCTTCATATCCATAGGGAGGTGGAACGGGTGGAGGGATGTACTGAAAGAGATAATATAATAATAAGTGTAAAATTTTGGATTTTTGACTTACAAAGGCATGGGATGTAGCCAAGAATGTGTATAAGATAGCGAATGCTGGAATCCTAAAATACTATGATTTCACCAATGGGTTCTCATAACAAAATTAGGTAAATAATTCGAAATAAAATAACTAATTTGAAAAAAGATTTGACGATTTATTTACTTAGATAGTAGAGGCTTCGAAAGTTTGAAAAAGACATGAATTCAGAGCTTTTCACAAAAATAATGACAAAATCAAGTATGATATTGACCAGTCAATAGTTCATATCCAATTTGATGTTGGTCTTAATAATTGTAAAAGCTGAGCGTAGAACTTACATTGTAGAATAATGCGTGACCCTTGACTATCACATCATGACGCTCCTTTTATGTTATTGCTCCACGGTTTTGCATAGTTGACCTCGGGCAGCTTTACAAATATTTTTTGAATTCGTACCATTCGCTCGAGGTCGCACAATACACAGTCATCGCTGCAGTCATCTGTGCTTACAAACGCATGATAGAATTGTGAAGAGCTGTTTATTCTCCTTATTATTCCAAAGCTTTTGATGCAGTGCTTCAGTTGCTACAATGAGCAAATAAAACGTGAAAGAATAATTGAAATATTCATATCAAAGAAAATCGAGTTAAGTACAAGTTATCTGTCTTTGTAACATGATGAGGTTGATTATCAGTGAAGAATTGAAAATTAAGGAAAGTAGTCGTTTTTAGAATTTGTTTTTATGTCCATTTGTTTGATTTCCTCTCTAACCCCCACCCCCCCCCCCCCAATTCCACTAAACAACAATATGAAGAAGTCGGTGGATAATGATTCACTTCATCGGTCAAAAGTTTGAGAACATTGGCGCAAAATCTGCTACTTTTTAGTGGTGTACTAACGTTTTCATCATCCTCTATACAGTTTTTCTCCTTCTAATCTGGTTTTAGGCAAAATTATTTACAGACTTTTGATGGTTCTCGAAGTTCTAAGGTCCAAGTATACGAGATATCTAAACATAACTACACTAAAACTTCGCTCGCAAGAGCTGAATTTTTTGGAGAATCGATGTTTCTCTCTGTTAAAAAAATCAAGGCTGTAACGCAACCCTGGTTGTCATTTTCATGATGAGTAAAGACTATAGGTTCAGAATACTGGACTTCGAGTATACATTGTCGGAGACAATTTCCAACACTCGCTGGAGCAGACTACAAAACTCAGATTCATAACTCTTCTGCTTTTGGCATGCAAGCCTAAATCAGAACTCAGCTGGTAGTGGTGTTATCGCGAGCATATAAGCCTATCAAGAGTGAACAATGATCAGAAACTGATTGATTTTTTGAATGTAAGTGAGCTCTTGAGGCGACCTTCCTTGATTCTCCAAAGATAATTTACCAATCTTCTGCAATCGAGCATATTAGGTACTTCATAAAATCAAATGAATATTTTTGCATTCGAAACTACTTACATTTATTACCATTAACAGCTCAAAATTGTCCACTAAAAATAGTGTTCTTCATTTTCGATGGTCCCCATATCTTTGCCTTTATGATGTAGCTTGGAGTAAGTTAAAAATTATGAAGAATTTTGTTAACACTTGAGCCTCCTCGGGTAGCGAGTGTCAGTGCTTTGTAAAGCTGGAAAAAATTCATGAGGAAACTATGAAATAGAATCTTTATTAATTTTTCTGTCGTAAAATTCAGTGTTGTGGCTGTGCTTGCTGCATTTGTGGCTGCATTTGTGGTTGTTGTTGTTGGTATTGTGGCTGTTGTTGTTGGTTTTGCTGTGGACCAAAACCGGCTTCTCGCTTGCCATAGTAACCGTAGTATGATGGGTAATAGTAGGATGAGTAACCGTAGTATGGGTAACTGTAACCGTATCCATAACCGCCATAACCGCCATAGCTGTAGTAGGGCGAATAGTACTGAAAAAGAGGATTGTCGATGAAGGTGCAGAAGGATACTGTGTAGGTACTGTGTGGGTACTGTAGGAATTGTAAACTTACATATTGAGCATCGGATTCAGCAACAAAAGCGCAGAGCACAACAAGTGCGATGAGGAGAACGCTGGAAAAATTTGTACTGATATTTTCCAAAAGAAAGGAGTGAAGAGAAACTTACAGCTTTGCAGAAGGCATTTTTTAGAGGAGGAGTGAAGTGAGTGACTGAAGTGTGAAAAAACGGTCTAAATGATCGTCTTATATACCGCATAGTATCTGTCAAACGCTTGAAGTAGTTCTATTTGCTCAGCATCTTTAACTCACTCTCGTTCACGGCTATTGCAAATAGTTACTTTTTTCTGCGCCCCGCATTCCTTGCCACCCCTAGGAACAAAAGTTCACGGGTGTGGCAGGTGATGGGTGATTTTTGACCTGCCGGAGAAGTTCGAATTTTACTGTCGCGTTCAAATTCGGCGGAAGAGTCTATTGTGGTGTTTGGACGGCGAGATCTGAATCTTTTCGATGTATGACCCAACTCCACAATGAAATTGAAAGTTTCAGACTCTTTCACCCCCCCCCCCCCGCCCCTCCCGCGCGCTACCCCTATTTTTCTCGCTACAGTTTTGTGGCACCAGTTGATGAAGTATCCCAATTCTCATCTACTCCAAAATCTCTTTGCCCGGTCAGAAACACTTCGTCCCGATTATGACGTAATTCACTATTTACACAGATGCGCTAAGAGTACGCAAATTTACAGAACTCTGTCCACATGCACAAAAAATGCCATATTGTCACCTAAAAATCCTCGATCTTCTTTCCATTGCTTGCGCAGTTCAAAGACTTCTAAACCAATCGGAACTTTACTCATTTTTGTGAGAATAACAGGTTTCATAAGGTCGAACCTACTACAAGTTCAAGAGTTGAGTTTACATACTGCGACTAGAATCCTTGTGACAGCTTTCAGATGTCAAGATTCATCTAAAACTTATATGAAAAACCTTTGAATAGGTATGTGTACTTACAGAAGGCAAAGGATTGTATAGGATAGGAAGCATCTTACTTTTTTTTTGATCTGGGAATTGCTTGTTTACTATACAGCAAGTGAAAAGTAGTTTCAACTATAATTGAGAGTACAGGTATACCTTCAAATTTTTCGACTTAGCGTTAATCAAAAAGAAAACAACAGCTGTAAGCTAAGTAGACTAATCAGAGTTTATCTTATTGCTTCAAGGTACTTTTTACCCGCATGAAAGCTAGTCAATATAATAGAATTAATTTGAATCGCTTCAAATCCTCTTGCAGATATTTTTTACCCACATATAAGCTATGAATTTTCTTCTAAGTTACACATTCATCCCGTAACATGCTTCTTACAAACATGCTTCTATAACTTATCACGCTTGCTCTTCTTTTCCATACTGTCGCTTTTCGATCATTCTATTTGCGGAAAATTTACGTGAACTCTGACACTTCGCGGATCGTATCAAACTCGCGTTGTTTACTATTGCTTTTCGATCAGGTAGCGAATTCTCGCGCGTACGGACAAAGCTGCGAATTGACATTAGTTTGTCACCGACTGGATAAGTTAAACATTGCAACTTCGACGAGGTTCGGCAAATATGCCAATCCGTTGCGAATCGGTTGAAGATCAGTTTTCGAAGCAGCTCCTGCCACACCCATTGTTCACTATGAAAGTTTTCAACGGAAATAGGTAGTGAGAAAAATACGTATGTATCCGAATCGTTTGTAACTTAATATGTGAATCTGCACACTATGCACGGCAACCGACGACACCCTTTTAGTAACTCCTCACTATATAACTTTTTTAGCGAAACAAACTGTAGAAGTGAGTATTACCAACCGAATCGTATCCAATGAAATGAAAAGAGTCAAAGAAACAAGGAGGAATCAGTGGAAGTGAACAGATTTTAACCTTACAAGACGTCAAGTAGGCTGCACGGTGTGCAATACGTATATTGAGTCACAAATGACTTTAAACGATATGTTATTTTCAGTTCTTCTTTGGTAGCAAATTTGTGGTGGTGGGAGTAGAAATTTTGCAGCTGAGAGCTGGAAAATTGGATAAACCAGTTAGGAAAACTAAAAAATGAAAAGGACCGGAAGAAAGTGGCCAGAACCATATCGAACCAAATTGTATGAAGCGTATTTTTGAGGAATTGTGAGGTGGCAATGTTCCAAAAATATGTTTCATACCAAAAAATGAGGAAAAAATGATAACCTGAGAAAAAGTGGACTATTTCTAGACTACAATCACTGACATGGATGTCGAGCACAATGCACTTTGCGATGCTGACGTGCTTATAGTCGGAGAAGGTGGGTGACATAGTCCATCTCTGAACAAATCTACAGTAACTCTTTCGTTGTAGGACCCGATAACGATGTAATTCACCGATACTGCAATCGAGAAAGGCGCTACGGTAATGAGACAGAAGATGAGCTGCTAAAGGAGAGGTTCAAGGTTTGTGCATTTTTTACATTGATTCGAGAGAATTCTTCCATGTTTGTTTAGGTCATAAAATCTAAATCGCGCTACCTGACCCTTACCTGGACCACAGATTTTAGCAGTGAATACCGTGGTTGGCGTATTGACTACGAATTCATACCAGAGGGATCAGGTATTTTTCTCCCCCCCCCCCCTCCCACCCCCTAGAAATTTTGGTTGAGTGAAAATGTTTAGAATGTGGATTTACTACACATGCAATGTCTGGAGTAGTGCATTCACCTGGTTGGCCTAAAGACTACGGTAACGATGAGGAATGCATATGGGATATACAAGTAGGGAAGGAAAAGTTCTCAAAGGCTTTTGGGATATCTTGACTCATGGTTTTAGGTCCCACTTGGATATCATATCCATCTTCAATTCACACACTTTGACATCGCACCATCGGAGGATTGCGCAAAGGATGCCCTCATAGTGAGTTTGGTTAATTGTACTTGGAAATTCTGTTCGGGAATTATGGTAACTCGCTAGTATGAACAACTTTTATAAGATCTACAGCTCTGCAAAGCTTACGCTTGTTTTTCTACTTCTATATTTTTCAATGCAAAGTCTCGATCTATGCTTCACGGAATCAAGAGTACAAAAGTCCTTTTTGGACTAAAAAATGCTGAATAGGCGTCGCTCGAGCGACTAATCAACCAATACCCGGACAGACAGCGCAACGGCGCCAAATTTTCTAGAAAATCGTTCTCAATGGTACAGTATTTTTTGCAAAAACTGAAAATTGCCATAAATGGTGCAATGTGATGTTTCCAAACCAAGTAGGAGTATAAAAACGCCTAGAAAATCAATACTGTGCTAGCAGCCAAGAATCGTGTGTCCTCATAGTTTACAGCAAGAAGTTTGAATATCTTTAGATTTCCCAAGAACACTCATCCCGAGCCTTTGCACCCATTGGTGACTACTTCTTCTTGTTCGAAGATGAAGAAGCTCATGCACCACTTTGCGGGATTACTCTACCAAAATCGTTCCGTTCTGAAAGCAATAGAATAAGGTAAGGTAATTTAGCACTCAATTACTTCACTAAATTTGTGATTTTAGGCTCAATTTCACAAGCGATGAGTCGACCACTGCGGCAGGTTTCCGTGCCGAATGGAAAGCTGGTAGCTTAAGCAGCATTAATCACTTTGAAATTGAAAAAATGGTTTCTTTCAGAATGTGGCGCAGTTTTCCGCCTATCAAATGGAGTAGTATCATCGCCCAACTATCCTGATCACTATCCAAATGTAAATCAACGCTGTGAATATATGATAGCACCAGAAGGCGAACTCGATTCTGTAATTGCACTAAAATTAATTGACTTTGATCTGTCGGACTCGAAAAGTGAGCGCGATAGTTATTTTGTTGACCAAAGTCATTTTCAGTCATGATTTTTTTTCAGTGGATTACTCCCGCTCCCCATGCGCCAGTGATTATCTGGAAATTCGAGATATTACGAACAATAGGGTTGTTATTGTATATTGTGGAGGAGACCCTCTGAGTAAAGAGCCGATCGCTATTAAGGTAAACTGAGATTTTGAAATGCTCAAAATAGTCCATAATCGAAGGAGTTTCCATGAAAAACGAATTTGTATTTTATGAAAGAAGAGGGGCCGTCTCAAGCCTTGGCCAGGCTCAAATCGGTAATCAATCGAGCCAGTAAGGGTTAAAAAATTTTCAGTTACGAAAATGGGCCCGTCTCCCTGACTAGGGGCTCTAGAATGGGCCATCCATGCCCCTATCCATTCCTTCAGTTTTCTGCACACTGCCTCCGTGTTTACCCCAATCCCCCCTCCCCCCTCCTCCATTGCCGAAAATGAATGCTTAAGATACATTGGTGAATAAGTTGTAAAATTATGCAATAAGCGTGTTTCTCTTTGCAATCAATCAATACATTTTTACATCCCAAATTCGGGGGCGTGGCTGTCACGCCTATCTAAAAACCTCTGCTTCCCCATTTTCTTCCGGAGAAAATTTGAAGACAATAAAAGAAAAATAAAAATCGCGTTATTTTCCAGGGAGCCGTTGGTATCACCTTTGTTACGAACCAATCTTATATCCATGGTGCTAAAAAATTACAAAGAGGTTTCCAAATAACCTATGCAATTGACAGTGGGTTTTGAAATTTCTTACTTAGGGTGAATTGTTCCTCAAAATTCAAATCCAGAGTGTGGTGGTAATATCGAACTGACGGAGGAAACTGGCTATTTTACAACTGTCACATCTCCAGCATTCCCATTAGACTATGCTCATAATCTGGACTGCGTCTGGAATGTCACTGCTCCACAGGATCGAGTTCTTTCTGTTAAGTACGTCTTTTTCTCGCTTGTTTTGGGAATCTGAAAGAAAAAAGAATTTCTAGATATCAACAGTTCGAGTTGGAAGCATCTAATGAATGCATGTTCGATTCGGTCGAGCTAATTGATGGCGTAGATCTAAATGGTACAAGCTTGGGTAAAGTCTGTGGAGGATTAGAACAGTGAGTTTGGATTCTGCATTCACGTCGTCATTTGTATGCAAATATGTTTTTTCTCATTCCAGTTCGGGATTTGTTGAGCAATCAGTTTTGAAAATATCCTGTCAACTTCTTGTAACATATTAGGTTGTCCCGAAAGTTTTGTCTGTTTCTTCAAACCAATATAAAACCACGCACAATAAACATCTGGATGAGTTTCAACATGCATTCGATGCAGCTTTCTCTTCTCTTTCTTATACATTCGCGAGCCACAATCTTGTATGCTTTTTTCGATATCTGTTAAAAATTTCCATCCGCCAATTTTATCTGCTCAAAGTTCGGCTAATTTTTGAAAATTTCATTCTAAAGTTTCCAAAATGATTAAGTATTATTCTAATAGAGCAACTCTCGGACTACAAGGTTGATTTTTATATTCTCCTACTCTGCTGTTTTTAGCTTTAAAAAAATTATTTTTCAAGAGGTTTCGATTTTGGCAAAGTCATGAAACACGCAACTGCAGCAAATACACGGATGTTCTCAAAGTTTCTGTAATTTGAAAAATGATTCTTACTAAACATTATTTATGCAACATGACCAAGTTTGATTTGCTTTGAAAAAGCAGCTTTTTGGGATTTTCGGTACTTTTACGCGGTAAACGTTATCAAAAAGCCGCGGTTTTTATTACATAAATAATTATAACGGACTTGGTAAATGTGGCCCATGTAATCTAAAATGAATAAAATGTAGCCAAAGGTTTGCTCTACATAACCGTTACTAGCGCTTTTTGAAAACATCAGGATAAAGAATTTTAAAATTCAGGAAATATTTGGCGTTACTGCTGAGCTGCTCAAAAAGCCATGGCGATAACATTGCAAAGACAGGGTGAATCAGAGAGAAAATATAGATTTATGAAAGAGGATAAAAATCTGAATCAAATGGTACCTAGCTTGCCCATGGATTGGTGTTCTGCGAGTTTCAGTGATCGATGAAAGAAACCGACGAAACTTTCGGCACAACCTAATAGTATTTTTCGATGTTTTTATCTCAATGCCTAAAGGCGTTGAGGTAAATCCAGTACCCAAAGTTATCATGTGGAAGTCGATTGGGAGTTCTTGAATACAGTTCTCGGCAGAATTTCTTTTTCTAGATTTTCGCCTTTTCGGAGCCTGCTTGCCATAAAGAACCTATATCTTGGCTCATGAAAATGGCGAGTATAAGCTTTTTCCGAAGCTTTTCAGGTCTGTATTCAGTGAAAAAGTGGGCGGGGCTGGAACGAGAGGTGGGTCGCGGATTTTTCTCGCGTATTTCCACTGAATGCGGACCTGAAAAGCTTCGAAAAAAGCTTGTTTTCGCATTTTCATGCGTTATAAGATGTGGGTTCTTTATGGCGAGAAGGCTCTGAAAATGTGAAAAACTAAAAAACGAAATTTTGCCGCGACACTGCCTTTAACTGACGCATTGTTCTAGCGGCAGCTCATAAGATCCATTTCTTTCTCAGTTCACCCTGGCTTTCACCCGGTACCATACGCGGATAAGCTGCTTAGTCCGTCCGGAAAGAGTACGGTACTGGACAGTAGTTTTTAATAGTTGAACTTCTCAGGCCACCTATGAGCCAATTTAGCCAGCTCGTTATTACCACTTCTATTCCTCAAAACGGGTACCCGTTCCACTCTTTTTTTCAAAAACACTAGATTTACTGGTCAAATCTGTGGAAAACTACTGAATCTTCTTCCCAAAACAGGACGCCGAAAGGACGATTATACACGAAAACCAATAATCTGCTCGTTCATTTCGTTACCGACCATACTCTCAACGAAGGGCGGTTCAAAATTGTCATCACAGCTACTCTGGGTGAGTAGAACTTACCAAACTTCCACTAATTTTCTTATTTATAACATTAGGAGAGAAATCTGGTTGCGGTGGAACGCTCAAAGCAACTGGAGATTGGAAAACGTTGAAACCTCCTCTTGACGCCAAAGGTCACTATTTTCTTTACACGCGGTTATGGTAACAATCGATACATTGATTTTCAGGCGAGTACATTCATAATCTTCATTGTGGATGGAATATTGTGGGGCCAGAGAAGACTATGCTTGAGCTGCAAATCACGAAGCTAGACACTGAAGAACTAGAAGACATCCCTGGATTGGAAGCGAACCATATCCATTGCGTAGATACGCTTTCGGTGGGTTGGATTACGGTAGATCTGGAATTTGTTTGTTCAAAGTTAACAATTTACATGAATGCAGATTTACGATGGCTACAAGTCGTTTTCACCCATTCTAGCCAGCAATTTATGTGAGGATACGGTAGGCGCAAAATTGCCACTGACATATCACTCTTCACATAGGTAGGTTACGGTAATGTCACGGTGGCCCTTCAAAGGCAATGGCTTGGGAAAATTGCAAGTGCGAGCTTTTATACGTACGCTTCTGGATCCGCTGTGTCAGAGACTATGCTGAAAAGTTAAAAAATGCAGGATGGAAAGCTCGTAATGGCATTTTCCCAACCCACTGCCTTCAAAGACCATGGTGTATTTTTCGCTGGTTTAGAGTAGCTCATGTCTATTTCGAAAGTGATCATAGTGGAACAGGAACTGGCTTTGAATTGCTGTACCGAGCCATAGAACGTGAGAGTTTTACATGCACATCTAAGGCTTGCGGTAGTTATCCTATTACAGCCGACTGTGGAGATTGGCTTATAGCAACGAACGAACCACAAATTCATAGCTATGAAAGTAAAGGAACTAAAGGTACTAAAGTGTATTTTAGGTTGTCCCGAAAGTTTTGTCCTTTTTGTAAAACTACTATAAAACCACGCACAAAAAGGATCTGAATGAGTTTCATGCATTCGATGCAGCTTTTAATTCTCTTTCTCACGGATAATGATTTTTTTTGATAATCGCCGAAATTCTCCACCCGTCAATTTTATCCGTCCAAATTTAGGCTAATTTTTCAAAATTTCATTCCAAAGTTCCGGGAAAGGTTAAGTATGGATCAAACAGAGCAATTCTCGGGCTACAAGACGATGTTTTTATATTTTCTCAGTCTGCTGTTTTTAGCGTAAAAATTTTTTTTTCGAATGTCTCGATTTTTGGCCAATTCGTGAAACACGCAAGTGCAGCAAATATACAGAAGCTTTTGAAATTTCTGTGATTGAACCATGATTCTTATTGAACATTATTTATGCAACATAACCAAGTTTGATTTGCTTTGAAGCAGCTTTTTGGGATTTTCGGTACTTTCGCGCGGTAAACGTTATCAAATAGCCGCGGTTTTTGTTACATAAATAATTATAACGGACTTAGTAAACATGATCAATGTAACCTAAAATAAGTGCAATTTAGCCAAAGGTTTGCTCTACATAGCAGTTACCAGCGCTCTGTGAAAACATCAGGATAAAAATTTTTGAGATTCAGGAAATTGGCGTGACTGCTAAGCTGCTCAAAAATCCATGGCGATAGGATTGCAAAGGCAGGGTAGATCAGAGAGCAAATGTAGCTGTAAGAAAGAGGATAAAAATCTGAATCAAATGGTATCTAAGCCATCCGTGAATCGGCGTCTTGCTAGTTTTAGTGAGCGATAAAAAAATCGGACAAAACTTTTGGGACAACCTAATAGATAATCATTGGAGCTTCGAGAAAGTATAGTAAGGGAGGCGGCGAGCGGGGAAATTGGGCGGGACCAGTTAGACCAAATCTATTCTAGTTTTTGAATCGCGCTTATCTTTCGCAGATCCTTTTTCGGCTCTTTGAAATACATTTTTTCGTATATCAAAGAAAGTTGCAAAGGTTGTGTGTGATAGACTCAAATTTTATTGAATGTGACTAACTCCGCCCCTGCCACGCCCCTTTCTGAGGTTTGGTGTTTTTATCGCTTAGTAAAGTGCAATAAAAGACAGTTTTAAGCCTCTTTTTAGACAAACGTGCGGGTCAAACTAATCAACGATGTCAGTGGGTAATTCAGTCGCAATCACAAGTGCCTATTTGGATACACTTCAGGTATTTCTACAACATTTTTTATTTCGCAATGAATTGAGAGAATGAAAAATTCAAAAAATTGTGTTCTTCAGTACGATACATTTTCCAACGACTGATGGTGATTGTTCGGATGCATACATAGAAATTCGTGATGTTGGCTTGATTTCTAAATGTCAACATCCAGCATGTGCTCGAGAAAATTCACAGCGAAAGGTATTTGTTGACATGTTTCTGCTTGTACAAAAAAATCCTATTTTAGACTTTCCGAATTTGCGGAAATACGCCATTCCCACCTTATATATCGAATACAATGGCTGTACAAGTAAGTGATTTCTTGAAAGGAAATGAGAGGTTGCGGAAAATGTATGGATGGGAGAAGGAGGAAGAAGGATTTTTTTCGGATTTTGGGGTTTGACATCAGCCCGGTCAGTAAAGGCTACTGCAGGACAAGGGCGCAGAGTTGAGCGGGCGCGAACGCTATGCGCGCGTATCTTCATCATAATTTTGCGCTCCCTGCGCTCTGCGGCTAATAAACCCACGTTCGCGCCCAAAGATATTGCGCCTTCGTCACGCAGCAGCCTATACATTTTTGGACATTTTCCGGTTTCTTGGAAGCTTCTATGAAATTTGAAAAAAGGCATGGCATACGTCGTCATTTCCAGGTTAAATTTAGTCGTTTTTATAACTCATGTATATCGCAGTTCTCTCCTTTCCCCACCCCTTCCTCCATCCCTTCTCCCGTTTTCCATATTTTATTGATTACAATTTTCCAGATCACAACCTCAGCGATAATAAGCGATACGGATGGTGCCCGTTTCACAATGTCTTACCATCTACTTGACGGTACTTTCGGCCGGAAATTCGAAAATTAAAAAAAATTAATCGTTTTTCAAGGTTGCAATCGCACCATAATCACACAGGATGTGCCATCCGGAAGATTTACAAGTCCGAACTTTCCGAATCCTTACGATCACAACTCGACATGCACTACGAAGTTGGAAGCACCAGCTCATAAACGAATTTTGATTGTGTTCAGGTAAGCACATGTCAAATTCTTGGCTAGTGTGAACCCAAAGTTAATATTTTTCCAGAAGTTTCGATTTTGAACGAGGGCGTATAAGTTTCTATCGTACTAATGGTTCACGTCTAGCGTTGTACAATTGGCGACGACGAGTGTTTATGAGATCTTGCGACTTCGACTTTCTGAAGGTAACTTAAGCTTTCGAATCGTTTCTTGGCAGGCTAATTAAGATGCGGCACTTTTGTACTCGTATACTGTATGCTACCGTAACGCAGTGGAATCTTGAACCGCTTTATTATGAGAGTTACCATACATTGCTTCATTACACATCTACTTACAAAATCTCACCGGTGTAGGCTAAACTCATCGATTTTCCAGTGGTTTACTGTAGTACGGTAGCGGTGCAAAAAGGGCGCACGTGTTTCATATGAATACTGCTTATAGATAAGTGAACCTGGAAGGAACTCCACAGGGCCAATTTGCGGACGAGGCTTGCCATCGACGTACTTCTCATGGGGTAACAGCGTTGAGGTACGATAGCCGATACCAAAGGTTTTTTTACGAACCGTACGCTTTTCTTAGGTCTTCATGCAAACAGACCACAACATGGCCACAGAAGGATATGATCTAAGCTATTTTACTGGAAAAATGCATGATGGTTAGCTTTTTCTTTCAAGTAATAGTTTGTGATCGTCCAAAAATAGATCGTGCATTTCAGATGGTACCATCGATTTTGCTCCCTCCCATGACTTACAAGGGGCTATTACAAACATTGGTTTTCCAAGAGGCTACAATACTTCCACAAAAACTTCGTTAGTTATTTTTGAGACTCATTATTTGATTTTGCAACATATTCGCATCATTATGTGCAATTTACGCATGCTCACTATCCAAACGAAACTTTGATTCAGCTGAATTGACGGTTGGAAGGCGGGGCTTTGTGACCTAATTAAGGCCGCTAGCGCTCGTGGCGCAGTCTGCGTCTCTCTCCGGCGCGTGTTCTTTGATCATTCTCTAGCCTTGATTAGGTTACAAAGCCCCGCCTTCCAGCCGTCAGTCCACTTGAATCAAAGGGTAGGTCCCTTTGCACCAGTGAAATATACCGTATACCACCGTAGCGTATTTTTCTCAAACTTTATCAGGGCTTATGGTAGCGTGTAACGGTACAATAGAGCCGGATTTCGTCGCTATTGCGCAGATAAAGTCGACTGCAGGTAGTCGCTCATATCGCTATAGGGTGAACGCATGCGAGCGTGCCTGCAACGCGGCTGTTGAATAGGGGCGCTATGATGACTCATGCGATTGTCAATGTTAGCCCGCAGGAGACACGCTCGGGGCTTTCAGCCTGGGCGATTCCGCGCAGTCAGCTATAGCAGTCTTTTGGGTACTTTTCCGTTATTCGAACCCAGTTTTTGAAGATGCATGTAATAGGTGCTTTGGCCTAGAAGTTTTTTCCATAGTTTCCATGAGAACTGTCTCCCTGCCACGTGTTATTATAAAAATTAACATATTAGGTTGTCCCGAATGTTTTGTCCGTTTTTTCAAACCACTATAAAACCACAAACAATAAACAACTGAATGGTTTCAAAATGCATTCAATGCAGTTTTCCTTCTCTTTATTATGGATACATTTTCGAACCACAGTCTTGTATGCTTTTTTGATAATTGCTAAAATTCTCCACCCGTCTTTTTTTTCTGCTCAAAATTCGGCTAATTTTCGAAAATTTCATTTCAAAGTTTCGGAAAGTGTTAAGTATGTATCAAATAGAGCAGTTTTCTCGGACTACAAGATGATATTTTTAGATTCTCACAATCTGATGTTTTTAGCTTCAAAAAATTATTCCTTTGAAGTTCTCGATTTTTGGCAACGTCATGAGACACGCAACTGCAGCAAATACATGAAAGCTTTTGAAGTTTCTGCCAACTGAGACATGATTCTTATTAAACATTTTTTATGCAACATAACCAAGTTTAATTTGCTTTGAAAAAGCAGCTTTTGGAATTTTCGGTACTTTTACATGGTACAATCAAAAAGCCGCGGTTTTTTTTAAATAATTATAACGGACTCGTTAAACATGGTCCATGCAATCTAAAACTGAAGCAATGTAGCCAAAGGTTTGCCCTTTATAACGGTTTTCAGCGCTCTTCGAAAGCATCAGGATAAAATTTTTTAAAATTCGGGAAAGATTTGGCGTTACTGCCGAACTGCTCAAAAAGCCATGGCGATTGCAAAGACAGGGTACATCAGAGAGCAGATATAACTGTAAGAAAGAAGACAAAAATCTGAATCAAATGGTACCTGAGTTGTCTATGGACCGGTGTTTTGTGAGTTTTGGTGAGCAATGAAAAAAAACGGACAAAACTTTCGGGACAACCTAATATTTAGGCATTCAATTTGACATTTTTTTTCAAATTTTTCTGTTCGGCTGTTTTCTACTAGGGAGAACAATAAGAATAAAATAATAATAAACAACAAAAAAGTGTCCGTTTATCCGTTTTTTTCACCGCTTTTTTCTCTTAAAACAACTTGGTTTCTTTTATCAATTGAAAATAGCCCCTCTCTAAATTGTTTCCGACATGCGAATTTAACCAGGAAAGAATATAAATGATGGCTCAGAGTAACTGGCTGCCGCTTGGTTCGCCGCTGAGATAATTACACAATAGCTCATCTCTTTGTTTGGGGCAAACTTAACGTGTAAATAAATAGGATAATATTCTCATAATGTTGATGTTCATTTTCAAAACTTTCGAAAAAAACGGAATTATAATTGATTAAAGAACAAATCGAACTTACAATGATAGGCTAAACAAACTATTGGTAAAACCTGCTAAACATGTAGATGCCATGTTCGCTTTTTATTGACATGCGACAGAAGGCTGACGCTCCTTCCTCTGAAGTTATGACCAAAATTGAGCGTGGGGTCAGGCGCGCCCGACCTGGGGGGTCGTACTGGGGTAAGACAGAGGGGGGGGGGGTCGTGATTAGGAATCGAATTCGTTCGATTGAGGAGGTACTACGATTAAGGTGAAAAAGAAAAGCGCTAGTTTAGTGGATATCGCGACCTCACCAGTACTGAAGGAATGAACAGTCTTAAACAGCATACTGATTGATTCCACAATCGAAGTTTCGGCCAAAACTCAAATCTTCATCTTCTACCTTGACATATTATAGATTCATCAAAGAAGCTTGCTGTGTGAAATGGGTATCATTTCCGAGCACGTCAAATTACCTCTATGAGCCCTGCAAACCATTATTTACTGCGTTATCTAGTGTTTCTCAACGACTAAAAAGCGTGATTTTCAAACATGATTAACTTGTTTTCAAAAGTGAGAAAAGTCAATTTTTTTGTACTCGTAACAAAGTATTGTTCCCTACTAGTCTAGGCTAAAAATCGCGCTTTGTATCGCTTGCAAATAGTGGAGTTAGAAATAATGCCAAAATTTCGACCGGCGCGTTTTTCGCCATGACTACTTCAACTCCACGGATTACCACAAGGCCGAAACAAGTCGAATTAAGTCCAAACACTTACTGTGGAATCTTCGAGGGTTGTGCTAGCGATTCACATAAAACTTGAATAAAAAAGCTTCTTCAATGATAAAATTAATCGGGTCAGGCGCAACCCCACAAAAGGTCAGGCCGCCTGAGCTTTTGAGGGGTTGCGCCTGACCCGATTAACTTGTTTTCAAAATCTAAAAATCGCTCCATTTCTGCTATGAGTATTGAACTCAAAGCCTCTTCTTGCAATACTGCAAATTTGGAGCCAAACAATACACCCCTGTGGGAATTATAGCTCTAAAAGTAGGGCTATCCAAAATCCAAAACTTGCCGTCAAGTTGCGTGTGCTGTGCAATCGCAGAAAGTCGACCTACAGACCTCCAAAAAACAAGAACCTCCCAAAAACGGCTGATCTCTTCGAATTATCACAGCATGAGGTCCTGGAGGTGAAGCAGAGGGGTCGTTTAGGGGCTTTCACTGGGGGGGGGGGTCGTTTTGGAAAGACTTGTGCCTGACCTCTTGCTCAACCCTGGTTATGACCAAATTTGACTTAAGAAAAGGAGCAAAAACTTCTACAAAATGGTCTTGATAACGGGAAAACCGTCTTCTTTCGTTTTTCTATAATATCCAAGAAGCACCGCGATACTCGATTAGAGAATTTCTTACAGGTGGACCATCATGCCACCTAATGGGCATGGGTGTTTGGTAGAATTAATCGCTCTGGAAATAGCCAAAGCTCCTCAAGGAACTGATTGCCTTAGTCAAGGTCCGTGTTTTGATCACCATTTGATAGCTTAATCACTAAAAATTCTATTCGCAGAGGAGTATCTTGAAATCGAGATATCGACAGGAAATCCGAGAGATCCCAATGGAGGGAAAGGTTCTTTCCGAGTGCGATCCTGTTCACACGTGAGTCACTATAGCAAATCACTAACTCTATTGCTGACTAAATTTGTTTTAGGAAGCTCCCATATCTTTGGAGATGGAGCCAGGTGCTGAACGATACATGAAATTCACATTCAAATCGGATGGAATAACAGAGAATGACGGCACTGGTTTCCGTTTGACGTGGAGGTGTTTGAACTACGAACAGCTACAAGTATAATTTTCAGTCAGCTTGTCCTTGCCTTACTGAATTGTCATTGTTGAATTCTTGCCATTGTTTGCAGTTGTGTTTGTATATGTATAATCAAAATAGAATAATGAATTGGTGCAACAAAATAAATTATTATTTTGGGTGCTCTTGACATCTTGCAAGCATTGTACTTGATGGTCGCCCTTACAATAAAACCTTAGTTCCTCGGTCATAGCAATGCCTACGCCAATGAACTCAATCGATGTCGAAAGTGAAAGAACACAAGGACGTAAGACTAATCACTTTTGATCTCAATATTCCCAATCGGTGATAGTGAACAAGGAAACAATAACCTCCATTAGAAACATTTTGCAAATCAAAGTAGATTTAGTTCCATCGGAAAGCCGTACATTACAATACAAAGAGGAATATTCCTAACAAGGGAAGTGTCAGAACTCGCAGTGGCCTTTTGAAATGAAATAAGTATCATCTGAAGCAGCTTGAAATGCTGATTTCAAAACAGCCTTTCTTAGCTGCAGAACTAATCTAGGACGAGAGTTATTGAATTTGATTTGCGGGAAATTTACAATGCTGAGAATAGCCAAAAATTAAAGCGAACATTTTTTTGGGCTCAAGCATAGATGAAACAGTCCATCAATGTTTAACGTAATCCTACGCTTTCATCAAAGTCATGCTGTGGTGCTTAAACAAGCATTTGAAAGGTTCCCGTGATCACAGAGTACTTCAAACAATGTAAAATTTAATTTTTAAAATGCCCATAACTCGCGATCCAGATCAGTTGTGCAGCTAAGAAAGCTTGTTTTGGAATCAGCATTTCAAGCTGCTTAAGATGGTACCCATCCCATATCAAAAGGCCACTGCGACTTCTGACACTTCCCTTGTAAGCTAGCGCCCAGGACATAGGCAAATTTGTGGTTGAAGGAAAATCTCGGGAGACTGGCAGAGCAACAAAGAAGCAAGGTTCGAATTTGAGTCATTTCTAAAGCGCTTGAAGTATCCCTCCTTTATCGCACATGAAGCATAATGCCTTTGGCTTGCACAACGTGTAAAAGAATCTAAGTAAAAATTGTTTCAAATCCAAATGCAAAACTTCATCACTTTGCGCAGAGCATTAGCACCATCTCGTCAAAAGTTCTGTATTTCTAGTAGTTTTCCGCTGAAGATAGTGTGCTTACGGTGCCGAAATTCCGCAATTCAGCGCAGAGTCGACACCTCAAGCAAACTCAAGCAATTTACAAATAGACTCTAGACTGTAATCATCCTCAGACATTCTAAAAAAACACTGTCGAAGAAGGCAGGTTCACTTTTTACTTATGGGCTCATGTCGAGCGGTTTCAGGATTCTAAGTGGGTTAGCACTCAGCTGCTAACAGTTTGTACCAATTCTACTCAGCTATTATTGTTTTACTAACTGTGTGCGATATAAATTGCATAAAATGTTACCACGGCTCATTGGGAAAGAAAAAATCGTTAGATGAAGTTAGCGATGGCGTTACATTGCATTCTAAGTAGTAAGATTTCGATTGCAGGAGGATCATAGAGAAAACTACGTATGCGCAATGTCTTTATCGCTTCCATGTTCAAGAAGAGTTAGGGTATCAGTATACTCACATGAAAAGGCGAGTCGTTTCCAGTATGTCAGCTGCAAGCTACATAGAGAACGCGCAAAGGTTCCTGCATGGAAATATTTCCACATACGTTAGTTCAGTAAGCATCTAGCGTGAAGTCTGCAAAATGAACGGCTACAGCAAGCATGTCAGATGTGACAGGCACAGGAACATCTGACAGGTCGTCGAGCAACTCTGGATGGGGTCAAAGCTGGTTGTGCCCATTTTTTATGGCAATTGCAAAGCGTGCTATCGTGAGACATGCCTCGACCAGGTACTGTATTACGTGAAAGGGTCCTAGGACACAAACTTACCGACTATCATTAACCCATTGACGACGATGTGGACCACCGGTGGCCTACGCGCTTTTTGCTGCCACGGACGATGTGGACCCCCGGTGGCCCACACCTCTCGCAAAGTCGTATTATTTGCAGGTCTAGTATTTCTTCCACATATGAATATTTTTTCCAATTTTTTGTATTCTTAGGACCTATAGGCTCTGTCGTTCAAGAAAATGTTAATGGTTGTTTACAAAACAATGTTGCATTTCGTAAATAAGCACGAAACCTTCCCACACTGAATGTGTTGTGCAAAATCGCGTCGTCCCACAGCGCCGCCGCGCAAAATTAGGCGTCGTCGTCAATGGGTTAAGGAAGCTCTTTTGACTTGCCGCAGACTTGAAGTTTACAACTGCCAAATATAGTCTCAGACAAATTCCGCAGAACGCTTGCGAAAGTTCTGTAGACGTGCTGCAGAAGTTTCGAAAATGCGAACCGCAACGGTGAAAGAGAACACCTAAGCGAGATTTGATCACTGCTCTAATGACTGTAAGATTCACTTACCATCCTCTGCCTTAAGCGGGCAGACTTCACGCGATTTGATCGTCGCGACTGAATCGCGACGAGACAACTGTTGCACCATCATTCCATGCCGATCAACCTGCATTCGGTTGTGATACTTTTCCAGCCCGAAATTTTTGAATGTGAAATGAAAATGAATGGAAATCTTGGAGATTAGATCGCGACGATTAAGTCGCGTGAAGTCTAACCGGGGCCTTAGGCCTCGAACAGAGTTCACGCGATTTGATCGTCGCGATTTCCATGCATTTTCAATTTACATTCAAAAATTTCGGGCTGGAAAAGTATCACAACCGAAATGCAAGCTGGTCGGCATGCAATGAACTCGCAACAGCTGTCTGTCGCGATTGAATCGCGACGATCAAATCGCGTGAACTCTGCCCGAGGCCTTACGAATTACATGTTCGACAATGCACTTTAGTTGTTGGCGAGACAACATCATGAAACCAGGGCTCGGCACGAGGTGGCTTACAAGCAAGCTGGATATCGTTTTTGGGACGAAAAGCAAAGGGGGTTTCGTATTTGTGACCGAAGAGACACGGAAAATTGGCGACGGCGACCTTTTTTTTTTAGTCGACGTTTCGTTTTTTGGGGGATTTTGGGGAATTTTTCAGGTTTTTAGAGGAAATTTGGTTGAGGGTCAAAGGGGACTTCGTAAAAATTCCCAAAAGTCAAGGGGGACTTCGTTTTTTCCATTTTCATCTAGCCACCTCGTGCCGAGCCCTGCATGAAACACATGCAGAAACCCGCGATACTGGCAGGTCAAAGTGCTGGGAACTGCTAGCATTTTTCGGAAACTTTCGCAGAGTTTGTGAGAAGTTCTGCGGAAGTTTTCTTTTTCGCAGTCTAACATGAAATCCTGCAGAAGCTCCCTTCCCAACGTTTCAGTTTTGTAATAGTGAACAAAGCGCATATATAAAACTCCATTGATTGAAGACATACGTCAGAGATAGTCTGAAATTACGGTAATAACATCTATGGGTTATTTGCATGTGGATTCTTTTCACTTAAAGGCAGTAGCTTGGCAGATCTGCGACCTATGTTTTCTGTGCCTGGAGTTATTCGATACACTAATACCGAATCCACCTAGAGAGCGCGTTAGGAAGCGAACATTTGCAACCCCTTCACTTCCAAGTTCAGAGGAAAAGTGCAAATCAACCGAGCACGAGTGAAATTGGTTTGCGCGAGCGATTTTAGAGCAAATTTTTCGGCGTAGAAAATGTGCTGCACGCCGGGACTAGGTTCGGTTTACACACCGAGTAAATTTATTTGCTAAGCCACTAAGTTTTTGCGCAAAATAAAATCTTGATTCTATGAGGAGTAGTCAGCTTTTTTATGGACTTTCATTATACGATCAAATGAAATTTGTTTATACTCGAACTAGGAAACGCATCACTACCGATTGCAAATATGTGAAAGTTAAAATTGTGATTTCAAAAGGAAACTTTTGCTTATCATAGTAAGAAGATTGACTTCAGGTCGGACACTCAGAAGGATGCGAAAGCGATTTGTTTTCTCTAAAATGCAACTGTGATTTCAGTTACTGTAATGGGGATATGAAAGATTTTAAGGTACGAGGGCCTTAAAGGCAGCGTACACCCAAAACAAATGCAACAGATGTTGCAACAGCAACTGCAACTGCAATTGCAGCTTACGCTGTTATGGATTCGTCCGGAGGAGGCGGAGCGAAAGAAAAGGGGCGGCGTGAAAGAAAATTGAGGGGGGTTTTCTCCGCTCAGAAGCAACATTGGGAGACCGGACCAACGCAGTTGGTCTTATTTGGGCCCAGTATATACACGGTGTAGAAAAATCTAGAAAATTAGGCAACTTAGATTTTGGGTGTACGCTGCCTTTAACTCGCCTAACCTCGCTATATTTTTTTCATAGAAAATGTGGGAATCGTCGAAAAATTACAAGTCGACCAGCGAAGAAACTAGATGCCTCTTGAAAGCATACTATGGTTGGTTTCCTGCGGGTTTGATAGATTCTAGAGCGGTTGTTTTCAGTAGCCTACCCGACTACGACTACACCACCGTCAACCACAACTGAAATGACTAGTACGTTCACTCTTCTGATTATCCTGATTCCTTTCGCCTATCCGAGATTTTATGCAGGTGAGATGCCAAGCACTACTACTGATTTGGAGGAGGAAATGGGAAAATTGCAATTCTCACGCAAAGGTCCGCAAACTCCGCAGGTTGAAAGTAAGTCATGCGATTCCTTTCTGTTGCTTGAATGATCTATTTTGAATAGTATTAGCCAATATTCATATTCAGAACAGATTATCCGGAAGAAATATTATAAAGAAGAGGAGGAAGAGGAGAAAGCGGCAGAGCGAGCCGACACGTTATGAAAACTCCTGCACTATCTACAGCTAATCAAAAGTATTTATTTCAGGATCATGATAATAATCTTCGTTTGTCTGTGTGTAATATTCGTATCTCTAGTTGTTTTGGCTATTGTACTGATATTGACTGGACCAAAAGATCCGATGACAAAGAGGAAAATAAGAGGGAAGCGCGGGAAGAAGAAGCGAAAGAAATAAGATGTTATGGTCATTGACTATTTGTGCTAAAAAAATCACTTCGAAATATTCTTACAATGTATTTTAATAAAATGATTCCTGATTTTGCATGTGGAAATCTTCACATTAAACTGCAAATCTGATGAAGTGCGATGAAAGCGCAAGCATGAGAATGATTAGATAATTGAAGTTCTACAGTAAAAGTTCTCAACTACTTTTATAACTTCTCTCACTTTGCATAATACGCCCTCATTTCACCATCATGTGGGTCGTGACGTAAGCTACAAGCGCAGCCACAACTCTGCAAAATTCTGACGTCGCAGAGAGGGTTACGGTAGGCATATGCTATGGGGGGGGGGATTACAAATTAATACAAAATTGGCTTTACTTTGCCTAGATGGGTCATCTGACATGCTGATCACGAAAACGGTATTGGTTTTGCAGGGTGGCGAGCAAGAGGAACAATAGCTGGTGGGTGTCAATGACTCGCGCATCTTTTACCGTCATTTTTGTCCATCAGCACGCAGAAATCTAGAGCATTTCTTCCTATCACTCTTTCATTTGAACAGGAGAATGAGATAGAATCTGTTTGCTTGGAAATGAGAGTGAAAATAGGTTATAAATATCAAAAAAGTTTCAAAGGTGAAATTTCAAGAATTTCCAGTTTTTTTTTTGCAATAACATTATCAAACTGCACTTATCACTAGACTCTGAGCAGAACTCGCCAAGTCAAGCATTTATTCTAATTTCACTCAAATTTATAATTCTGAAATCAGCGCAGTTTGAGGCAAATTTTGCATTGTCAGCAGCGGCTGGCAATTGCTATCGTTCCTCTTGCACCACACCGGTTTTGGGTAGGAGCTTTTTTGCAAGGTTACGATAGGTTTACGGTATGGGGTCTCAACCTAAACAAGAAAGGAGGCGTTAATTTGATGAATGATTATGATATTGATATTGCAAATAACCCCATCATGCAAAGTTTTGGCGAATTCTGAGACTTCGACTCCTATGATTGGCGCTTGTCTTTAAGCAGCTTTGCGTACCGCGGCTCGTTCAACTTTGTGAGAGCGCCAAATCTTGACTTGACTGACTCTTCGAATTCCCTTTCTTCCTCACTGCGCTAGATGACTCAACCTCTAGCAACAATTCATGCACACTTTCGGATTGTTATGCATGATCGGTTGGCTCATCTTCACTTAAAACCCCATAAATCTTCGAGCTTCATCAATTTTCGAAAAACTCTCGGATTTCTACTTTGTCATCAGCAAGCGAGCGGCTTGTGCCAATCTATAGCACACACGGCAATCTATACAATGTCAATTGAGCGCGCCAATATCAAAAAGTGAAAAGTTACGGACTCAGTCAAAACTTAGTGAACATCCTCATAGATTGGCCTTTGAAAAAGACAGAGTTGAATTAGCTTGAAAGGGTGACCTAAAATATGCTGTTAGCTGCAGCGTATTACTCAAAAGCGATGACCTTTAATCTGCGTCAAATTAGCACACTACCTCTCAGGGAAAGATGTCTATAGAAAGGAATCTGCGTAAAGAAGGTGCTCTGATGTTAAAATAACATCGGATCAAGTCTTTCGTCATCTAAAAAAACTTAGTGCTATGTATTAGCTCTCAGCTAATCGTATCATAATGCCAGGTGTAGATGAGCATACACATTTTGCGTAGAACAAAGAATAATTAGCTTTGGAATCATGCGCCGAAGCCAGAATCAGCACATTTGGAATCAGCGTTCCAAGCTGATCCCAACTATATATGCCTGTCTTTAAACGGCAAGTTCAAGTACAAGTAGTAGAGTGCCTTCTTTTTTAAGAAAATGCGAATGTCCTCAACGAATCAATCAACGAAAAGGGATGACTGCTTTTGATTAGATGTACCAGCTAAGAATTTAGCTGAATGCGCCCTCTGCAAGTAATTCTTGCAATCTCCAAAACCGACTAACGAGGAAACTGCGGAAGACACAAACCAGCGTGTAAAATAGGAAAGCCTGTGCTACGGCCTACATATGCAATATGTAGACAAGCCTCTCAAGCATATCGTCGTCTTTAGCATATTTGCTCATTCAACAAACCTCAAATTTGCTCTCTCTTTTCAGTAGTAAGACTGAAAGAAAAGCTACCTAGCTTAATTCGGCCTTTTGGCAATTGACAAATATATTCTTAATCAGCTTTGAACGCTGATTCCAAACATGCTATTTCTATAGCTGTCGCGCACCTTTCCAAAACTTGTTGAGGGCTTTTCTGCCCGAATCAGCATACTACTGAACACGGAAAGACTGGGAAGAAAAAGGTGCTGAGATATCGAAATAACGCATATCCAATCTTTTCTTACTAAAAAGAAGCTTAACGCAAGTGTACTTCTAACGCATAGATGATGATGCCAGTGAGTCAGTGAGTATACCCATTTTGCGCAGAAAAAAAATCTACAACTCGCTTCGGAATGGTGCGCGACAGCTAGAAATAGTATCATCATAACTTATAATAACGGGCTAAGGATGTTTACGTGTTTTTGTGTGTGTGTGTGTCTGTCTGTGTCACGAAATTCGTGGAACGGTTGCCAGCCAACATCTTAAGCCCAAATTTTGCACAGCGCATGCTACCAACATGAGAGTCCACTATATCAAAGCTTGAGCGGATCCGTTTAGCGGATCCCTCAAAAAATGCGCGTCAATCGGACCCACCTGGCCTTTCGTCCCCAAAATTGGGTCCGTAATTCCACTTTTTGCAGGCTCGTGGATGTTTATGGCAAGTAAATGTGCAAACCATGAACTTAGGCCCAAAAAATTGATCAAAAGTCCACTACTTTACAAAAACGGCGCCAAAAAGTATTGGTTGCGTAAATGGTCATTTTGCCAAGCTTTTACCAGAGCATTTGATGAGATTTTTGCACCTAAATGTAGCTTATGGTGACTACTGTTCTTATGGCAACTGTCAAGACTGTGGGAAAATTAAAAACGTACAAAATTTGCTTTGTTCTCCTGCAAAAAAATTTCATTCACGCGAAATCACCGATTTCACATGAAATGCTTTCGGAATGAGTAATTGTTTACATTTTGTTCATGATAGTAGGCATTGCTCGGTGAGTTTCAATGCCATCATTATGCGAGAACGAGTAGGGATAGTAGAACCAGTGCGAGCCTCTGCGAAGCAGGGGTGACGCACTGGTAATTAGAATTAGCGTTTGAAGCCGATTCAAATATATATGTTTCTTGCCAAAAGGCCGAGCTAAGTTAGGTAGCTTCTCTTAAGAGTGAGCAGCGTTATTTCGTAACTAGCTGGCTTACCCGGCTCCGCCGTATCCGGACCAAACTTGGCACACATACACTTCGGGCCCCGGCGGGTGTCACAGTCCACTTTTCGTTATCGATCAATGTCGATTTTACCGATTTTTATCGATTTTTTTGCAGAGTTCACCTACAGGGCTAGAAGTTGGCACAGGGGGGGGGGGGAAGGAGCATGGGGATTCCGAACACAATATTAGTTTTCAGGATCGCCCATTACTCTTATCGATTTTATCGATTTTTTTGTAAAGTTTGACCTGCGGGGCTGGGAGTTTGCACAGGGGGGTAATCGAGCATGCTGATTACGAACACAATATTAGTTTTCAGGATCGTCCATTACTTTTATCGATTTTATCGATTTTTTTTGTAAAGTTTGACCTGCGGGGCTGGGAGTTTGCACAGGGGGGTAATCGAGCATGCAGATTACGAATACAATATTAGTTTTCAAGATCGTCCATTACTTTTATCGATTTTATCGATTTTTTGAAAATTTGAGCTAGGGGGCTGGAATTTGGCACAGGGGTGTAATCGAGCATGCTGATCACCCCCCTTGGGACAAAGGTCGATTCACAAAAGTTTCATATTACAGTGGGACATCTAAGCGAGTAGGACATGTGATTCTTACCTGGGGCGGTATGCATCAATCTCCCGTTTCCCGTGATATATGATCGCCCGACTTCAAAACGTGAGTTTGATGCATACCGCCCCTGGAAAGCTAATAGCCAATGACAACGCTGCTATGTTACTCAAAATGATATCTGATGTTAAGGTTTGAATTTTAAGATGAAGTAATCGTGAGGCTTTTAAATTCTAGGGAGTGATTACTCCATTTCGATTTTCTATCTTTGCAAGGCAGTCGCTAAAGTCCTTGTAGGAACACCATTAAAATCCAAATGTAAATCTCTTTTCGTAAGCTTCATATAATAACCAAATAGCTTACAGATCGATTTCGATGAGAAGCTCTCCCAAGGACAGTTAATGCCAAACTACCTTGGACATGTTCGAAGTTCCGACACACATATCCCCCAAATTGCTATTCGGAACAACAGAAATCATCGGAGCTATACCAGTAACACGATTAGGAGCAGGGAAAGATGCTAGTACTTCTTATTATGGTACGGATAAGAAAACCTCCTTAACGCACCTAGCACCGCAATTCTCTCTATCTCTTGAAGAAGATGTGAATTTCACTACTTATCAGGTATCCGCTTCAGTGTCCAGCAAACCATTCCTAGAACTCAATGACAACTTTTAGAAATGTCGTCCAAAACGACAGCAGGTCCAGCTTTGTTCTGATGTGCTATTTTATCGAAAATTTCTCACAAAGCAACAACCTTGTGGGATCTGCGAAAGACCTTTGAGCGTCTTTGATTACAATGCCGTCCTTCCATGTGCTCACATAGTGCATGTTTGTAAGTTTTTCACAGATTTGTTCGCTGGCAAGGTTTTCGTGTAGGTGGGAAGCGAGTTTTTCAAGTACAATTTACGGTTTGCAAATAAGAAGGGCGCTGAAACTGCATGCAAAATGCTCATATCGCAGATTAGCCAAATATTTATTAAACTAACAGTTTTACTAGCTTATTCTTTTCTTGATAATTTTGATGCGACTTTCCCGTCTGTCAGAAGTTCGATGGGCGATTTCTTCAAAGAAGCACCACAACACGCAGCTGCCCACAAAAATGTTTAAAACGTAACAAATTTTTTCGCTAACGCTTATTTCTGAAAAGAAAGCCAAGAAGCCGATCTGAATGCACCTGATGATAGGGCTTCTTTCGTAAATTTCATGCGCTGTGAGAAACATAAAGAGCAACAATCAGAGCGCATGTATCATTTCTGGTTCATCGAAGCTATAATATTATTCTTTCCGGGAAATCCAGGATATAGTATTTTCATAATCATTATCAAGCTATTCATGCCGAGCAAGTCTGCGATAAAAAGCACTCTAGCTCTTCAGTCGTTCTAACAAAACTCGGAAGATAGTGAAGCTTTCAACCTTTTTTGGGTGCCCTGACATGTGCTGAATATTAGCTTCGCACGAAGGGAATTTGTCTGGCATTGAGTTAGAGCGCGGCTTGCTGCGATTGAACTTTTTGAATCGGGTTCTCATGGTTTAGGACAACTTCCTAAGGCCTCGGGGCATAGTTCGCGCGATTTCATCTCTACGCGATTCTCCCAACTAGGCAACTGTTACGAGTCAATTTCCCATCACTTCGGTGTGGCAGTTTTCGACTAACTCGCTGATCGCGAATAAGTATCACAACCGGAATGCAAGACAATCAGCAGGCAATGCACTCTAACAGTTGCCTTGCAGAATAGCGAGGCGATGAAGTGCATGCCCGAGGGCTGCTCAGACAACGGAGCGGACCCATCCGTTGGGCCAATTCGGTACCGTTCCGTGCCCCGGATCCTACCGGGTCTATTTCGCCCCGGAAACTCTGCATTTTCACACACGGCATACTGTAATTAGTTCTAAATTGAGCTAGGCGTACTTTAGCTACCCTAATTAAGCTACAAAGACCAATTTTAGCTCCTTTACCCCACCCAAATTTACCTCTAAACACTCAATCTCCACTTTAAGTTTTTTTTTCGAAAACTACTAGACATGAAACTACTTATTCGTACTAGTAAAATAACAGACACAAGTTTTGGTGAATGAGATGATGAAAAGCACGATATTTACAGAAGCACTCATTTTGCAGTGAAAAAAGGTTGGAAGAGATCTGAATGAGATAAGGCAAGGAATGTCCAACACTCTGGAGAGAAGAAGATAATAGGTGGAGCCGGAGGCCAGGGGTTGAAGAGAGATCTTCTCTTGGAGGGCAGAGGCATTCCTTGTGTAACAGACAGTTGAGAAAAGATCGACGAAAGCCTGGACACAAAACGTCATATAATTTAAGTGGACATATGCATCGATAACTCACCTTATGTGGATGGATTTTCAACTCCCTTGAGAGGCATCGTGCAAGGTTATATCGCAGCCTAGCTCACTTCACAAAGCAAATCTGCATCTATTCACGAATAAGCCACCAAGCGGAAACCAGCAGATACAAGTCACACAGCTACCTGTAATCACAGAACATTGCGCTGACAGTAAGAGCATATTTTTGAAATTAGCGGAAGCTGGATGTCAACGAACGGCTGAAGTGGGTGCGTATAATTGCCTATGAGGAGTTAAAGATCGCAATAGCGTTTTTACTTGTAAGACCATTTTTGTAGTCTTTTAAAACAAATCACTATTTTGGTTCACCGAAACTGCGAATTAGCTAACTCGTCACTAAGAAGATACAGAAAAAAAGGCAAGTGCGGTGGACAGAAAACTGAAGCATAGCGTCCTGAAGTACTCGTCAAAATTTAATGTTTCTAAAGCGATCAACGAACCGTAAAAATAGAGCAGGTTTACCTGCAAGAAAAATAGAGCAGGTTTACCTCTCAAGCAGATTTACCTGCACGTATCCTCCTCCTCCTCCTCCTCCTCCCCCCATTCCCCATCATCCTTCCTATGTCTGCCAAATTACAGGTCTTCTACGACTGTTTGTCATTCTTCTCTACATCATATTTGCAAAACTTCGTACTACTCAACTCATTACAGCACCTAGATTGGAATCTTGCACCTTGGGAGATCAGCATTCGCATGACGAGACTGCGGGAAAAAGCCGACTTTTGGTTATTTTGATGAAGGTTTAGGTCAGACTGCGCGGCGTAGCGACGTACGCGATGTACGGTACGCAGAATACGCACACGTGTGCGCGTATGTACGTATGCATAATGATATAGGAATTACGCTGCGTACGTCGCGCAGTTTGGCTTGACCATATATTCCTTCATTCTCAAAATAGGAGATGCTTGCATTTTTTGCTCGATAATTTGGTCATGCATTCAATACTCAGGGAATCGCGCCACGCGAGCGGTCCTCCTATAAGGGCTAGCGTACAAGCGGTCGGCATAAGCCTAAAGCTTCCGTGCGTGCGGCAAACAGCTGAAGCGCCGTCCTAGCGGCAGGCAATGTACCGTGCAAACGGCCTGCAGTGCGTCCGTCTTATCGGTCGGCAATACCTGCTGCCGTGCAAGCGGCCGACAGTGACCTCTATCTTCTGCTCAACATTTTCACACATTGTATGCTCAAACGGTACCTGCGTGAGATACGACGCAGCGTTTAGGCTGGTTAAGCGTTGACATATCTTGTTATCAACGTTTTTCTTCCCCAGCAAGGCTGGAATGATCCCGTGTGAAGCCACAGTTATTAAGAGTGATGGTGTGGGCTTCACCATGGAAAGTTTGGCCACTGCTGCAGGCATCGTTCGATGGTCTCATGTAAAAAGGACTGATCCAAGAACAATGGTCAGGATATCCCATATAGATCTACTCCAACAGCAAGCGAGCGGTCGACCTTCCCCGCGCAAGCGGCGAGCGTTAGAAACCATGCGAGCGCCCCACGTTAACCGTGCCAAGGGCCTTTTGGCGACCGTATAATCGCACACACCGACGAGCGATTGTAGGGTCATCGCTGGCGGCCCGCAAGGCGCGAGTCCCTGAGTATCGTCTGGAATTACTTCCAAATTTTGATATTGTTTTTGAAGGTTGCTATGAAGAAAAGCTCCTGAATCATCGAAAGTGTACAAAGTGCGATGGCATCCAAATGAACAAGAAGAGACTTGTTGATGAATTCATCAAATTTATCTGCTGCTTATATGCATACAAATAGAGTCACATTATCTTTCTTTGTTAGTTCTACTTCAAAACACCATTGCATTTCTTGTCGTTATTGTTAAAGTATAACACGTTAATAAAACCATTTAGATTCTGCTTGTAATCAAGATGTTGGTGTTCTTCTACACTGTTGCAGGAGTTGTTTGGGCTTAGATCACATTTTTTGTAATCAAAACAAACTGATTTGAGTCCAGCTGATAGACACGTAACCAAAAATGTTTCTCGGTGATAATAATTCTTATTTATTTGCCATGTCTAGGTTCTAAACGCACCCTTCCTCCCTCCCCCCCCCCCCCTCCTCCCCCGGGTGTAGAAGCTCTTGCTTTTAAATTAGTGCTCAATAAAAAGCGACTTTTGAAAGCCTGGATTCCAAAGTTCTAATGGTGTTTGAAGCGTTTTTGTATCTTGTAACTTCGCGTACTCAAAGAAAAAAAACATTTTTAAAAAATCCGGAGAGCCAGTTTAGGATTCTCAAAAAATTGAATTATTTACTCTATCCAGCAATTAGCAAGGCTGTTCCAAAAAAACTAAGAATCTCAAATAATAGCGAAAATGAGGATAGTTAAAAATCGTTGGGAATTCTTACGATCATACGAGCGACCATCAAAAATATCAAAACAGAAACATTGCTGCTCAAAAGAGGAAGAAATTCAGCATCGAATAATGTTTGGAGCATTTGCTTATCATTGTTCTGAACGATTCGAGGATAGGTTTGAAAAGCGGCATGAACTTTTAGATCCACTTAATAAGTAGAAAACATAAATTACACATTTTGACATCATATAATGTGTATGTATTAAACGCCTTTTGAAACATTGACGGCACAAAGTTCGACGTCTGCATTCTCCAGCATTTGACTCCGCTTTTGATCGTAATGCAGATCTGGGACAGAGATTGTTTAGCTATACAAGTCAAATTGGCGTTCCCGTTTTCTCTTATAATCGGCATTGGTTGATACTAAAATTTACTAATATATTACTTTACATGATATACTCACAAATATTCTCATTGTATAGTGGACAATAGCATCAATGCAGCTCTTCTTTTTGTCAAGATAATCTCCTTTCTTTGAAATTCACATCGCAAATCAGCAGTCAACGCCTCAGAAAGGATAGGCCCTTCACTTTCAAGAATAAAGGACCTCAACACATTTTCTCTTTAGCGCTATGGTTAGAAAGTCCCCTAGAATTCAACGATAAGTCTCGCCAAATCATAATAAGTTGTCATATATTACGGCCATTGCGGATAACTTGTCAGGCAAATTCTGTTTTTGATTTATTATTATTTGCTTTCCTTGCTTCTTGATAGGCAAAGAATTATTGTACTGCGCATTCTTCCCCCATCCAATACAATCCTACAACCCCACCTAAAATTTATATTAGATAGCTGGCTTCCCGGCTCCGCCGTATGTTCCGAATAGAAAATTCCATTTCTTAACCGATCCGGACCAAACTTGGCACACATACCCTTCGGGCCCCGGCGGGTGTCACAGTCCACTTTTCGTTATCGATCGATGTCGATTTTATCGTTTTGCAAAATTTGAGCTACGGGGCTGGGAGTTGGCAGAGGGGTGTAATCGAGCATGCTGATTACGAATACAATATTAATTTTCGAAACCGTGCATTACTTTTATCGATTTTATCGATTTTTTGCAAAATTTGAGCTAGGGGGCTGGAATTTGGCAGAGGGGTGTAATCGAGCATGCATGCTCGATTACACCCCTGTGCCAAATCCCAGCCCCGTAGCTCAAACTTTGCAAAAAATCGATAAAATCGATAAAAGTAATGCACGATTTTAAAAACTAATATTGTATTCGGAATGCCCATGCTCACTTACCCCCCTGGCCAACTCCCAGCCCCGTAGCTCAAATTTTGCAAAAAATCGATAAAATCGATATCGATCGATACGAAAAGTAGCCTATGACACCCGCCGGAGCCCGAAGTGCATGTGTGCCAAGTTTGGTCCGGATCGGTTCAGAAGTGAAATTTTCTATTCGGAACATACGTACAGACAGACAGACAGACATACAGACAGACAGACAGACATACATACAAACAGACATTCAGCTTTATATATAAGATATATTCAAAATATGTGTGTGGTACTTTGACGTGTAAGAAACTGAGCATAGCAAGGAACATTTCATAGTTATAGACTTGTACGCAAAGTAATGAAATAATGCAGTTTTATGTATTTAGCATTTACGCGTCTTCAAATAATCTATCTTATCCATAATTTTTACCACAATAATGCAGTTATCCAGTGTCCGCTCGAGGCTAAAAAGAGGTAAGAATCAATAGACCACTTCTCTTTTCTTCTGTGATTCTTCGCAATAATTCAGTCTATTTGAATCAGCGAAGCAGGATTACCAAAACTGCTTTGCTTGCGACGATTGTACTGATATTAATCTCACCTCTACTTCTCAATCAAATTAGCGCTCGGAGGTTGCGAGGTGATGACAACTATGTAAATGAAAATATTGAGGTCAAGAAAGTAAGTTAAGAATTTTGTTCACTCAAAAATCTTCCCATCAATCGAAAATGCCTTACAACTTGCTATCTTCGATTTAGACTCCTCTCATCGTTGTTTGGACAAAATATTGGAACGAAGATATGCTAAAAATGTTGATGCCAGCTACAGAAAACTGCGCCTATCAATGTAAACTCATTGATAGGACAGAGCTAAAGTCAGTTTCCCAGTTTTTTGCTCACGTTCAGTAATTGCCTACATATTCAGCGCATGATTTCAGTAATCAGACCGCTTCTGCTTACCTTTTTCATGGGCCAAACATAGTTCTAACAGATTTACCAGCTCAAGGCCCAAATCACCTAAATATTCTCATTGCAAGAGAATCTCCGCTCCAGTTGAAAAAGATAAATAGCTTACAACAGGTGAGCGTTTTTCCGTTATTCTGTTTTGAAATTTGTCGATTGGGAGTTTCTCATAATTTGTAATACAACTGATAAGAGCAAAGGACTCCTTAGGCTACAGATAATTGCACTTGACTAGATTTTTACGAGGAAGGTCAGGGGCCGGCACTGATGGTTTGGGGTCAAACTGGACTTCGTTTTTGGAGCTAGAAGCAACGGGGACATCGTTTTTATGAGGTCCTGGAGGAAGCGCCAAAAAACACGACGAACATGTCAGGTTTCACGAGTTGAACGTGTTCTTTCGCAAGCGCGCGAATTTCAAATGCAAGACTCAAAGAAACAAATGGCTTGTTTACAGCGCACAAACAATCACATGGCTCCGAATTTGGGCTATGAGTATACAATATTACTCCAAACTATGTTATGTAAAAAGTTTTCAAAACTTATGTGTCTAAATACCCGTTCCGGATTTGTTGGTTTCTAGACCAACCACCGAACCAACTGGGTTGGTTCGGAGCATAAATTTCGGAGAGTTCACATAAGTTTTGGACCTTTTTGATTTGGACGATCAAAACGCTCAAAAATCTATTATATAGTGAAGAGAGCGAATCAAACTATTGCCTCTCCTCTTCTTTTGAGCCAAAAGTAGTGCAAATCTATAAACCTTGATAGATATTGCGCTCCAATCACACGCGGTGTCCTTTGAACTATGTGGCGAAAAATGCACTGCCGATTGTTGAGGCCACAGATTTGGATGGCCTAGGAGGTTCTCGACTTTCTGAGCGCTAAAATGGTACTCTACCCAAAAACAGAACCTTTAATCAACTCGAAATGTCTTCTTTTTGCTTTTTTTGTTGTATTAGTTACCTCAAAATGCGCTTTTTTCGCTTTTTAATGTTATTATGACTAATTAAGGGTTCCCCTATTGATATTTACGTCAAGAGGGACTTCGTAAATTTTCGCGAAGTCATGGGGGACTTCGTTTCCAGAAACACTTCAAACCAACGCGTGCCGGGCCCTGATGAAGGTTCGTTCAGTCATGTTTTTTGACACGTTTTAGATGTTACTTTTGGTGACGCTGATCCAGGGCCCTTCAGAGATGGCGCTTTCACATTTTGGATGCCATTTTTTTAGAGACAAAGAGGAACCCGTAAAGGTTATTCGTAGAAATCTGATAACACAATAGTAGCAAGCATAAAGATACTTCTTAATGTTGATAAGCCTAAACCTGGAGATTCAACGTCGTTTTGCCAGAAGAAATACTAACATGTTACAAGCACTATTATTTTTGTGCGATTTCTAAATACTTGCTCTGTGCGTAAGAATAGAAAGTTCAGTTTGTTTGCAATGATTTGGCACTATTTTGAGTCACCAAATTTTATCTTTGCGACGATGATAAAGAAAACCGCGAGAAGTCATGAAGAAATTGTGTGAATGAAAGGAGCTGTAAGCGTTTGACCATGTTGCATGTCCCGCGCAAACTGGGGGCGTTTTGAGGGCTGAAATAGCAACTTTCCTTCTTGTTTTCGTGACCTTCAACACGAAACTATTCTTGAGCTTAAGCTCTACCTATGCGTAACCCTTACCAAGCTTCGTGCCCTCTGCTTTGTTACGGCCTTGTCAAGATATATTGATTTCGATGCTGAAAGTGAAAAAAATTAGGGAAAGCCCATTATTTGACTACCCATAGTATAGCGCTCTGCTTGATCATGAGATCGTGGAGGCTTGCGTCCATTGCCTCACGCATGTTCAATATTGCTGAACTTACCGCCATCGCCTTCGGCATGCTGAATTTAGGGTGAAAAGCGTGACTGATAAGGTCTCACCTGAAAACAAAAAACGCGTAAAATGCGAAGAAAAACAAAGAAACTTAGCTTTCCAACTTAACACCATCAAACTGTGCGTGCGAAGCACAATAAGAGCAAACCTCACCAACCTTCGCGATGAGACAGGGCACCATATCTGCCCTTTCACAATGCTTGAGTGTATCATTGGTTAAAATTTCCTGGCTATCAAATCTTACTTTAGTAAGTGTATAGTATGAAAAGAGGTGTATGCACAAAGGCAATGGCCTGTAAAGAGGAGTTAGCTCATTTGATACATGAATTCCTACCATTAGAGGTCAGCAAACTCATACTTATTGTTAGTAGATTTTTCATTTGGGCATCATCTTTACTTAAATTCACCTCAATAAAAAAATTGAGGCTTGTATGTTGGCTACTCGCCAGTAGCGGACTTTCCTTGAAGGAACCATACAGTGACTTTCTCAGATCGGAGCTCAGTGGAAGCCTCGGTTGGCTGGGTAGAAAATTTACTCTCTGAACTCAAAGCAGAGAATGCTTCTTTATCCGATTCCACCCTGTGCGATATGTGGAACGGAAGATTTGAGCAAAATTTTGTTACAGTACAATCAAACTTTTTCAGGCTTCACGCAGTTACTACAACAATCCTTTGCAATCACTATTTGCAAAAGAAGAGGTGCACAAAAATTCTTTCCATACTTTTACAAAATTCTTTTTTCACAGCTTCCACGGAACTACTTTAATATCACTATAACTTACAAAAGGAGTTCTCGCTACTTCTTCCCTTATGGCCAGTTAGTGCCAATATCGCCAGGAGATTCTCGTGATTCTATATTCACTAAGGAAGAGGTAAGAAGCAATTGTGGTAATCGAAGGACCGGTCGCGTCCGTAATTTGATTTTGTCAAATTATGCAAGTTTTTCACCTTTTGGAAACGAAATTGCTGGTAAGTTTTCGTTCGAAAATAAAAAATGCAAAATTGCATTTAGGGGTTAAGCCAGACTGCGCGAGACATTTAGCTATACCAAAATCCAATATCTGAGCTTTGAAGCTCACATCATTTGATTTATTTGGAAAACACCTTTCGCTTTACCACGCATCCATGTTTACATTATTATTTATAGGTTCGTATCGCATTAAAGAAAAAGAAGAACGGAGTGCTGTTCTACAATTGTAATACATCTTCAGAGACTCTATATCTGGAAAACATCAGGTTTGTCTTTAGAGATTATTTTACAAAGTCGGAAGAAAACTTCAGGAAGCTTGGAGCTACCGAAATCATAGAAGAAGACAAATGCGAACGACGCATTTCTGCTGGCATAAGCGCAGGAAGTGCTTTGTGCAAGCCAGATTGCAGCAGTAACGATCTTGTTGGTTCGTGCTATTACAGAAATCATCGCTCATGTGATTTAATGAATATGCTTTTCAAGCTACTCATCGATTCTACATCGCATTTGAGGACGATATTTGCGATGATTTTATCTCAGAAAAGTTCTACGATCAATTTTCTCAGTTGCTCGTGCCAATTGTGCGGAAACGACGAATTTATAGAGGTAGTGTATGACTTAGCAAAAAGATCTAGCTATGAATTATCTAGACGCTGGCGTTCCGCGTCACTCCTTCATTGCTGTGGATGATTTCGACAATTTTGAAGATTTGAGAGAATACTTGGAACTTCTGCGTAGGAACGATACCGAGTATCTCAGGTCTGTTCAAGGCATAATACATTTGAAGCTTCTCTTGGTAAACTTTTCAAAATTTTGAGCAATCATAGCCCTCAAACTTTTTTATCGTTCAACACTTTTGCCATCTAACTCGCTTTATCAGCATATTGGAAAAGATTAAATGAATAAAAACTTATCAAATTAGGCCAACTTTGCTCAAGCAAGTGAATATAGAAAAATTCCTATAGGATTCGCTCAACCTATACAGTACCGATTATACTTTAGTCCAAATCGAATAAAAATTCTATTATTCAAATAAAACATTCAAATATTTTCGCATTCGAAATTCGATATTTGGAGTTTTTCCATTTTCAAATGATATTCGAAACTCGAATAACTGAGAAAGCAGGGTTTCCAATAAAATTCGAAAACTCAAATAATCAAAAAACGGAGTTTCGAATAGATTTTATTCGAATCTTTTATTCGAATGTTTATTCAAATTCGTATTCGAATGAACTCCGCAATCAGATTATTCAAGTTTGTTGCAGATCCAACTGCTAAGTATCAGGCTTGCTTCGTCTGCGTTTTTTCCCACAAAACTCGGTAGTGCATCTCAACCGTGGTGACCTTTGAACTGCATGAAAAGTCGCATTCCCCTAACTGCTTGCGACAGTAAAAAAGATATGGATTTTGCTTGATTGCTTTTTCGATCAAAGAAATAGGCCCCAATGCGACTGGCACCAAACCAGGAAGAAAAACAGTTATCAAATTCAAGCTCATGTTCCGAGTTCTTATATTGGAAGGGTGTTGACAGGCCGGTTTCTCTTCCTTTGCATTGCTCATGCTTTTGGCAAGCAAAGGTCCACACTAGTGAACACTCTTGCTCATAAAACTCATGTTGCACAACTGCCTCTATTCTTTACCTTGAAGATTTTTCGCGAATTGGTGCAGTTTGAGCAAAGGACGTCCCGTAGTGGAGGATTAGACGGTTGCTGAATCTTGCAATTATATCACCTTGTAATAAAGTTTTGTTTAGTAGATAATAGGAAGTAAGATATGACATTTTGCTAATGAATGGACTAGTTGCCAACCTACCAACTGCATCGATTTTTTGGAAAAAGCTACGGGTGTGGGAGTTGATGCGGGGGGGGGGGGGGGGCGTAAGTGAGGACGCTGATTATGGACAAAAATTTACTTTAATGCTTTTTTCGATTTTTGGAGAACTTTGAGCTACAAGGCTGAGAGTTGGTAAGGGGTAAATAAGGGTGCTGATTAAAAATAAAATCTATTAGGTTGATTAATAATTAATGCACGTTTTTGTCATTCCTTTTTCCAAGCGCTGATTCTTCAAGAAGACTGATTCTTTCCGAAAACTTTCAAGGCTAACTGAAAAAGCGTTTCTTCTGTTTCTAATGTATGTGTATGCTACCAAATTCCACGCTTTAAATATGAGAGACTAAAACTTGAATTCCTTTTTCCTCTAAGCTCTATTTCCATACAAGCCATGCTGATTTCGAAAAATGTGCTTAACAATTGCGAAGTTTTCTGCTATAGAATTCTCTCTAAAGCAGAATTTTGCAAAAGTTCTGAGACGAAAGTTTTAACCACAAACTTGACCTGTCATTCTGGTCTCTCAATGTCGTACAAAATTCTGGAGCAAGGACCAATCGCTGTGATTTTGCTTTGTATACAAAGAGTAGACGTAGCACATTGAGTGATAGAAAAAACGATGAAATTTTTCAGTGGCAAAAAATATGAAAATTCTCAAAAAAAAACAATTTTTCGCCCTTCTGTAAAGCCAGGAAAATTAATCACTTTTGAATTTTTTGCAGTACCTCGTCGTAAAAATTCCATAAAGTGTGTGTTTTTCGCCACTGCTCTCTTGAGCATTGGCTACGCAGTGAGCAAAGCTTGCGCTTTCCTACTATCTTCAAGAGTAAGTTATACATTCTCAAAATAGAGGTTTCTAAAAAATTCGTGGCATTTTTCGGATTATACAAACTCTCTCGTAATAATTGTGGATAAACAGATGTATTGTAAAGCCAAAGTTTTGCTCTTTGCAACAGTCCTTTTGCACTTGAGCAGATGATTTTGGAAAAAAAAATTAGGCGTTTAGGAGTGGAATTCCAAAAAAGTGCATTAATTATGAATCAACCTAATATTTTATCGATTTCGATTTGGAAGATCTTCTAGGATTTGGTATAGGGGATATGAGGGTGCTGATTACGAATGAATCGGCTTTAGCCGAATATGTCAGCAATTTTTAGATATGGTTGCTTTTATTCGGTAAATCATTCGAATATTTATTCGAAATTCGACTCCTAAGGTTCGATATAATCGATATTCATTCATTCAATATTTCTGACTTTCCGATTTTATTCGGGATTCCTTCATTCGAGAATTTTTTGAATTTCGAATTTATTCGATATTCGTTTATTCGAGAATTTTTGTTCTTGAATTCATTCGATATTCGTCTATTTGAAATTCTTCATTTTCGAATTTATTCGATATTCATTTATCCGATAAAAAATTTCGAATTTACCCAAGTATAGTGCCTAGTCTTCGCGTTTTCAACTGGGATGTAGCTTAAGAAATGAACAGTTGCTGCAGAAAAGTCATCTTCATTCTACACATTTGTCTAACATTGATTCTCAAAACGATGCCATAGGTGCTTGCCATCACAGGTGCGATAGGGGCAACAGTGTCCCCTCCAGGTAATGGGGGTTTCGGCTATTTCCGACTTAGAAAAGTTGAGGGGTAACTGAGCTTTGAGGTGAATGCTGACGTAAGCTTACACGCTAAGTGGGACTGGATTAGGGCCAAGCATGTGATGCGACTGTCGAAAAGGGGGTCGTAAAGTGTTTACCTAAGGCGAAGAGGGGGTCGTAAGAGGAGGTAGTTTAGCTAAAAACCGTAAGCTTAGAAGGAAATCAAAGAGCTGATAATAAGTACATGTTCTTTACAATAATTTTTAAAAAAGTAGAAATTAAAATAATGAAGAAAATTTTTTTGAAAATTCCCAAAAAAACATTTCTAAGAGCTTGAAACACTTTTGAAGGATGTACGATTTGATAAAAATTCTAAGTGTACCGAGTAACGTAAAAATCTTACTTCCAAGTCTCTCTGAACTCTCACACATTCGACAAAAACGAGTATCATTATCGACGAAAACTATCTGTAATTTTTGAATCTTTTTGCAATGTTATTCACGGGCCCTTACAATTCATATGTATTTTGGAGATGTTCTGCTACATTTTTGCAAAATCTGGTCCTTCGTAATCTGTGGATTTTTTTATAATTTTTCGTAAGCCGACAAAAACTGAAGTAAGGGGATCGTATCTGGTTCACATCTAAATTTCTCGGGAGCTATTGAAGTTTGTTTGCTGCAATTCTGCCATTTTTTACTCTTCAAAAATATCGTTTTTTTTCTCTGCAAAAATGGTGTCTCGTATCGGGATAGAACACGAGACTGTCTTTATAGAACGTTCTAATTTCCAGCACCATAGTCGATATCTTTCGGTACCACTTAAACATGAATGAGTTATGCCAAACATTCATAAACAACAGAAGAATTTATTATCTGTTACTAGAAAATGAGATATTATAAATTAATCAATCATAATGATTGAGGAGAACCGTTCATAATGCTGAATTTTTCTTGGCTGTTAATTTATTTTTCAGTGTTCACTCTTGGTAGAGTATAGCTCAAGTATATCATTCAGACCAAAAGTGATGTTCTGCTTTGTCAGATGATGTCTTTTTCATCCACATTTTCCCGACAATAAGCCGCCAAATCTTTATTAAGTTTTATTACTTACCCAATTTACGCATTTGTGAGGTTTATAAGAGTGGTGGAGCATCACTTGTATTATCTCTCAATGTAGTCATTTTTCTCTGAACTCTAATCTTGATTAAGGTTTATTAGCAGGCATCTTCTAAGATTGACACTCTCTTATGTATGTTCAAAAACAGTGGCGGTGAGATAGGTGGGGGGGGGGGGAGGGGTTGTACGCATGGGTACTTCAGGGGGGGGGGGGTGGAAATGAGGGTCACTGATCGCATCAACACGCTTGACCCTGGGCTGGATGTGCAGAGAGAGGAAGTGATGCAGGGGTAATATAATGAATTTCTCAGGCTTGGGTTCTGAATGGTCATCAAACAGTCCCGTCAATCGACAAATCATCCGGAAGTTTGGAACACGTAGAATAAACGTAGACCGTCTCTTTTTCTCCAGCTCTCTTGTGAATTCACATATAAGGTTTTATTTGGCTGCAGCATCAACTGATGTTATGCTATCAGTTTGCGCTCCATTTCTGAAAGGGTGAGGGAAGCTAAAAAAAGAGACGGTTTATGTTTACTGGCAGGATCTTGCTCTGTAATACTGTCAGATAATCAGGCAGCTTCATTCTTTACGCAGGAATTTCTTTACAAAAACACACATAATTCTAGCTAGAATGAGATATATCTCCGAGAAGAGGAGAGCTAGAGAAAAAGAGACGGTCTATGTCGTATCCCCGGTTCATGAGCTTTCCAACGGTATATAGGTTGTTGAGGAAAAAAAACTGATGGCTTTCAAAAATGAGGTGGAGATTTTTATTATTAGCTTGCCCCCCCCCTTCAGTGGTGTGATTTTGTGGATCGACGAGCAAGATATTTTGAGCTAGGAAAGCGCTATGCGCCAACACTTTGTATATACCTTTCGATAGCTAAGAACATGCGGAATTGACACAGACCTCTCTTTTTTCCTAGCTTTTCTGTGAAGCGAGATAAGAGCAGTTTCATCTAGCTACAAATATCTGCCAATTCTGGATAATTATTTTACGCTTCATTTTTGAAACCAAGGTCTTTTTCGAGTTTTAGATACGATTAGCTTGAAAAACTAATAACCTAGCTGCTCTTTTATTTGTTATTACCCTTTGATGAAAGAAGATATGGTACGATTCTTGTCAGTAAACATGCATCCAATTTGGCCAGTCCAGATTTTCTATCTTGTTCAGCTCTTTCTTGCGACAATGTGTTTCATTAATACAATGTTAATTATTCAAAGAATCAGGCATCCTTTCAATTTTTACGTTTTGTTACCAACGCCACTTTGAGTGCAACATGCTTCAAGCAGGTCTTTATTCAACAAAAATGATGTTGCTTCGTTGCTGTCTTGCAGTCTTGATGTCTAGGCGAAGAGCAGCTAGCGTTTTCTTTCAGAAAAAATGTCATGATAGTACCTGTTTCATTCTGCCGTTATGCTTGATTCTAGTCTCACTCAGGTAAAAAGGGCCAAATGTCTTCGAAAATGAAGGGAGTCAGAGAAATTTCTTCTCCTATGGCATCTATGCTTACAATGAAACACCATTTATAGCATCTTCCTAATCTTTCCCATAATTCCAGGTATTTTGAATGGACGAATGATTTCCGGAAGCCAAATACATATCGGACAGATGTTTTATGCAAACTTTGTGAGGACATTCATAACAAACGAGCATCAATGGTGGACGACATTGAAAATTATCTTGATGTCGAGCAGTGTGATTAAAGATTTTGCCTTGCTTTTGTAGAACAAAAATGATTTCAGCAACGCAGAGGTTAGCAGGCAGGTTTCAGTCTTCACGCATAAAGCCAAAACCAGTTTACATTCAGCTCTTATTTCATATCTTACATATCTTTCTACATATCTTATCTGTTGTGTTTGAGAGTATTCAGTTGTTCCTCATCTGATGCAATCAACTTTGCGTTTTACTCACGCAAACTAAGTGAAAACGACTGTGCCATTGGCGAGAATCGGCCATTTTGACATAGAGTAGAATGCAAACTTACAGTGAGAGGGTCCAAAGCAGCGGACGTATGCGAAGAGGCCTTGAAGTAAAATATAGGGTACTAGATGGCAAACCCGGCTCCGCCCGGCCCTGTCAATAATATACTCGTAATCAGCATGCTCACTTACCCCCTGTGCCAACTCCCACTCCCGTAGCTCGAACTTTTTGAAAAATTGATAAAATCGATATCGATCGATGACGAAAAGTAGCCTATGACACCCGCCCGGCCCCGAAGTGTATGTGTGCAAAGTTTGGTCCGGATCGGTTCAGAAATGGAACTTTCTATTCGGAACATACGTACACACATACATACATACATACATACATACAGACAGACAGACATACAAACAGACATTCAGCTTTATATATAAGATACAGTGGCTTTTTGTAACAACATATGCAATCGTGCAACCACTAAATATTTCAAATTGCAAAGTTCATAGTTTTGTCTTGCTCAGAGATCTTTAAAAAACGTAGAATATAATAAGAGCAGCCAGCTGAAAGTTCTGCAGTGCAAAAGAGTACGAGATTTGTGGTTTGCATTTCGATTGTCTAAGTAGTTCATTTGAGCATGTTGATGCAAAATAAATATGTTCATAGTGCATATGCAGAAAGAAGTTTCTTTCGTACTACTTTGATCATATGATGTGAAGTGCAGACTTCACTTGTAAGAGCTTGCAATAGTTCAATTAGCAGTAACGTTCTATTGCAATGTCCTAGTCAGCTGGATATCAACAAGACGGCGATCAGATTATATGTCCACAACCCTCAAGCAAGATAAATGCAGTTTATCTAATACTCTGTGCGCATGGAAAATTAGCCTAAGAACTCATTCCAGCAGGGGATAAAAGGAAGCAGAAACGATTTATTTTGTCACAGTTTAGGATCATTAGATTAAAACGTAAGTAATGTGTCAAAATTTGTCAGAACTGACTATGTCATTTCTTTTCGTAGTTGATATGATTGATCCTATGCGTAGACGAATGTTTCAGACAAGAGAGGTTTTGAAAGAAGCAGAGGGTTATAATGATATAAATCTCAGAAATTTCTTGCTGTTTTGAGCTGATATATAAAAAATTCCTTTCTTCTCGGAATGAATAAGATATGTACAATAATGGCCGCCTTGAGATGCAGCTTCCTTATCTAACTTCTAATTGCTGAACGGTTCACTCTAAAAATTTACAGATAATTGTATCTTGACGCAGGACAAAGTATGCCGAATAGTAAACCCATTCCACTAACTTCTTTATAACTGGGAGTACATATGCGATCTTCAAAAAGTAACACTCTGAAGCAGTTTGTTTACTCACTTTATCCAATTGAAATGGACAGTGTAGTTGGAAAAAGAAAAGCCTATTTTTATTTGACCGCTTGGCAATACTGAAAGGACGTTTTCAATCAGCATTCTAGGCGGTCTTTGATAGGCAGCCTTACAGGGAAATGCCATTTGAATTAAATGGTCTTCGTTGCTATCTTTGAGCTATAGCTTCCTGTTTATAAACAGGAACCCGGCATTTTGACAACCAAATTCTCGGTTGAGAATCATTCTTAAAAGTGCTTAACCGCGACCAGTGGCAGCATCGACTCAGTTTCATCACTGCAGGTCTTCTGCTCATTGTTCAAAAAAAATCTAAAATCGACCTCAAGTATAAAAAGGTATGCGTAACAGTTGGGAGACTTTTGTAAACGTTTCCTTCAGATGCGTTTGGAGTTCTACTTACTGCTTTTTCCCCTTCTTTCTGCCGCAGTTGATCTGGAGTCATGGGCGGAAGCAGCTGAAAATATCAAGATCGATGATATTGCTCCCGAAATAGCGAAAGCGGTAAATGAAACTCTGTTCTTAAATTACCAGTAATATTCTATTTTTAGAAGAGCTATGCGTTCAAGTTAGATATAAAACCAGTCAATAAAAAGCGCGTACAGAAAACTCTGTCAAAGCGCATACAGGTAGTTCGTGAAAATTTTGTCATGATTACCCTAAATTTTCGTACTTTCAGAAAGAAATGAGCAAAGGAATGGAAAAACAAGCCGAAGACGAACTTAAATCTTTTGCTCATGAAGGACCGAAATTGTTCCAAGCAAGGGCCGAGCTGATGCATAATCAACATCAATGACTATTGCATCCCCAACACCCGATGCAGGATCTAGAACTTCACTTTTTGAGTGTCTTCTCAAGTATTCTAATTGAGCGATTCAGCGATATTGCTTTTCAAAAATTCCAAATGTTACGATTTTTTATGACAAAGCGGTGTAAAGAATTATGTTTGAGCTGTTCTTAGCCTACATAAAAAATCACTAAATAACCTCATTTACTAATTTCAAAGCGATAAAAGGTAGCAGATACGCAGATAAAACTTTTTAGCACTATAAACATAGCAAACGCGAACACATGCTCAAGTTCCACACCAAATCTTTACTTTGTGATTCTAATGAAAGAAAGCGATGCTTATTAAGTCGACAACTGTTGCTAATGTGTCTACCAAAATGTCACGTAGCTGTTGAGCTAAATTCAAAGGCCTGCTTGCTTGACTACCTTTTGATTCCGCAACTGCAGGATGGGGAACGAAGATGTTCAAAACGAGAAGCTCTTTTTCGAAGCCTCTGCTTTTGAATCTGGACATATGAACTCCAAACTTGCCAAAATTGGGACAAAGTCGTTGCGGAATCCTATGTTCGTAACTGTGTGCCATATGCGTTCACATTTTGAAATAAATAATAAGATGGGCACGAGATGGCCGTGACGTTACGCAGCAAAACACAGGCACAAAATATAATGTTTGCGCTTCGTACAGTTTTATTGAACTTGTCAATGTCAATAATCACTGAGAAATAATAAAGACTAGTCGGCTTTCCCGGTCCAGCCCGGGCCATTGGTCACCTGCAGGTTTTTATTTGAACTCTTTATTGAGCCTTACCTTAACTTATAAGCTATGAAATCGATATTGACGTGCCCAACATGAGATGGTACTATTTCAGAGCGACCCCGTGATTTGAAAGAAAATTAAAAGATGCTTATAAAGAAAAAAACATAACTAAGGAAACTATAAAAAAATTAGGGAATTAAAGCGAGTTTTGGCTGAGACCAGTTAGATATTCAAAAACCAGCTCACCTGTCTTTTACCCAAAAAAAGTTTTTACTACTACAAAACTGTTTCGCTGTGAAAGCAAGATTTATGTGAAAAAATATGAAAAATTAAGAGCCAGTTAAAGTTTGGCTGAAACCAATTTTCTTCATTTTTAACCGTTCCAGTTAGTTCGGGAAGAAGTTAAACACGCTTTCGTTCACATAGATTTTGAACCATAGTTGAAGGTCCCACAAGCGCATGTGCACACCAAATTTGGTGTCATATTATTTCGATTGTAAACAAGAGTTTGCTTGTTTATAACACAGTTTCGAATTCCCGCGTTGATTAGCTGTTAGTTTCCTGCCAATACTCCACCGGCATTCCACCGATACGGCCAGAGGCAGCCGGAGGCATGCCTCCAGCTTGCTAACAAAAAATGGCATGCCAAGCCAAAATGGCCCCTTTGGTTTCCGTTCAAAACATGCAGATTGACCCGGTCTCAGCTGCGCCGAGTCCTGGTTCAAACATAATTGGAAGTAATATAACTAATTGATCTCACCATTCGAAATTCTTTTTGCGACGTCTATAATGAAAATGGGTAAGTTCATCGCTTGCATCAAAATGAGTGCTCTCATCTTTCCTGTTTGTGGATTTCTGCTCGAAATCGACTTGCTGGTCGCTTGCGTGCTTCGCTACACAAGCTTCTCCAAACGAAACCGACACAATATCGAGCTTTATATTTTATTGCTGCAGCTGGCGAATCTGCAGATTGGAACAGGTATCACAAAGCTGCATCATTTTGCTTCGAACAAAGGAACGCAACACCCGAATGCCTTTACGGCGTTTTGCAGAACATCATCACAAGCTTCACTTCTATGATCCCTTGACCCTGAGCCAACAATCAACTTTGCTGTGGACTGTAGCACTCCGCGACTATGATCATCACTTTTCTTTCTATGCCATAGGGCGCTTGAGCAGACTTACCAAAAAGCTTCAATGCTAGAAATTGTGCTAGCATTGTGATTTGGATTCGATTGTTCGAACCTAGTGTTCAAATCTTATTGGATATTTACATACATATTCGCTGTCAAGAAACTCGACCGATATTTTCTGTCTCAAAGATTGCTTTTTGATTGACGATGATAGTTGAGTACGCGTCAAGCTTTTTCTTTGTACGGCCGCAGTTACGCCAAGTATCTAGTGGAAAGAGGGGGGGGGGGCAGCTGGCGATCACCCCTTTTCATTCTTGACTCAAGCTACATTTGGTTATCGATCTCATTTGGTCGTGTCCTATATTTACTTACAATTTCAGTGCCTTTGCCTGCTTTGAGGTCATTCAGTCTAAAACATATCAACTGGATATGACCGCTACCTTTTTTGCCATAATCAGAATCTCATACTATGTTTATCTAATAAAGGTTTAATTACACTTTGAGGTAATCCCACGTGCACAACTCTCACCAATCAAAATACACGCGTGGCACAACGAGCACTGCACAGCAATTTCAACCGTTATATTCGGATTTTGACAATATCTATGCTCTTGATAATGTATCCTTTTCCGTAATGTATTACATGTATAATCGAAATGCGTACTACATCAAGATTGTGTGCCTTCACAGCTCCGACTCAGGCACTCCGCTGATTGCTCGTCACTCATATAACACAGAGCGCGAAAGCATATTGGCCTGCCCGTCAATATTATTCTGCACAAAAATACGGAAACTTCAAATCAGCTACTATCGGCTCCCCGATTGCTGCGAGGGCTATGGTCAAATAATCAATTTATCAGCTATGTTTCAACACAGGGCAACCGCATCGCTTATACGCTGGCCCGGGTCCGCCCTCGCGGCAATCGGGGAGCCGATGGTATTTCTCCAAGTATAATACTACCTGAGTACCAAAAATGGATGGGATCTTTGCATGCGCTGTGAGTTACGTAGACTCAACTCAAAAATAAAATAAGAGAGATGCCTCGAGATGCCTTGAAATCGACTGTAGTGGTGAAAGTGCTCCCCGATATCCTCTGAGTGCGTAGTTGTAAACTAATTTGTTCATTTTCAGACGTAGAAGGTAAATGTGTCAAAAGTCAAGAGAGTATCTTATCAATTTATGAGAGATATAACCCTAAAAAGACGTCGAATGGATTGCAGATCGTATTACCCATTTCAGACTCTGAAGAAGGCGATCTGCCGAAACGTTAGCCGATAAAGTATTGTAACAATCTCGGTCACGGCTCACAAACAACACACAATATAATACCACCATGCCGAGGTTCATTGAGAGTCGTACATTCCATAACCCTAAAAACCTTTATTCTTCTCTTCGCAGCAGGGTTTCTGAAACCCAAACGTCTTTAACATGAGTAACCTTGGGTACAAGTAGATTATTAAGTCACATTATTCAAACACTGGACGCGCATGAAAAATTGGTTATATACTGTGCACCGGCAACTTATAAGAGAATAAGATATATTCATTAATGCTGCTGGACCCGCATCAAATCTGGCCTCTGTCGAATCATTTTTGCGCCTTCAACAGTAATGTGGTCAATACCACCTTCAGCTAGCTTCTCCATTGTTTTTCGCATGCTTTTCTATAAAGATAAAAGCTTTTCAGAGTGACAATACGTCTACATATCTTTCTGTGACTTACCTGTATACGCTTTCGCAATTCTTTCTGCACATGCTTTTTATTGACTGGTTTTATCTCCAAATTAAATGGATAGTTTTTCTAAGATAAGTGTATCAAATGAAAGAGAGAGTAGAAACTGTCAGACCTACCGACTTTGCTATTTCAGGAGCAATGTCATCGATTCTGATATTCTCTGCTGCTTCTGCCCAAGACTCCAAATCAACTGCGGCACAAACAAAAACGGACGGCAGAAATATAAGCGGAATTAACTTTGAAAGCATCTGAACGCCTCGAAAGCTTGGCTGAAGCAAAATGTGTACAAGAAAAGTTTGGAAGTAGTAACTTGGTAGGAATGACAATTCTTACCAATCGTAAGACTGGAAACTATAAGAATAATGCGAATGGAAGCTAGTCGGTCAAGTGGTACGATGAGCGATAAGCTAATAAGTTGCTCTACAAACAAAAGCAAGTCTGGTGCACTCCCAAGCAATACAAGTTTGGCTACCGCTCGCGATTTCAGTCCCCACATGACCTGGGAAATTGCCAGATGTCTTCAAATTCGATGCTGGTAGACCCCAAAGGCACAGCATATAACTGTCGTAGGCTGATAAAATGCCCTATTTTCCGTACATTCAGAAACCGCTTACGATGAGTTATGACTAATGCAGCATCGCCGAATCGCATCACGATTGAAAATGCGCGAAGTATGTTTCTGGGCCTTAATATGTGCTTATGATTTCGATATGTAGGTTATAAGCAGAGTTAAGCAAGGGGTCAGGCACAAGTCTTTCGAAAACGACCCCCTCCATGAAAGCGCTCAAACTACCCCTTCTTCCTCCTCTTGACCTTCCGAACTTCTGATTGTGACATTCTGGAGGACAGCATCCTTTTCTTGAGAGTTTTCAGATTTTCGAAAACAGTAAGCCCAATTTTCTGTGACTGCACTTTATAATCGCACGCAATTTGACGGCTGATTTTCTTTTTGGGCCTATTGAAAGGGCCATATTTTTTCTAGGGGTGGGGCGTTCAGCTCCAAATTTACAATGTAGCAAGAAGAAGCTATGAGCTCAATATTCCTACAAGGAGTGGAGCGATTTCTGGATTTTGAAGGCAAGTTAAGAGATTGGCGCAACCCCTCAAAAGCTCATGCGGCCTCACCTTTTGAGTTGCGCCTGACCCGATCAACTTTATCATTGAAGGAGCTTTTCCATCATATTTTCTTACGATTCGCTAGTATAAACCTCGGAGATAGTACAATAGGGTTTGAGCTTACCTCGACTTGTTTTGACTTTTTGGTGATCGGTGTAGTTGAAGCACTCGAGGTAGGAAACGACTAACATTTTGGCAGCACTTTTCATCCACTACTTGTAAGCGATTTAAAGTCTAATTCCTGTTATAGGTTAACAGCACCACTTTGTTATGAGTACAAAAAAGCTAACTTCTTTCACTTTTGTGACCAAGATAATCGTGTTTGTAAATTATGCCTTTTAGACGTTAGGAAACACTAGAGAATGTAATGGGCAGTGGCGGACCGAGGGGGGGCGGGGGGGGGGGGGGGCGCGCGCCCCCCCCCCGAGAATGGGTCGCGAAATTTTTGAAACTTACCTATATGGGTTGTAAAAATGTGCAAACGACTTGTTTGCACTTGAAAATAATTAAAATAATTTTTGAAATTTTTTAAAAATTCATTTTAGCCTTATAAAAAAACTAGCTGGCTTACCCGGCTCCGCCGTATCCGGACCAAACTTGGCACACATACACTTCGGGCCCCGGCGGGTGTCACAATCCACTTTTCGTTATCGATCGATGTCGATTTTACCGATTTTTATCGATTTTTTTGCAGAGTTCACCTACAGGGCTAGGAGTTGGCACAGGGGGGGAAGTGAGCATGGGGATTCCGAATACAATATTAGTTTTCAGAATTATCGATTACTTTTATCGATTTTATCGATTTTTTGTAAATTTTGACATGCGAGGCTGGGATTTTGCACAGGGGGGTAATCGAGCATGCTGATTACGAACACAATATTAGTTTTCAGGATCGTCCATTACTTTTATCGATTTTATCGATTTTTTTGTAAAGTTTGACCTGCGGGGCTGGGAGTTTGCACAGGGGGTAATCGAGCATGCAGATTACGAATACAATATTAGTTTTCAAGATCGTCCATTACTTTTATCGATTTTATCGATTTTTTGAAAATTTGAGCTAGGGGGCTGGAATTTGGCACAGGGGTGTAATCGTGCATGCTGATCACCCCCCTTGGGGATGATCAGCATGCTCGATTACCCCCCTGTGCCAACTCCCAGCCCCCTAGCTCAAACTTTGCAAAAAAATCGATAAAATCGATAAAAGTAATCGATAATCCCGAAAACCAATATTGTATTCGGAATCCCCATGCTCGATTACCCCCCTGTGTCAACTCCCAGCCCCCTAGCTCAAACTTTGCAAAAAATCGATAAAATCGATAAAAGTAATCGATAATCCCGAAAACCAATATTGTATTCGGAATCCCCATGCTCAATTACCCCCCTGTGCGAACTCCCAGCCCCGTAGCTCAAACTTTGCAAAAAATCGATAAAATCGATAAAAGTAATCGATAATCCTGAAAACCAATATTGTATTCGGAATCCCCATGCTCGATTACCCCCCTGTGCCGACTCCCAGCTCCGTGGGTGAACTCTGCAAAAAAATCGATAAAAATCGATAAAATCGATATCGATCGATGACGAAAAGTAGCCTATGACACCCGCCGGGGCCCGAAGTGTATGTGTGCCAAGTTTGGTCCGGATCGGTTCAGAAATGGAATTTTCTATTCGGAACATACGTACAGACATACATACATACATACATACAAACAGACATTCAGCTTTATATATAAGATTTTCTCGGAGTGCGTGGCTAACGCCACGCACCTTCTTTAGAAAAAAATTTTTGTTGCGCCCCCCCCCCCCCGAAAAAAATTTCTCGGACCGCCACTGGTAATGGGTAATGGTTTGTAGAGCTTGTTGAGGCAATATGGCATGCTGATTACGGGATTCATACCCAAATTACATGAAAAGCTTCTTTTTTGGCCTTACGGTACGTGTAAGGTAGAAGAATTAAAATTTGGCTGAGACTTCGTTAGTCGAGTTAATCAGCATGTTGTTCACGACAGTCATTCCTCTGGTGAAGTTATGAGATTCTTCTTCATCTTACTTGATCGTAGTATTTCCTCAATTTTTTATTTAAACTTGCTTCTTAATTACGACCCCCTCCCCCTTGTACGACCCCTCAGGTCGGGCGCGCCTGACCCCACGCTCAACCCTGGTTATAAGTAAGGTCAGAAATGGCTACAAATGCCAATTCGGGTTCATCAAGTATTACAGATTCATCTAGATGGAGTTGCTACATATGATAACAAGCCATTTTCCTTCTTTCATGTTCTACATATGTTTGCAAACTCAACGCAAGGTTGATGTGTACACTCTCTCAACGGCGACCAATTCACATGCGTTTTACGGACAATGATTGGGTAGTATAAGTTCTGCTAAGCTTGAACCAATAACGATTTTTGAATCAAACCCAATCTGCAGGCTGATCTAGCCAGCAATAGTTGTGGGAAGCTGCGGTATATGGCTACACAGCGCGCAGGTGGCGGGAATGTTCTTTGAGCTCGCAATTCACCTATGGTCAGATTTGTGACCACATTTGGCTCAATTTATTTCCTCATAAGGCACCATCTTTTTTTCGTGTCTCTTACGAAGTGATTGAATATCGCTGATGTGTCCTTCTACTCTGACTGATACAAGTGTATAGAGTATTTTCTCTCTAGATAAACGCTCAATCAGTAGGCAACAATAGGAAATCGATCTGAAGCGCATTACTCGATGTCTGCCTATCTAAAAGAGGGGAAATTCATTCTAACAAGGAATGAGGTAAACTGACAAAGGGTGGCGCTTTTGAAAGCGCGCAAGAATATTTGCACCGACGGTATTCCTTGGGCAATAATCGGCAGTGCTAACCACTAGACTATTCGGGACCTTTAGCAACTATCGAAATTACTCGTACTCTTGTGCAAACGCGTCAGATGCAAGAAAATACGGTTTTCTGAAGGATCGTTCCGCAGATAACGAATACAGTCCAGAGATCAGCGTTTCAACGCGATTCATGACATATGTCACATATCGAAAAGTCACGGCCACCAAGTATTGTTCACCTGTAAGAAGCAAACTGAGATAATCGAAAGATGGAGGATGTATATCATCGATGTAGTGTAAGTGTGGCATGGCATATGCTTATCTGCAGATATTCTCTATCATTTTCTTTACACGTACTCAGATAATCGCCGGGGGCGGGCGGCTATGCTCATGGGCAGGCGGGCACCGAAAAAATAGTTCGCTAATCATCTAATCTCTTGCGGTCCGCTTGCAGATCTTTGGAAGAATGTTGGGGGAAATTTGGACGAATGCAGGGAGAACAATTGCGGCTTTTTCAGAGATTGGTTGCGGCGCAGTGGCTGCATCTTCGCGGACCTCGAGAGTATGCAAAATTATTGAGGGCCGCACGGTCCCTTGTGAAGGACCGCAAGCCCATAGGTACCTTCCGCTGGGAGGAACTACCTCAAACTCGGGTAATCAAACCATCGATGGCACCTCTATTATGTAGAGTATTACCTTTGTCGAAGTACGCCCGAAACTGCGTAAAGAGAGTCCGACCGCCTTCTGAAAGTTTGGCCAGCGCTCGCTGAAAGAAATTATTTGACGAGCGCCTGCAGAAAATTTCGTATTGCTGCTCAATGGCAGAACACGGGAGTACTGCTCGCTGAAGCTTTGGCCACGCCCCAATTTGCTGACCGCTCGCAGAAAAGCGCGAGTTTGCGGACCGCCTGCCCCCGACGATCATCTGAGTAGGTGTATACCATGATTCTCTTTCTGATGTAAACTCAACCACATATGTGAGAGTAAGATCAGCCATTTCTGGACTATATAACGCCTTCGAGGCTTTTCTCTTGTTTATATATGGTCCCATGAAAGCGCAGATAGCGAGCTTCTCGGCGTATCGAGTGAAAATTTTTGTGAAATTACTTGCATGGGCTATAAAGATGTGCAAGTCACTTGTTTAAACGTGTGAATACTTGAAATAAATTCTGAATTTGGTTAAAAATACAAACTAGCACTATAATGGACTTTTTCGAGTTAGCTGATTAATAAATACCAAAACCATTCGTGAACAATGTTTATACTCAACGGAATCTTTGCATAATGTCTGCATCTCAATGAAAGCAGGAGAAGTTTTTAACATTGCACAGCTTCGTTGATTTATCACAAAGCTGTTGTTGGCTTGTTTCGTATCAATGTTCAGCTCATCTCCATTCATCCAAAAGACTTTGCAGCTGTGCATCGAATTCTGGAGCATCAGCATGCCATAAACGACGCCTCCAAGCGGGACCGTAAGAACCTAAGTGACAGGCTTTGTGTGATCTTCGTATACACTTAACTCGGGCAGAGGACTATATGTCGCCGAAAAGAGGTGGTCCCACGCGGACATCTGCGACAGATTATGCAGCCATGCTAATTGCAGAAATCACAAATTTGTGTCAGCTGTCCGCGCGGGGTGGAGCCTATCGGCTACATATGGTCCCCTACCCAACCTAACTCTAACAAATAAGATTTACAATCGATGATACTACAGTGAACTTACTCTTACCCACACCTAGTGTAAGCATAGGCAAGCAAGATGCCTTTCTATATGTTTTAGAAGTTTTATTTGTTGAATTGTAAGTGAACTCGAGAATTTTTATTATTCTATTCATTATTCTGAAATAGTAATACACTCACCGTATCCACGAAATACCACTATAGGAGTAGCAATGCCGATTGCTAACATAGCGAATATTAGCATCAACATCGCAGTAAGCCGAGACATCTCTAAAATCAAGAAATTTGAGAAATACAAGAGTTCTTTCTGAATGAAGACGCAAATATAGTCATAGAGGTATTTAAAAACGACATTCACGTCAGATAAGTGGAGACATGTGAGAAAAGATCAAGAATTAGAAAATTGTACAGGAAGTATTTGCATTCTACAGATGAAATGTTGGAATTTGAAGGTCATCTTAGAGTTCCTCATAATCACAAAAAAGTTGCAACGGCGTTTCCACATGAAGATTATGCCATTTTGGAACAAATTTCTCTAACAACGGTGTTGCTTCTACATTCACATTAATTGTAAAAAGCTCCTTAAAAAATGCATACATTATTTTCATGCTATTTTTGCTTTGCAATAACACCTATCCTTCTCATCCATACTACCAGTTCTGTTATGTGAGACCCTCACATAAAATAAGTATTGAGAGGTTTTTTTTTGCAAACAGAAAACCTAAGTCTTTCTTTATCAGCCAACATCTGACGAAATTCCATTAGTACTTTTTAGTTTAAGCGCTGCGAAAAAGCCACCCACAACACTAGCAATAAGCTTCGATACACCAAAAGGAGTAGGCTACGAGCTTGTGGTCGGAAGACTTTTGTATACAAATGAATTCTTCAAAGTCAAGACCCACCCAGTCGAGCCAAAGGAGTTGCTACAAAGCGTAGAATGACAGTGATTGCTTCAAATTTACTTTTATGGGTTTAATCTGAGCACAAAGAAATATAATAATAATCCGTTCATGGCAGTCACCGTTGAGAAAGTGCGATGAAAAAAGCTATGGATATTATAAAAGATTGACATATTATACTGCATTATTTCAAGGTTGATGCGAGAGGATAATTGTGACATATATATTTCCGACTATTTCCTCAGTGTGGCAGAGAAGACAATGAAACGATGACGACGTTGTTTCAAACATTTAACGACTATGAAAAATCGGTGAAGACTCTTAAATCACTGCAAGAGGTTGTCGCCTAGACTACTTGGATGACAAATAAATATTTTGTGATGAATGACTTGCGGAGCTGTTTGCGAAAAACGGCTGATGAAGAGTGAAATAGATGAAAGCGACCTTCGATCATCTCATAATTTCTGTTGTGTCCTCCACGTCGGACACGTCGACTCTTCGTCCTGGGGCAGCACGCGAGGAACAGAGAATATATTTATTAGAAAATAATAGAACAGCCAAATGTAAGAGAGGCAGATGAGTGAACAGACGAACTGACAATAGCTGACAGCGAGCGCCTTTTATAGCGCTCATTTCCCGCGCATTGAGGTCGCAGGCGCCTCAGCGAGGGCAGATCATACGAGAAAACAACTGATCAGACACTAACATAACACCTCCCCCAGTAGGGTAGTTACACAAAACTAACCTACGATAAAAGCATGAACTACAAATATGAACAGCTAAGAAATCGATTACACATAGATATCACTATCATTTGAACAACTATAAATCTAATGAAACAAACATACGATAACATGCTATGGACTAGCTTGGAACCGTTGTACCGGTCTTCTCGTTCTGCTCGATCTCCGAAGCGTTGTCGGTGGCGTGGATGGCTCGTGGCTTGATGTCGACGTCGATGTCGCTAAATCCACGGGTACTGGCACATCGCTCGCGATCGCTTGCTCGGAACTCCCTTCAGCAGCATTGCCATTCCTCGATAGTGTGTCGTCTTCTGTCAGAACATCTAACAGTATCTTCAAAGCTTCGGATTGTTGTTGAAGTTGTTGTCGTACGGCGACTTGTTCACTATCGCTTCGATGTCGCAGCTGATTTGCATGCTTCTTGCATATCTCATCACCAACCATAACTTCATAATTGACACGTCCAATGCGTCTCATAACGGTTCCTTTCACCCAGTGGAAGTGGGGTGGCTTCCATTGCTTAGCGTATACCAGGTCACCAACTTCGAAATCTTTTCGAACGACTCCATGCTTTTGGTCGAACTGATCCTTCATGCGCTCCCGTCTCCTTCGTGCGAGTGGGTCTTCTGCATCTCCTGTCATCGGGAGTAACAGACTTAATTTTGTGCGCAAGTTTCTGCCTAGAAACAATTCTGCTGGCGTCTTATCGTTCAAGTTCGTGTTTGGTGTTGTCCTGACGCTTGTAACACCACATTCAGAGTCTCTTCTGTTGGCCTCTCCTCCCCCTCTAGTTTCTTGATTCCGCGTTTCAGCGTATCAACGAAACGCTCTGCCTGTCCATTCGATTGAGGGTGGTACGGAGCTCCTTATATGCGTGATTCCACCTTCGTCACACATCCTCTTGAATAAATCCGATGTGAACTGGGTACCATTGTCGCTCACTATTGTTTGCGGTAATCCATACCTTGCAAACAAGTTCTTCAGAGCCTTCACCGTCTTCGCAGCCGAGATATTGCTCATCTCGATCATTTCACGCCATTTGCTGTAGGCATCTACCACGACCAAGTAGAAGACTCCTTGCATGGGTCCAGCGAAGTCGATGTGTATCCTCTGCCACACTCGAGTCGCGGATGGCCATGCTTCTAATGGTACTTTCGTCGGATTCTTGGCTAATTCCTGACATTTCGTACATCTTCGTACCAAGTCTTCGCAATCTTTGTCGATATTCGGCCAGTAAACGTAACTTCGAGCCAGTTTCTTCATCCTTACTATCCCCGGATGTCCAACATGCAGTTCTTTCAGAACATTTCCTCGAAGCTCCATAGGTATCACAACCCTTTCGGCTGACATCAGACATTGCTCCACGATTGACAATGTCTCTCTTCGATTTCGAAAACGTGCCAATTCTCCATTCACTTCTGGCCAATTTCCTTTCTGCACATAAGTGAGTACTCTTCTAAGTACTGGATCTTTCTTCGTCCAAGTTTGTACATCAGATACCGTTACTGGCAGTTTCCTTATGCAGCTCTTCAGCATGTAGCCAACGTCGTTCTCAACGGCAGCTATCACGACATCTTCTTCGGGATTCTGATTCTTCTTCATCAACCTTGACAAACCATCTGCTTGTCCAAACTTCGTAGTTTTGACATATTCTATGTCGAAGTCATATCCAAGTAGAATTGTAGCCCATCTCATGAGTCGGTTCGCGGAGTAGACTGGAACTCCCTTTTTATCACCGAAGATGGCTAACAGTGGTTGATGGTCCGTCAGCAGTAGAAACTTTCGTCCGAATATGTACTTGTGGAATTTCTTGACAGAGAAGACAATTCCCAATGCTTCTTTTTCGATCTGCGAATAGTTCTTCTCCGCTTTCGTAAGAGACCGCGATGCATGTGCAATTGGCTTTCGGATCCATCGGCATATCTATGCGATATCACGCATCCGATCCCATAGTCGCTAGCATCCGCTGCCACGACAATCTTCTGCCTTGGATCATAGTGAGCAAGGTTCAGCTCACTTGACAAACTCTTCTTGAGCTTTTCGAATGCTTCTTGTTGTGTTCGAGTCCATTCCCACCTCGAATCCTTCTTCAGCATCGCATCTAGCGGTCCACGAAGATCCTTGATGTTTGGCATGAACGCCGCATAGTACGTTATCATGCCAAGAAAAGCCCTCAGTTGACTAACATTCTTCGGCTCATCCATATTCTTGATCGCTTCGATCTTCGCTAAGTTCAGTCTTCTGCCATTTCGATCTACTATGAAGCCAAGATATCGTATTTCTGGCTTGCCGAAAGAACACTTCTCTAACCGAATCCTGAATCCATATTCGGCTATCCTTGCAAAAACAGCTAGCAAGTTCTCCATATGTTCTTCTTCGGTTCTTCCACAAACCAAGATGTCTAGGTAGGTTGCTACCCCTCGCAGACCACTCACCATCTTGTTCATGATTTGCTGGAAGATCCCTGGTGCTGTCTTGATTCCAAAAGGTAGTCTATTGTACTGGTACAATCCTCTATGCGTATTTATTACGATCATTTTCTTCGATTCTTCTGACAACTCGATCTGCAGGTAGGCGTCCGAGAGATCTATCTGCGAAAACACCGTGCCTCCATTGAGGGATGCGAATGTATCCTCCGGCAATGGCAACGGGTAATCATACGACTCCAGCGCTTTGTTGAGTCCAGTTGAGAAGTCGGCACACACTCTCAACTTTCCATTCGCCTTCCTGACGCATACGATCGGAGCGCCCACTCACTGTGCGTCACTGGACTTATGACCTTTAGTTCCAGTAGTCTATCCAACTCCTTTTCGACGGCTTCGAGTGCAGCATGGGGGACAGGCCTACAAGCCTTGAATACTGGACGAACGTTTTCGTCAGTCCTCAGGTGCGCTTTCTCCTTTGTGCAAAGTCCTAGACCTTCTTCGCAGACTTCTGGGTAGGTTTTCTTTAGCTTCGTATCGATGTCGCTGGTTTGCTCTGCCTTCACTTCGGCAACCATTCTGCTTAAGTGATAGGACATATCTTCGTTTTTCTGGATCCACTCTAATCCTAGCAGTGAGTTGTGGGGCGTCACGTATGCGTAGCCTTCGCTTCTGGATCCTTTGATTTCGTACTCACATCATAGCTTTCCATGGACTTTCATGGAGCCTCCACTAGCGTTCTTGACGATCACGCTTGTTTCCTCCAGCCGTGGAGCACCCATGCTTCTCCAGATTGCTTCGTTTAGCAAGGTGATATCTGATCCTGTATCCAGTAAGAAACTAACTGGATAACTATTAACTTTCGCTTCCACATATACGCGAGTCGAATTCACTTCCATTATTGCGTTCGCGATCTTCGCAACACTATGCACTTGGCGTTTTGGTTTCGTCCAACATCTGTTTTTGCTGGCATCGCTGCTTCTGTGGATTCTTCGTTTCGAATCTTGCTGAACAAGTGCTTTTCTCTCCGCCACTTGTTCGCAATACTTCTCCTTGTGGCCTGTCTTCTTGCACTTCTTGCAATACCACTGCTTCCCTTTGCATTCCCTGGCAAAGTGAGCTTTACCACAGTTCCAGCATTCCAGCTTCGTGGGTTCCTCCTTGCTTGTTGCTTCGACAATTTTCGTGCAACCAGCTACAGTCTCGCTATCTTTCTTGAGACTAAGGAAGTTTTCGCACTCCAGGTACAGTTCCTGTAACGACATTTTTCGTCCAGCCTTGTACTCCTTGTCCAGTACGGCTATGAGTCGCTGCCTGATTTCGGCTTCTTTTTGGCTCTTCAGGCCAAAAATCCATAGGAGACATTTGATTCCATCGCTATCCAAATCGTGGATCTTCGCTTTCTCGCATAGTTCGTTCACTCGATCGGTATACATGAGGTAATCTTCGGAATCCGCCTTCTCCAGTTTCAAACACTGGTATCTCATTATGAATTCCGAAATCTTCACGTCGAAAAGCTGCTTCAATGTTTCGACGGTTTCTTCGAATTTAATCGCGGTTACCTCCTTCGGTAGCACATGCCTCTGGTATTTCTCGAAGCTGTCCTTGTCCAGTTTCTCGCAAAGTAGTCTCACTCTGGCACTTTCTGTGAGTTGCTTCGCGTCTTCGACAAAGACCTCCTTGTAGCGCCCGTACCATTTGCTGAAGCACATATCCGCCTCGGGGTCGAAGTAGAACTTTTCGATCCTACTGCTGAGGGCGGACATCACGTTCGGGATTTCGACTGATGTACTGCTTCGTCCAGTGCCTGTGATGTGCTTCAGAAGCTCCATCATTTCTCTTCGTTCCTCTCTCATCTCCTGGAGCAAGATCAGCAATTCCTCTGAGCCCATCTTCGCCATGCTGATCTATGAATTCGTTTTGACTGCTCTCTGCAGTCTCCTCTTCGCTTTGTTCCTCAGGCTTCGTTGGTTCGGCTACTTCTTCAACTAGTAGCCCGCTCCTGATCGCCACTGTTGTGTCCTCCACGTCGGACACGTCGACTCTTCGTCCTGAGGCAGCACGAGAGTAACAGAGAATATATTTACTAGAAAATAATAGAACAGCCAAATGTAAGAGAGGCAGATGAGTGAACAGACGAACTGACAATAGCTGACAGCGAGCGCCTTTTATAGCGCTCATTTCCCGCGCATTGAGGTCGCAGGCGCCTCAGCGAGGGCAGATCATACGAGAAAACAACTGATCAGACACTAACATAACAATTTGTCTATGGGAGAAAAATAGCAAGTTTAAAAGGAAATTTGGTAGTAAAAATCTGAATTCTGTCAAAAAAGCAGGTACATTCAACAAGAAAAAATTGAAATGATTAGGTTGAAGCTCTTTTTGTTCTCCTAGCAAATATGGTACCATTTGATAGAGTTTACTGCACTGTACACAATGACCACCACAAATCCGCCTAATTCGTAACTCAGGTAGAATTTGCAGCCAAAAATCAAAACTTTTCAGGTACCTTATCTTCCTTTTAGAAAATTCCTACTGACCTCCAACTTGCTCGTTATACAGCAGACACAATAGTAACCAAAAATGTACTTGGCGGATTTTTTCAAAACAGCAAAAATGTCACTTTTTCGATTTATTATGCTAAACTTGATATTTCTCTATTAATAAAGCATAAACAAAGGTAAAATTTGAAGGCTATATTTACTAACATTTGTAGTATACAACTGACATATGTGGGAGACGCTGGGGGCGGATTTGAAATTTTTGAAACACGTTTTTCTCGATTCCTATGCGCGGAAGAATTCCAGTAAAGTTTTTAAGTACTACTATGTGCCTACTGTATAATGACCAAGTTTGAGGTTCGCAGGACTTTTTCTCGCAGAAATCCAATCCTAGAGTGATAAGTTTTTTCGATTTTGGCTCCAAACTTCACTTGGATTACTACTTGGGCGGATCATTAGTAGTTATTCTGCAGAGCTTGCTTCCCTATCAGATGATACCTTAAGTCTGCTAGGAAAACAAGAACACGTTGATTTATTTAAAGGAGTTAGACAACCTAATACGTGAAATGATTCTACTCAATGTAGGTTGATATAAAATCAGGGGAACGGAATTTATCTACCCAGAGAGGTATGCCGCCATGTAATTAGCAGAAGACATGAGAGGTCATAAACTGTCAGCAACGCTAATTTGCACCCAATTTGCACCGAAGACAAGCAGATTTTGCTCACGACAGATACGACATCATCCTACAGTGTACGAAACCGGGATTTCATTGAAATTTGAATTCAAAGTTCAGTAGTGAAGTTAGTCCAACTAGGGTAAAAATTTGTATTTAGGGGTAATCTGCCATTCTGGTTCCAAATATGATGATGGTTTGCGTGAAAGATCAAAAATTTTTCTTTTAAATTTCAATCTTGTTTTCAAAATCTGGCAAGAAGCTTAAAATTGTCATTTGAGGGTTTTCCATGATGCTGTTCGCCGGAAACTTCGAAAACTTTTTCTTTTAAAATATAAGCACTTTTCATTCACATTCAATCATCAACGAAGTGACGTGACCGACATGGCCCTCTGCCTCTGGGCATGCTTGCGGTGTTCGCACCAAACTCTTCAATCCCAAACTCGACAAAAATTCAGGCATGATTGCTGAAAATTCTGCATTCGGTGCTTCCAAAACTCAATTTAGAAAAAGGACGAGGATTTTGCACTAAGCCGTTGTCATTTCCGTAAAGAGCGCCCTTCCCCCAAATCCAATTTTTTATTCTGATTTGCCAAATATCGCCACTGAACATTGATTTTAATCCCATCACGAAGCTCAATCTCATTTTCATAAAACCACCATCACATTTGGAACCAGCATGGCAGATTACCCCTAAATACAAATTTTTACCCTAGTTGGACTAATTTCACTACTGAATTTTAAACTCAAATTTCAATGAAATCCCGGTTTCGTACACTGTAGGATGATGTCGTATGTGTCGTGAGCAAAATCTGCTTGTCTTCGGTGCAAATTGGGTGCAAATTAGCGTTGCTGACAGTTCATGACCTCTCATGTCCCTTGCTAATTACATGGCGGCATGCCTCTCTGGGTAGATAAATTCCCGCACCCATAAAATCAACCTTTTCCATGAGGACAAGAGGAGGGCAAGGACCATAAAAAAACGGAAGTCTCTTCAATTCGGGCTATAATCTGACAAAAGACCGCCAAAAATCATTCTCATGGTAGACTTGTCCCTTTAACACATTCACGACAATATGACCCACCGGTGGGTCGTAAGTTTGACCAGGCGAAAAAGCTCTGGTTCAAACGGCAGTAATAGAAAAATCGGCCTTGCCGTGAATGTGTTGAAACTCAATCTATATTTGTATCTTTCAAATAAATATCTGCATAGCCCTCTGCTACACCCTCTCATCTAATTTGCCTAAATGTGAAGTGGAGTAAGTTCAATTTTATAAAATAGTGCACCGATTAGATTTCCCCTTTTCAGGCATTGCTTGCTGCTCGAGCAGTAGAAAACGAAGAACTTCAGCATAACGAGATCTTTTGCGCAGATTAACGTTATGAAAATATAAACATATGCAGGCAGAAAGTCAGTTCCTACACATACTACTTTTTCATCTTCTCCTAAGAGCAGTACATTAGAAAGAAGTTAGTCTCTCACTTGAACTTCTTTCTTTCCACTTGTCTTTCCATTCTGCTGTTGACAAATAAAAAGAAACTGATATTGTCTGATAAAATATTTCGCAGATCCCGTTGCAAAAGCCGTCTTTGCTGTGACAACATCATACCCGACAGATTTCTCATGTGATTCGTTCCATTCCTCATATACCATAGCCTTTCGTCTGATATAAAAGTGCTAGTGCAAAGTGCGGCTTCAGATCTATCATGCAGCGGTTCTTTCTTCTTGGGACTCTTTGTATTATTAGCTGCCTCGCCGACGACAAGGTATTTATTCATTTCTACTTTCTACTTTGCTCAAAAAACTTCTACCTTTTACCTTCTGTTTTATTCCAAAAAAATTTTATATTCTTTTCCAGGTAAAGAACGCCACAGCTGAGGGTAACTACGGGACCTACTACGACACCTACAGTCAACCAGTCAGCTATGTGGTTCCGCCACCACATCCTCCGCCACCGCCACCGCAACCGAACTATGGGCCTTACGCTGGATACCAGTATGTCCGACTACCTCCGCCACCGTTGGTAGACCGTAAGTTTCCAATTTTAGTAATAATTTTACCTGTTCTATAAAGTTTATTTCCTCTTTTGAGGCGACGTATGTGACCTGGACGCGTCCGTACTGCTCGTGGCACAATCAAAGCGTCACGGACGTCACCTCAACCGCGCATACCGAGTCAGGTAAGCAGTTCGTTTTGCCGAGAATTGGTCTCCTAAATCATTGTATAGGTGCTCGGTAATTGCGAACTATGACGAGGACTCCTGTAATGTTTGCTGCCAACATGCTGCACGAAGGGATAAGAACCTCCAGAATGTGGGTTAGGGCAGATTTTACTCAACAGTTTCCAAAAAAATCTCTGTTCAGAAACAATTTGTCGGGTTCTTGGCGGTAACTGAGGACTTTGAACCACGCCCACGAGAAGATAGCCATGAAAGGAGCCATGAGAGGAGCCACGAGAGGGATAGTCGAGAGCACGATAGAGATCCATGCGAAAGCGGCGAGGATAATGATTGTGATCGTAGCGGGGAAAGGGTAAGCGCGTACTTAACCTTGGTCAGTCTGGTTGAATCGTATGGAAATTCTTAGATGAGGGTCAAGAGGAACATCGACCACGACAACCACGATAGAGAAGACAGCCGCGAATCTGAGGAAGTGAGACCTGTTGGGCTAGCCAAGGTGAAATTTTCATCCAAAATCGAAAATAAATGAGATTTTTTTTAGAGATTTTCTGAACCAGCTTGGTTGAGGTGTACAAAAAAGAATTCGAAATTATTGGCTAGGATGTTTTAGGCTGACTTCAAACCTTCCCCATACTACAAGAATGTGAAGTGCGTATGCTGCGCTCCGAAACGTCCTCTACCTCCACCACCTCCACCAATCTATCAGGCTCCAACCGTAGTTGCACAACCGGCACCGGCTCAAGCGCAACCTGTTTATCAGAGTTATAAAGCATAGATAATAAATACTTGTTGTGTGCTTCACTAGCAAGGGAAGATTGATTTTGTGCTCATTTCAAATGAAAAAAGAAGATATTGTTAGAAAAACAAGAAAAAGTTTTTTCAGCTTTTTGTGAACATGAGATATAATTCAATCTCTCCAAAGAAAATCAAGCAAAAAGTGGCAAATTACAAGATTTCAAGGAAGCACAAATCAGCCAAAATTCATTCGTAAAATTCTCTTATCACTGGAAAATAAAGAATTAGAGGTAGAGGAAAAGAGAAGTAGATCAAAGTTATGAGATGAATAGACCAATGCTTCCAGCTATGATTTTGGTTGCAATGAAATGTGCAAGGAGTCCCAGATCTTGTGCTTCAATTTCTTCATACAGGAAGACCTTGGAATTTAATACTGAATCAGACTCATCAAGTTTTTCATGTTGTAATAAAAGAGTATATTGCTTCATTTGCGTGATAGGGAAGCCTCACTATGAGGAAGAAGCTGCGATAGAGTAGAATGACTTGGCTATTGAAACGAGCAAGAAAAACTAAATTCAAATAATTCGTTGAACAAGGAAAGGACTCCGATGTATATTATAAGCATATTTCAAATCTTTAACAGTAACAGAATATTACGAATTGTTCTGAGGATAATCACTGATGTCTTATAGCTAAAAAAAGTTGACCAGTACGTTGACAAACAAGAGTCGGATGTGTGATCACTGCAATCCTTTTGGGACCAATCAGCAACCGTTTACTATTAGCCAAAACACGATTTCACAAAGTTTGATGCGTATTTTTGAAGACTACTACTAGCAGCGGTGTGAGTCTTTTTTCAAGAAGGATAGAACTTGAGTATTATTAGGTTGTCCCCATGAGTCTTTTCATACTCGGACCTTCATACTGATATTCCTCAAAAACTAAGGCACTACAAGGGTGCAAATTTGTGAGAGTATTCCTGAGCGAATAAACTATATTATCACATATTTGCGAGGAGCATAGACCCGTTATAGGCAAAGTTTGAAAATTGAGCGCGTTATTTTTTCTCAATTTCTAACCATCGAAAAAAAAACGCAGCAAGTGTATACATGGATATTTGATGGGGAGATTACTTCGCAGAATATTTTGAACTGAGAAACGATTATTTTGTTTTTTCGGGATTTTGGAGTTTTTTTTCCATTTTATCTTCAAACTCTATGCGAATCAAGCCTTTTACAAACGTTTGATAGCCATATTGTAGAGCTTGCTTTAATCTTTTAAATGGTGCCCCGCATCCCATCAGAAATCTAAGAAGAGCAGACTTATGCTAGTGAAAGTTTAGGTATCAAAAGACATATGGGACAGGTAATAACTCAAAGGTGGGGCACTCCTTGCTAAATTTATGCGGGCTTAGAAGCCAGCTGTAAATTTTTGGAAATATGTGAGTCACCAAAAAATTTCGCGAGGGTGCTCTCCACCTCTCTTGAATAAAGAAGGCTCTGGAGATCTTACCTGCACTGTTGAGAATCTTTCTAAACATAAGAAACTTTATCCACCATTTATATAATTACATGGTAACAAGAACTTTAGATAGGCTTCACTGCATCACTTCTTATTGAACACAATTTAGCAAGATTTTTACGTGCATTAAGTAGTCTTTGAAGAGAAGAGCAGTGGATTACAGTATAAGAAGTAAGTGGATGGTAATTCAGCAACCTTTCCACCGCCATAGTCTGCTAAATTCCAAGTCCATTGATTAAAAGCGAAGATTGCACATTAGCTTCCTATATACTAAAATTGAAGATAAGCTGTTTAATGGAACTCATTGTGTTCCTCTCTATAAAGTAGAGATCAAGCAATGCCTAGGTTAGTAGCTAATTTTCCGCTGTTGGCTTATTGATGGTTGATTTGACGATGGATTAAGTAGCAATCTCGGTGCCATTAAAAATAATTGAGGCTGATAGGTTTTACGCTGAACAGTTGGTGGTTTTTCAGAAGATCTTGACAATTATGTCAGTTATTCATATCATATGTCAGCAATTGAAAAATTATAATTACATGGCTAAAAAAGGAAAGTTCCTTGCCTACCGGATAAGATTGATCTCAGCTGTGATTAAAAAAGCTTCTCACTTACCAATGAAATATTTTATTGAAGGAGATGAAGAAAACATGTTTTCAGTTTCAATATTAGAATCAGCATTGAAAATTCCAAATGTCTCCCCTGGCGGAAGCATTCCCCTTTTGGAGTTGCACTTATGTAATCTAGTTTGTACAGTATTTCTGAAATCAATTTCTTAATGCATAGTTAATCTAGAACATCAATCTATGAGAACTTTACATCTTTCTTAATAAACAAAAAGGGTCAAACAAGTTCATACTCCAAGGAGACCAAGAAGATTTACAGTCCTTGACATAAAAGAATTAAATGAGCAAATGCCGCTGGTGGAAGCTTGTGCCCAAAGAAAACCGCGGATAGAAGGAATGAAATTTTGCAGCGAGCATTCCATGTCATGTCTAAGGGCAAAATTAACGAGTGCAGTTTGAATGACGGACTCTAGCACTCACCCAGTAATTGCAAAGTTCCAGTTTGATGCTTGCATGGCTGACATAAAGTTATGCACTAGTCTTGGTAAGGTATCCCGATTAGGGTGAGTTGGAACAAGAAGCTAACAGCTGTGGAGGAAAAAGATGGAAGGAAGCGCACTACTCATGAGTTTGGAATTGGCGACATGAGTTATTGAATTACCCGGGAAATTTCCTTTTATTTTGAGTGAAAACGAATTCGAATTTGTGGAAATCAGGTTTGCTAGGGAAGAAGCTGGAAGACATAAGTGACACAATGCCTCTTCTTCTCAGGACATGTTTGAGAAATACAAAAATCAAGGAGTTTTCCAAAAATCGTAAGATGTAAGCCTTTCCATCAACTCTCTGTTGCGCTTCTCTTCTCCTCATTTCTCCTCTTCCCCCCTCCCTCCCCAACCGTCAATGATGTCGAGAGGAGATACCAAATTTCTACAAATACGATTATTTAGATTTTTTATAGTCAAGACCACATACGAGTGGTTGTGGTCATTCTTAGGTTCATGTGAGTGGCCATTCGTAGATTCAGAAACTACATAAGAATACTCAGCGCAAATCTCTGAATGTCAATTGACATTATTCACAAAGACTTGTGGAAAATTTCCTTCAAACTTTCTTGTAGTGGGAAAAAAGTATGGTTTTCAAGACTCTATTCCACAATTTTCTATGACTTTGAACTCATGGCTTGAGAAATACTTCTGCTAAAATTATGTAATTACATGAATGATACGGAATGAGTTATGGCCATTCGTAGATTGATATATTCAGAAATTCGTAACGACTTATTACGAATTGTAATAAATCGGAAACAAAACTAGTAACCTAGATTGCCTATTCTCATGCATTTGCATGTTTTTTCGTTGTCAATTTCTAGAATTAGTGTGCTTTGCAAGCAATTTATGGGCAATTATTGCTTATTGAAAGCACGATAAAAGTCATAAAAAACTGCATAAAGTTAGTCGCATATGTCAGCTAGTACATTATGAATCTTGGAGAAGAGGATATTTCCGATTGCAAGAGAAAGACTATTTCAGTCGCACATTTCATCTATGTAGCGAATGAAAAATCCAAGTAAAGTTTTGTAGAAAAAAGCAGTTACAAGAGCAGTACTACCATGTCCAAGCAGAAAAAATTGCACCTTCTAATGTGTTAGCCAAGTATTTCATTTTTGAATGCGAAATTTTGGCAAAGAAATTTTTTACATCATGACATAGGTAAGAAGCCTCTGCGAATGTTTGCAAATCACCAAATTTTTGGAGTCTGACCTAGATTATTTTATTACTTTTCCATACGTTGGCAAATTTTTGCATTTATTGATCACAAAATCACCTATGTTGATATGTTTCTGTGCTGCAACGTTTAACTGTTTTCCCATCTTTTCGAATCTCATGATAATGCGTTGAAGACTGGAAGGGTAACCAACATGACAAAGAGACTTCATTTATCTACATTTGTTTCGATGTCACTCCTTCAGTCGTAACTTGTAGAAGCAGGCTAAAGGCCTTACTTTTTTCTTTCATCAGCATCAATGGACATTAATTTATATTCAAGGTGATATACTGGAAGACATGCCCTCTACCGGATACTCTGACGATTTTTTCTTTTCTTCAATTTTTAAAAAATGTATCTCGCACACTTTTTATTTTTTCTTCAAATGAAAGGCCTTCGATGTATTGACATCTTGAGCCTGTCCTACATTAAAAGCACTAACTTTATTACAATGCTTCAAATTTTTGCTTTCCCTACTTAGGATGGAATTAACGAGACCCATTAGGTGTCTTACATACGACATATCATTGGGTTTGGTGGATGAACTGAATGAGGATTGGCCTACATCAACGAGTCGATTCATTCCAAAAGGAAAGCGACTAGGTGTCATACCAGAGTTGCAAACGGAGTAGCCCACAGACCCTTCAAGGCCATGCGGTTTTAAGTTTTTTAGGGCACAATGAAATGCGTGCCCTATGGCTTTGACCTCTACGGCTATTACACCCACGCAAATTCGCCCTTTGCAACGTCTGCCACAGTCATTGTGGCCGTAATCACAATTAAAGGACACTGTACCCATATTGTAGCTAGACTAGCGATGAAAATAAGTTTTTTGAAATTTATTACACAAATACTTGATGTGATCAATTCCTGAGGGTTTGGTGAAAGATCTGAATTATGAGTACTTCATGCGTGACGTCGTTTGTATCCGCTAGTTTCTGGCGCTGGTTGGGGAGGGGCGGGAGCGGAGTAGGATTGAGATGGTGGTGGTGGAGGAGGTGGTGGAGGTGGTGCTGGTGGAGATGGCGCCGAATACGACGCAGATTGTGCTGGTGGAGATGGCGCCGAATACGACGCAGATGGTGCTGGTGCGGACTAAAAGCATTAAACTAAATAATAGCAGAAAAATTCGAAAAAGAATCTAACTCACAATTTCGTGCACTTCCACATGAGATGGACGAGCTGGAGCTTGGTAAACTGGAGCAGATGGCTGGGCGTATGCTCCACCGGAGGATTTGACTGGTGCAGGTGCTGCGGGCTCAGAAATCTGTTGTTGAGACTGATATGACTGTTGTGAGCCCCCATATGATGGCTGTGGGGCAGCATAAGACGATTTTCCTCCTCCGTAGGATTGGCCTCCGTAAGAGGAGCCACCTCCTCCGTAAGAAGAGTGACCACCTCCGTAAGATCCGTATGAGGATTGACCTCCTCCATAAGATCCATACGATGGTTGGGAAGCATAGCCTCCACCGCCATAGGATTGGCCTCCATAGGAGCCATATGAAGGTTGAGAAGCTCTATAACCTCCATATGACTGACCTCCACTCGATCCATAAGACGCTTGCTGGCCATAGCCTCCATAGGATGGCTGTCCACCACCGTAAGAACCATAGGATCCGTATGATGGCTGCGCAGCGCCATAACTTCCATAGGAGGACTGTCCTCCATAAGAACCATAAGAAGGCTGTGCGCCATACGATTGTGCACCATAGGATTGGCCATAGCTGGAGCCGTAGCTAGCTGGGTAAGCTGACTGGGCTCCGTAGCTAGAATAAGCAGCAGGTGCGCCATAGGATTGGGCACCGTAGCCGCCATAGGACTGGGCACCGTAGCCGGACCCACCACCTCCACAAGCGTTACATCCTCCTCCTCCTCCGAAAAGGTTTCCGAAGAGGAATGCCTGTGAAGCGGCCAAGACAGCAGCTAGCAGAAAAACGGTGTACATGACGGAGCCGCTAGCTAACTATGCCGAATACTGGCTTTATATAGCAATTTCGGTATCATTTTCTTTCGACGGGAAGTTTGTGGCGAGGAAACAAACCGTTTCTCTCATCGTTGACACATGACCTTCAAGTCCACACACATGCGCGCATTGTTTATGAACTCTGCGACTAGCGGATGTTGACGTTGGTTGCAAGGAAAATATCTATGGAATCTGTCTCTGCAATCTCTAATTTGCTAAATAAGGGCAGTATGGGCTCCCACAAAACTTACGCAGCATTTCATTTGAAAATGAGGGCAAACTTTGCAGGGGTAAAACCAGCCCATGTGGAAGGCCGTAAAGTTCTTTTATTTGACCTTGAAATCTGCTCATTTTCAACAATGACGGTAAAGGGCATCCACCGAAGGTCATCATGCTTTTCATGGGAAGCATGCTTGATGTAATCTACATCACTGGTCAATCATCACCATGGGTATCAACCCTGTCCTAATCAGTTTTAATCATCACAAGGATTGACTGCATAGATAAGGTAAGCTGACAGGCTATCACTTCTCTAAATTCAACTGATTTCAGGTCTTCTCGTCCAGAGTATAAAAGTTTTTATTTTCAGTGGCACATAAGCATACGAACTTATATACAATACTGCTCATAATTCGTTTGAAAACGGTAGGTGCATAGTAAACAGTCAGATTTCCCGGCTCTTCTCAGGTTTTTGCTAACGGTAGCATACTCAATGCGCATAATCACTGCGCGACAACCTAAAATCTATAGGCAGAAATCTTCAAAAAAATTTGTGAAAGCCGGCCTCCTAGTGTAAACAAACGGAAATATTTGTGTACTAGAAGATGAGCCTCGCCGAGCTGAGTATAACGGTACTCTTACACTTAAAGTTCGTTCACTCTAAAACAAGACATGGCGATGCGACGTGGATTCTGGTGAACTACGGTAGTGTTTGGCGATTTTTTGATGAATCATGGGTTGTATAGGGGCCTGCAGGATCGCGAGAGTCGGACGCGCGTACGGCCTTTGCGCCGCGCACGCCTGATATCGCTGGGTCGTAGTCGATTAAGGCTAGATAGGTGAGTTTTTTTGTTTTTCTTTACATTTCACGCCTTCTTTTCTTTTCAGACGGTGAGCACATGTTGGTGCGGAGGAGTTTAAGATCTGGATTAAGGTGAGGTGCAGGATTATGCTCAATACGGACTCAATAATGCAGACCTTCTATGCCTGCTGGTTGAGATGTTGGATTTTCTGTCCTGGCTGCCCTGTTACAGCTAACTGTTCTATTTCTACCGTCTATTCTACCTTATCTTGCATATTGCTTGTGATGATGATGATGATGATGATGATGATGACAATGATTATGATTGTGATGACGCGCATGATGCAAGATGAGGTAGAACAGACGTTGCAAATAAAACGGAGTTTCGTAACCGGGCAGGCAGGACGAAAAATCGAGCATAATCGGACAGCCAGAACAGAAAACTCAACATTCTTCAAAGCAGGGGTGAAAAGTCCACAATATTGGCCCGTATTGAGCATAATCCTGCACCTCACCTTAATCTAGATCTACTCCTCTGCACCAACATATGTTCGCCGCCTGAAAAGAAAAGAAAGCGAGAAATGAGAAGAAAAACAAAAAAAATCTCACCTATCCAGCCTAAATCGAGTACGACCCAGTGACATACGACGTGCGCGGCGCAATGGCCGTACGCACGTCCGACTCTCGCGATCCTGCAGGCCCCTATATAAAAGACAAGCAGTGCACCCATCTTTTTTTGTTTCTCCTCCCCCACCTGGTCGCAAGAACTATATCCTTTCTGCCTAATAAAGAACATGAAAAATGGAACTTGAAGGTGAAAAGCTTAGCTGAAACTGGCAGCAATTTCGAATGAGCAGTTTTGCAGATATTCGTTCAGCTTTCACTTCAAAATTCGTTAACCTCAGCAGATTGTAAGCTCAGAAGGCATAACATAATGCAATTCGTCTTTTTTGTAAGCTCTGAAGACTTCAGCTGAAATGTGTAAGGTCTCAGTCAAAGCTTGGGCCTTTTAACCACCTCTACCCTTATGAACTCCTTTGATACATGACAATTCCCTTGCCAGGAATCTATAGCATGAGCTGCCCCATACTGTTTGAGGGATAGGCCATATCCTTCTAATGGGGCCAAAAAGAAACTAATTTCTAACAAAAAATTATCTCATTACTTGCTAATTGTAAGTATTCATTGCCCGGTGCTCTCGAGGTATTTAAATCAGGGAAAGCGAGACAATGCTATTGCTTATATCACTGCGACGATCTTGCATCTTCACCCCCTCAGTTACTCTGTGGACGCTGTAGAAGATGATGCGTATATTTGCACTTTTGTGTTTACATGGGTGTGTGTAGAAATAACACATGCTCTGATTCAACGCAAAAACAGGGAGTTTTCACCAAAAAAACATTTTCTAGCATCTGGCACTTTCCAATCTGAGGCAAGCCTACTTCAATGTTCTCCTCAGTGAATTTCTAGAGCAAAATAGGTTAACGCGAAAGTTTGTTTGTGCCACTTTTAGAATTTCTAACTTCTTGCTATCACAACAGATTTGAACTATTTCGATCTTACTCGAGGAGAACATTCACTTCAAAGTAGTTATTCAACAACTTTGCTGTCATGCAGTTATTGCAGAACGGGGTGGTGAAAAGATCACTCAAGTTTCGATTTTTTTTATTTCCTCCGCCGAGACCTTTGAGTTTTTAGTTTTATGACCTACCCTATCCAACGGAGGTAAATCTTTAAACAATGCTATAGAGCGCATAGGTTTTTTTTTCTGATAAACTCAATGCAGTGAACTAGAAAGTAGTGAGTTTTGGAAATGACGTGAAGAAACTTCCGAGCTTGAATATTATTAAAAACAGGTAATATGCTAGACCTAGTTCTCAATCACTATTAGGTTAAAGCGAATTTCTTTCGCAACTTTTTATATAATCGTAACTTCTTCCTTTCACGAATCATGTATTTCTTAGTGATTTATAGTGACATACTATTTATCTCTGCTTAAGGCTGATTACAGAGATCAAATTGGAAAAAGGAAATCACTTGAGCAGGCCGCCAAAATTCTAACAATAAGAACTTTGCAATAAATTCAAGAACAGTTGGAGTCATGAGTTTTCTAACATCTTTTTTCAACGAAGCGAAGCTTGCTGATTGGGCTATTCTTTGAAAAGTCATGGTTTTTGAGATAACAGCAGGAAATGGAAGATTGATTTTCTGCATTTTCTCGAAACTCACAACTATCTTTAGAAAAGCTCTGTCAGCACACGCCTCACATGGGGAGAGGGCTTCAGAAAACTAATAATTCTGATTTTCTGAAATTTATTTTCGAATTTCATAGATATCTAAGGCCGTTGAAACCACCCAATTCTCCCGCTTCCATTTGTGCAAACAGAACGAGAGTAAGCAACATGTTAACAGCCACAATATAAAAAATGCTGGAGAAGTTGCCATTTTTGAAAATGGTGCGACAGAACTTTCGTTTTTTAACTTATTTTATCCCCCGGCTATTATTTATCTAAGTCTTTCATAGTGACTCTAGTGTTTTGTTACGGTAGTCATTCAAATAAAATTACCATAAGTTGAATCGTACCAGCGATTAATCTTATTAGCATTATTGGCACTCGTGACCTAACCGACGTATGTAACGACCCTGAACCTTGAAATCCCGGCATCATCATAACCTCCAACGTCATACCCCTTGTTTGCTTAGATTCTTCGTGTAGTTTGATTCCCTCTAAATTTTGAACCAAGTAAAATTGCCGTTTAAAATAATTTCTTCAGTTTTTTTTGCGCAACATGCTAGCAACAATTACACTTTATTGAAGCGGCAGCATGCTTCAGCGTGAACCCTTTATGGTAGTGGTAGCCTAATTAGTAGGATCTTGAATGGAAAAAAAACCCCATAGAATAATAACTTTTGCAGAGCTAGGCAGTCATTGCACTACTTTCTGATATTTCACTGCATTTGGAAAGGTATGTGAATTTTTTTCTACTTTGTGCAATCGTTTTCGTGTTACTTTCCAGTTTTCATACTGTTTTCTCATTGTTTTGGTAATTCCACCGACGCCAACTTCAGGCATTGCACATCCCAGAAATAGTGCAATTGCACAAAACGACTTTTGGAGTAAGGATGAATATCACAAAGTGGCGACCATTACAGAGAAAAACAAGAACACGGCTAACTTTTGTGAAAACTTTCCTTTGAGAGCCGAAGTTTGTAAGGTTTAATGATTCTTTCCCTTTTATTAAGTGCATTTCAATGGATTATACATTATCTTAGACGTTATAGACAGGAACTCTTCTCGATCTCCTTCGTGGCTTCCAGATCCTATACATTTGATCACCTGTAATTCACTAGTGTATTTCAAATGTAAGGTACATAAAAAAGCCAAACTTTTTAATTGGCATGAAGGTAAATCTCACGCACATGATTTTTACATTAACAACTACTCTTTGATTTCTTGACTGGCGGCTTCGTGACCTAATCCAAGGTTAGAAAATGATTAGAAACACTATCGTGAGAGAGACGCAGACTGCGTCACGGACGTTTGCGGCCGCCTTTCAGCCGCCAACCTCGTTGAATCAAAGGGTACGACCTCTGAATTTCTCAACATCTCATTATCGTTTTATTAGCGTGTGTCTACATCTCATATCGCTGTAACGAAATAGGTCACTTATGTCCTCTCCCCTTCCCTCCCCTCCCGGAGGCTGGAAATTTGTGGGTCCGTGAAAGTGTTTTCCGGAAGCTCTTTCATTTGAAAAGAGTTCTGTCAGACCTCTCTCTTTCCCAAAAAAATTTCCTCATAACGCCACTGGTCAAATTCTATAAATAAAAGTGGTTAAAGTGAAGAATTGGCAAAAATTATTGAAAAGCAAACACTTTCATAGACCACGACTAACATATGCAAATAATGTCCATTTTTACCAGACAAACTTTGGCACTGATTTATTCCGTACAGTCTTTTTACGCTTGGAAGAGCAACCTGACATGAAACAAGATCTCCTACCTTCAACGTCATCGTCAGCTTCTACTTCGTTGTATGGCTTTGCATAATCGCCTGAATGATTTTATTTAGAAAATCGCGAATGCATAAATTCTTCAGTGGCAACCTTAGAAAATGCATAGAAAAGAAAGATGGGAGGAAGGTGCAAAGCGACTACCTTTTTCCAACTTACAAGGGAGGTAATATCAATGGCCGTAGCCTTTTGATATGCGATGCATATCATCTGAAGCAGCTTCGAACGCTGATTTTAAATATTCTTGCCGTTTCTGCGGAGCGCCCTTCTGAAGAGAGTTATGGAAACCTGAAAATCCTATTTTAGGGGCACTCTTCGAGTTTGAGAGCGGTATGTGTGCGTCGATGATGCAGTGATGGTTAGTTGTTGGCACTGAAGGCGAAAGGTTGGTGGTTCGAATCTGGTGCAGAGCAAAACGCTTTGCATTTTGAATGTGAGTTCAAAACCACTCTAATTCTTCTGCAATCACTTACTGTAATACCCTTAGCAAATGTGACCTAAGGAAAAAATTTTCTGGCAAAACCGCGTTGAGATTTAGTTTTCTTCGCAAAAAATATGTGGGCTTATCAAATTGAGTGTCGTTTGCACCGGCATCTCCATCTTCGCGCTGGACTCTGCGTCTCTTCCGCAGGGCTGCTCTCTGAGCACTTTCCCAGGGCGAGCGTGGGAAAGACGGAGCATCAATCGATTGGAAGTGATTAGGGAGCATGTACCGCAGAAGAGACGCAGAGCCCAGCGCGAAGATGGAGATGCTGGTGCAAACGACACTCAATTTGATAAGCCATACAGAGGGTAAAGCAAATTTACAAGTGGGCAAAACACAGACATTTCTCACAACGGGAACAGCGTATGAAGAAAAACTCCGCGCAATTCTTGCTCGCAAGTACCCACTAAATTGAAGGCAGGAGAGAACATCCTCTTGATTAATGATAGTGCGCACTCCTTGAGCTTTATATGGTGGTGAACATGCTTCACCATGTTCAATGCTGTTTTACTGGTAACGAAGTCAGGTAGAGTTTCTGGGCCTCATTACAAGCAGTTATGCCAGAAAATTTTTCCCTTAGGTCACATTTGCCAAGGGTATTACAGTAAGTGACTGCAGACGAATTAGAGTGGTTTTTAAGCTCACATTCAAAGTGCAAACGGTTCGCTCTGCACCGGATTCGAACGACCAAAATGTCAACAACTAACCATTACACCGCTGCACCATCGACGCACATACACCGCTCTCAAACTCAAAAAGCGCCCTTAGAATAGGATTTTCAGGCTTCCATAACTCTCTTCAGAAGAGCGCTCCGCAGAAACGGAGAGCAGATTTGATATCAGCGTTCGAAGCTGCTTCAGGTGGTATGCATCTCATATCAAGAGGCCACGACCATTGACTTCCCTCGTTAGTTGCTACTACCATGTTCTGGCTAGGTGATTATTTTTCACGGAGAAAATGGTAGCTAGTAATTTACTAAGGCATCCTACTTTTGGAATGTACTCCATTCATGTACTGGCTGCACATGGCTATTATGACTGGATAGGGAATTAGGAGCTATTGATAAGATATCTTTGCAAATTTAAAAGATTTACCAGATTGCAATGACAAGAGTTGGGTTTTCGTCTTTTTTTTTGTGTGAAATTGTCTCTCACATTTGACCAGAGATGCGATAAGTGGAGGAATTTCTTTGACCCCTTCACTTTAGGGCCGGCATTTGGCTGACCTTTCACCTGAGGTTGAGACTAGAATCAAGGCATAACGGCAGAATCAAACAGCCGCAACGGAACTTTTTGTTTGTTAAGCTTAGACATCAAAACTGCAAGAGAGTATCGAAGCAACAGCGTTTTGTTGCATGCCTGAGACTTTCTGCGCACTCAAAGTGGCGATGATAACGAAACGTAATCAAAAATCAAAAGGATGTCTGATGCTTTGAATAATCCAATTGTTTCAATGAATACACACTGTCGCAAGAGAGAGTTGAGCAAGAGTAGCAAATCTGGACTAGCTAGTGATGGATGCATGTTTACTGACAAGAATCGTACCTAATCATACCGTAATTCTTTCACTGGAGAGAATAATAACAAAGAACTTAAACTTTCGAATTATATATGAAAGTTTGAAAAAGACCTTTCTGGTTTGAAAAGATAATTATCCGAAATTGGCTGGTATTGTGAAGGCTGCTGCATGCGAAGGCGCAGAAGCAGTACTAATTGAGCGTGCGCGAACGCAGAGCGCATGTATCCTCACCGTTGTCAATTCTAGCCTTATGCGCTCTGCGGCTAATAAAGCCGCAATCGCGCCCAGAGATATTGCGCCTTCGTCATGCAGCAGCGTATAGCTAGATGAAACTGCTCGTATCTTGCTCCAAAGAAAAGCTAGGAAAAATAGACGGTCCACGTCGATTCCTCGTTCTTAGCTATCGAATGTTATACAAAGTGTTGGTGCACAAAGCTTTTCCAGTCCAAAGAAAGTCTTGCTCCGGCGACCCAAAGGAAGCAAGAGCGGCGTGGAGCAAGTTAATATCAAATATCTCCACCGCATATTTGAGAAGCCACGAGTTTTTTCATCCAACAATCTATATACCTTTAGAAAACTCACGAAACAGGAATTCGACGTAGACCATCCCTTTTTTCTTGCTTCCCTCTACTCAGAGATACATGGCATTTTAGCTAAAAGCATGTGCGTTTTTGTGAAGAAATTTTTATACAAAGAGTGATTGAAAACGCCCAGTTGTCTAACTCTATTACAGAACAAGACTTCCCCAGTAAACATAGGCCGTCTCTTTTTTCTAGCTACCTCTTTCTTTCAGAGATGGAGCTCAAAGTGATTGCATAAAAGCAGCTGATGCTGGAGTTAGATATGATTTTTTATATCTGAATTCTCAGGAGAGCTGTATATCGATTCTGTATGTTCCAAGCTTTCGAATGGTATGTCGACTGATGAAACATAAAGCTTTTCTGAGTTAAAAAAGTTCCTGTTGAATGACCTTCCAAAGCCTAAGATTGAGAAAATCTTTATAATACACCTCTGCCGCTTCCGTTAGACATGTAAGCTTGCGCCAGCATTCATATCAAGCCCAGTTATCCCCTTCACTTTTCTAGGTAGAAATAACCAAAACCCTCTTTACCTGGACCCTGCTGCCCAATCGCACCTATGTATTTAACCCATTGACGACGATGCCTAATTTTGCGCGGATGCGCTGTGGGAAGACACGATTCTGAACAACCTTTCGGTATGGAAAAGTTTTGTGATTATTTACGAAATGTAAGTGATTTGTAAACAACTACAATCATCTTCTTGGACGACGAAGTCCACAGGTTTCAAGAGTAAAAATTGCAAAAAATACTAAACTGTAAAAAATACCAGACCTGGAAAGCATATAATTTTGCAAGGGTGGGCCACCGGTGGTCCACATCGTCTTTGGCAGCAAGTAGTGCGGCCACCGGTGGTTCACATCATCGTCAACAGATCAAAGCATGTACAGCGAAATTTTGATCAAGTTTCCGAAGCTTTATAATACTCAACCGCAAAAACGGGAGGGACTGAGAAGCTAGGGGCGGAGTTTACTTATTTGCTTTCTCATCTATTCTTGACAACTGTAAAAATTCATAAGATGTAAGATGGATACATGTATGAGTCGCTACAGGAGCAACTAAGAAATTTTTAGTTTGGGGCGAAGAGCAGACTTCGGCGTCACTGATCAGGAATTTTGGCTTCAATCTTACTTCGACGAGTTACTCTGATATTCAGAGGCTCCTTGTAGAGCTTTTTTTGCTTTGTTGATGTGCACACCTCATTTATTTTTTCGGGTTTGCTGTCGTTTTGCCTCGAAAAAACGACACTTTTCTTTGAAACCAAATGATATTTGTCTGCAGGTTTCTAAAACTGCTTGTCATGAGGAGTCATGAAAAGTTTATGAGGAGAAAACTGAATTTGTGCAAAAGCAGAAAGGGAAATCAAACTTTGTATGTACTCAATTCTTTGTACTAGATGGCTTCCCCGGAACCCGGGTCATCCTTCAGAAGAATGGCCAAAGCCACACTCTGCCGCCTCCCTTCTTTTCGTTCGTTCAGCCATGCCCCCCCCCCCCTGCACCTTTTCTGCAGTCTCGTAATGCACTGAAAGCTCCTCCCCCCTTGCCCCTTACTCTCCTGCACGACCTTACCTCAAAACGATTTCGAGAAAGCATCTTCTTCAATTTTGAAAATAAACTTTACGCGTTGTTCACATCAAAATGTGCAAACATTTTGATAGCGGTTGATAAGTGTTCATTTTCAAGCAAAACGCTAAAAATCAATTAATAGACAGAACGTCTGAGCGAGTTGCCGCAAAAGTAGGCTATCGTGTGTGCAGGGGTTAAAAACATATGTGCAAAGTTTGGCGCTTTTTGGCTCACTCACAAAGATTTCTATTCGACATGTATAGTATAGTATAAGTTAAGGAATACTGGTGCTGATTATGGTGCCAGAAAAGGTGCTAGGCACTGTGCCTCCCCTTTCCCCATTGCCGCGTCTAATGAAGTGACCTGCCCCTCTCCCTCCCTCCCTCGGGCCTGGCACAGATGGTCTGGGGTCAAACTGGACTTCGTTTCTGAAGTTAGAAGCAACGGAGATATCGTTTTTATGAGGTGCTGGGGGAAACGCCGAAAAAAAAACGACGAACATTTCAGGTTTTACGAGTTGAACGTGTTCTTCGCAAGAGCGCGAACTGCAAACGCAAGACTTAATAAGACAAATGGCTTGTTTGCAGCGCACAAACAATCACATGGCTCCGAATTTGGGTTATTTGTATACAATATTACTCCAGATTACGTTATGTAAAAAGTTACAAAAATATATTTGTCCTAATATCCGTTCCAGAATTTGTTGGTTTCTAGAGCAACACCAAAGCAACTGGGTTGTTTCGGAGCATATCGGAGAGTTCACATAAGTTTTGGACCTCTTTTATTGGGACGATTGAACGGTCAAAAATTTATCATGGTGAAGAGAGCAATCAAACCATTGCCTCTACTCTTTTTTTTGAGCCAAAAGTAGTGTAAATCTATGCGTTGACAGATATTGCGCTCCAATCACATGCGGTGCCGTTTGAGCTAAGTGGCGAAAAATGCATCACTAGATTGTTGATTGTTAGGGTCACAGATCTGGTTGGCCTTGGAGGTTTTCGCCATTCTGAGCACTAAAATGGTACCATACCCAATAACAGAGCTTTCAATCAACTCAAAATGTTTTCCTTTTGTTGTTTTGTTATGTTAGATACCTCACAATGCACTTTTTTCGTTCTTTATTGTTATTTTGATTGGCGGGTTTCCCTATTGATTTTTACGTCAAGAGGAACTTCGTAAATTTTCGCGAATTCTAGAAAATTGTCATTTTCAAGAAACCTATTTAGCTTTTCTGCAGCTCTGAGTTGTTTAGATGAAACTATGATATGGCCCCTCTTTGGGAGGGGCCATATCATAGTTTCTCTCATCTGGAAAAACTATTAAGCCTTTCAGCAACGTGAGTTGTCAGATACACTTACTTTTATCGTCTACGAATGCCATTCTATCATAAAATTCTTTGCGAGGCGAAAGATCGTTGTTTCATTTGCGTGAAAAATCTGTTTAGCTCTTTTGCACGTGGTTGTTAAGTTGTGTTTACTTACTTTCATCGTCTACGAGTACCCTTCTATCATAAATTTCTTTGGGAGGGGCCATATCATAGTTTCTCTCATCTGGAAAAACTATTAAGCCTTTCAGCAACGTGAGTTGTCAGATACACTTACTTCCAACATTTACGAGTGCCCATTTACCGTAGTTTCTGCGAGGCAGCGTATCGTAGTTTCTCTCATCTGGAAAATTTATTTAGACTTTCAGCAAGGTGAGGTGCCAGATACACTTACTTCCATCATTTACTAGTGCCCATTTACCGTAGTTTCTGCGAGGCAGCGTATCGTAGTTTCTCTCATCTGGAAAATCTATTTAGCCTTTCAACATCGTGAGCTTCAGATACACTTACTTCCATCTAGTACTGCCCATTTACCGTAATTTCTGCGAGGCGGTATATCGTAGTTTCTCTCATCTGGAAAATCTATTTAGCCTTTCAGCAACGTGAGTTGCCAGATACACTTACTTCCATCATTTACGAGTGCCCATTTACCGTAGTTTCTGCGAGGCAGCGTATCGTAGTTTCTCTCATCTGGAAAATTTATTTAGTCTTCCAGCAACGTGAGTTGGCAGATACACTTACGTCCATCATTTAGTACTGCCCATTTACCGTAATTTCTGCGAGGCGGTATATCGTAGTTTCTCTCATCTGGAAAATCTATTTAGCCTTTCAACATCGTGAGCTTCAGATACACTTACTTCCATCATTTAGGAGTGCCCATTTACCGTAGTTTCTGTGAGGCAGCGTATCGTAGTTTCTCTCATCTGGAAAATCTATTTAGCCTTTCAACATCGTGAGCTTCAGATACACTTACTTCCATCATTTAGGAGTGCCCATTTACCGTAGTTTCTGTGAGGCAGCGTATCGTAGTTTCTCTCATCTGGAAAATTTATTTAGCCTTTCAACATCGTGAGCTTCAGATACACTTACTTCCATCATTTAGGAGTGCCCATTTACCGTATTTTCTTCGAGGCGGCATTTCGTTGTTTCTCTTATCTGAAAAATCTGTTTAACTTTCCTGCAGCCGTGGTTGTCAAGTGTACTTACTTTCATCGTCTACGAGTATTTTTCTATCATAAAATTCTTTGCGGGACGGCATATCGTAGTTTCTCTCATCTGAAAAATATATTTAGTCTTTCAGCAACGTGAGTTGTCAAATACACTTACTTCCATCATTCAGGAGTACCCATTTACCGTAATTTTTGCGAGGTGGCATGTCGTTGTTTCTCTTATCTGAAAAATTTTAGCTTTCCTGCAATCATGAGTTGTCAGGTGCACTTACTTCCATCGTTTACGAATACCCATCTACCGTAATTTTTGCGAAGCGACATATCGTTGTTTCTCTTACCTGAAAAATCTGTTTGGTTTTCTTGCAGTCGGGAGTTGTTAGATGTGTTACTTTCATCATTAACGAATATCTCATCACCATAAACTTTTTTGCGAGAGGGCATAGCGTGAAAATTCCCCATTTTTAAAAACTTGATTCTTTATATTGCCGTGTGAGGCGAGATGAACCTACCATCAGCATCTGCTAGTAATCCTTTACCATAAACATTCTTGCGAGGCGGCATAGCATAGAAATTTCTGTGCCTCTTTACCATATAGTATACAAGTGGGATTGGAATCAACTTATCAAGACGCATCTAATGATATGCATATCATTTCAGGTAGCCACTGCGACCTGGTATCCTTCCCTTGTGAGTATCATCTAGAAAGATTATAAACAAAAGGTAAGGTCGACCATGTACAAAGCATTAGTGCTTAGATCACAAAATGCGGAAGAAGAACTGAAGATAGAATCAAAGCATCCAAACATCATTTCAAAAGAAGATTGATATTAAAAAGCTTGCGCTGATTGTGTGACCGCGGGATTACGTAAAAAAGTTCTGTTGGGAAACACAAAAAGCGGTTGCTCTACAAATTCCAACTCTTAATTTGATTTTTTTCAACTTTTAACTTTGATTTTTTTAATCTTTTTTAACCATTTTTTTAAAAAGTTCTCCAAAAATTACCTCGTAAACATCTAGCTTGTAGCGATAGCAGATCATTCAAACGTAAACTTAGAAAAAAGAATTTGAATGAAATACTTCAGGTTGACGCGGATTCCTGATTCAACTATTTTTGGCCACTTTGGTTTTGCTGCATTTGGTTCGCCCCATCAGTTCAATTTGCTTTCTATTCTAGCCGGTTCTGATCCTGCAACTAAGACTACGTCTTCTTCTTGAATTGTGCACGCAGCTCATTTGTATTTGCATTTTGATGTTATTTATGCTAGGTAGTTAGATCTAAAACACAGATAGACTGGTTTTTGCAGTGCTAGTTTGGTATTAACTTGGTTACTGTTCACTAATGACCTAAGCAACCAGTCCCATTCTTAGGGAATGTCTCTACATCTCAAAGTCCCACCGGAGCCCAGGCCCCCACTAGAGCAGATTTCTTTCGCTTGACTACGACTTCATAGTTGGTAGGTATTTAATACTACCACATCGAATTAGAATTTTGCCCTCTTCTATCGACTCTCATCCGGATTTAGTCAGCTAGCTTTACCCGCGAGCTCGCTGACACCCAAAATTGGGATCATCATGAGTATTGAAGAAGGCCGGATTCTCTAGAATACTTTTTGCCTGTTTCTCTTTCTTGCTTCGTCTGCACGATTGGCTAGTCAGTGTGGGTCTATTTCGAGTTATTTCCTATCAGTGTATCTCCGTAAACTTCTCTGTTTACTAAGTCTAAGGTCCGGCTGCTTTCTTTACTTTGTGTTCCCGATGTTTCGTCTTTTCTTCTTTACGGCACACCTTGAGTGTATTCATAAATAAAAATAAACAAATAAATAATTTTCTACTATTTTTAGAGTTTCGGATTGAGTCCGAGGCATTACAGCAACAGAGTCGCTGAATGTTGAAAGCTCTCGTCGCCATTTTGGGCGTGAAGAAACTGCGAGAGTGTGGAAGCAGACGACCATCTTAGCACTTAATCAGAAAGGTGAGGAAGCTAGGCAGAGATTACCAATTAAAGCGATTGGTTGCTTGGCCTCACGCCCGCTCAGCGTTCGTCGCAGGAAATTACAAACAGGGACTTTTTGACGTTTACGAAAGCTGCAAAGCACAATTCAGTCACTTCCAGAGCATTTAGGGACCAAAAATTCTTCGGAGCGATGTGCATATACATAATGCAGCTTTCAGTTTCAAATATGAAGAATTCAGAGTTATTGAGTTCATACTCAACATAAATGGCTCCTGAGCAAGCTCCTTTTCGTTATTTCTTCAACGTCCACTTTGCAATCAGCACAATGGATGAGTCTAATAGAAAAGGATTGAAGTGAAACTGGCTGAACGCAGTCATCAAATGAGTTTTTCACTTCCAAGCTAGTTACGTAGCCGATGAAGTGGATGATTTCAAGTATATCACGTGTCTTAGCTTTAGCTAAGCAAACCTTTAGCTAAATACACTAGGCTCAAAACTTCCTCTTCGTATTTTTTTTTCAAATTGACAAATACCTCGTACCTTCAAAGAGCTTCTGTTGCTTTTGCTCCTCCAGACTTCTGTATCTATGGAACGAGGACCTTCTGTGGGCTAAAGCACTTGCGATATCTCTCAACTTAGACAGCTGTCGTAGTTGGATCTTACCGGGAAGAATACGATGCCATCTGCGCCTTCTGTTAATCCTCTTTATGCGCTCTGTAAAGGTCTTTCGAGGTTTAGTTGTATCTCACTAAAATTATCCAAAATGTTCTGTCTATCAAGTTGGTGCAAAATTTTGTTCGTTTATAGCACCCGCAAATTCATTAACTGAGTGTGACATTTTCCATCATGTTTACCCAGATTTCCTTCTTTTTTTAGCATCAATGTTTTGATGCGACCCTTTCGACGAGTGCTCAAGTAATAGTTGCAGCTTGCGGCCCTTCATTTTTGCCGTGCTTAACTTTTGCAAATTCGAATGCAAAACTGTAAGACTTCCGAGGAGTCTTCAATAGTTGGCAGATGGGCAACCCTTTTGCAATTTATTTTCGAATTTTACTAGTACTCACATTGTACCCCAACTTCAATATCCATATTTTGTAGCAGTTTGCTCTTTCATTTTGTAAGGAATGTTTTCAGGACTCAACACTTTAGAAAAGCTATTAATCATAATTTTGATAGATCACTCCTAAGGAAGTTACAAAGTTTTGCCCTGTCCATTGGTAATCAAAGATCCTGCAAAAGTCTTAAATAAAGATTTCGAAATCTAAAGAAACTAGACAGGAAAAACGGTCGTAAACTCCAGCGGTCATCTCACAAGAAAAGGATGGTCAGTTGAAGTGGCCTTTTGCGATGAATTTCGTACCATGTTGAAGGGCATAAAACGCTGATTTTGAATAAGTCTTCCTTATCTGCGGCGCGTTCCTGGACGAGGAGTTATAAGCGTTTATTGGAGAAGAAAATTGAATGGCATGTAATAAAAAACAGTAGTAACATTATTCCTAACGCTTAAATGAACCAGCGTAATTTTTCTAACACTCTGTAAAATAAATGCTCTAAAGTGAGACATATCCGCACTCCGACTGTTTCATTCAAGCGCTGGGAAAATTTTAGCAACTGTTTTTATCCCAGAAAAACACTCATTTCTTTCTCCTTCAAACGCTCACAACTCCTCGTCCAGGAACGCACGCCGCAGATAAGGAAGGCAGATTTGAAATTAGCTTTTATGCCCTCCACCACTGTATACAAGCCATCTCAAATGGCCACTTCGACCAACCATCCTTCCCTTGTCAGTGCTCATTGATAACGTCGCCTTGATCACAACTACCAACTTGAAGTATTTGTTTATCAATTCACTTGATTTGCGTTTGGATGCAAAAAAATGACGTCTCGCATCGACTCTGATATTTACTCATCTCGTTAGATTAAAAAATTTTATAGTGCTAATTTGAAAATTTATTTTTTAGAAGCAGTGTTTCATTGCGTCAATTAGTGCTTTCGGAAACTTGAGCCGTTTCAACCTCAGCTAAAAAAGTCGATATGAGAAAAAGCTTTCTTCGCATCTGTAGTCCTACAAGTTCTGATGGAGGTCATAGCTTAAGAGCACAGGCAACAATGTATTTCTTTTTAGAAAGAAGTGCAAGCTTTACACTCTGCTTCTGCTGTGCTTTGATGACGAGAAAAGTGGAATATAAATGCTAGAAGCATCTCTACCTTTTCTCGCAACCTTTCCTGATCTGCTTTTTGTCACTACTATGGGTCGTAATCGGGATGTCTTTCGTGTGCGTTCATCTGCAGTGTGTTCTGAAATGCAGTAAATATATTTAGTTTCACAAAAAGTTTCTTGTATTTCAAGTATTTGAAGTTCTTCATGCAATGCATGCACTCAAAATCTTACTTTTAGTGGTTGTGCTGGTTGTACTGGATGTGCTCGTGATCACGCGTGTTCGAAAAAAATCGAAGACGTCGTTAGTGGTTGGATCTAAATTGAACTATTTTAGCTCAAAAAATAAATGGAAAAATGTCTTGCCAAAGTGGTTCCACGCAGGTTTAGTGCTTTTCCACCAAGATCTATCTGATACAGGATAAATGCCAGTTGAATGTTTATCTATCTTTGCAGCAATGGTCGGAAATGCTAAATGTGCCTAACTGAATGTGAAGCAAACAATCTCTGCGTCAAATTAAACGAGACCAGTCACTTTTTTCCACCAGCCCTTACAGCGAAATAAGTTCACTACAGTCTCAGATCTATCGCAAAGCAAATCACGCTTACTTTTGTAACTCTGTGAGGACACAGAGGCAAATATTATGGACACAGCCAATGCAGTAAGTGCTTCCAACATCACGCTATTAGCTAATGTTGGTAGCTTCTAGGAGAAGGTCAGAAAATCACCAGGTTATGCTATGTTTTATTTATAGTAGAAAGGATATGGTTCAGTGGAATGGCAATATAACATTGTTTTATTTCGACGGGAAAAAGCAATATGACCGATAAATGTTTTAAAACCGTGGCAAAGAATCAGAATTGCTGCTTGATAGAAACAACATATTACAAAAGGTAAGACGCAAGGTTTGGTTTGTGAATTTATTACACGTTTGTAATGGAAGAAAGAGGTCAAATATGTTTAAGTCACCACAAGTATAAATTTTCATTCGAAATTGAGGTCCTGCCTCGTATGACCCTTTCATGGCATGCTCACTTATGACTGACCTGACGGTCAAGGTTATCCTCGTCAATCGCCTATAAAGCTGGTAAAGCAGTCTTTTTTCCAAATTTATATAGGTCGGTAAGGCAGTTTATTTTCAGTCCTAACATTAGGTCGGTCTCAAAGTTTGTGCTGTTTTTACACCTATGCACAAATCACTCAGAATAAAGATAGGCGAAGCTCTAAACGATAATCAATGCAAAATTTTTTCCCCTTTTAAGCAGTGTGGTTTTTGTTCCGAGTCTCCTTTGATGATCGCTCTAATAATTGTCAAATTCTCCAACTCTAATTTTTTTTACCTACCCTGGCTTCAGCTAAATTTTATATTCCCACTTCAGGCTTTTCGAAATGCCATGACAACATACAGATAGAGCAAGCGGAATGCAATACAATGCAGTTTTTTTATCAACTTTTTTTTGCTTCTAAATCTTTCAAAATTACTTTTTTGTTGTTATCAGATTATATAGTTGGGCATCCCAATTCTCATAGTACTGCAAACGGCAAACATCTAAGCTGTCATTGGATGGCTTTTTCTCCTCTTTGCGATACGTAGTATATCTTCCGTTTGTAAATTTTGCGGAAGATAACCGTCAGGATTCGTGCTTTTTGGACGCTTCCCGGCTGTGATTGGAAAATTCGAAATTCATTATTCCGAAGCGTTGAACATTCAGGCCTTGTATCAGCGTTTAATGACAATCAAGTTTTGCAAGTTTCAAATTTCGAGGATTTGTTAGCGTTTGAGGAATTTTTGTGTTTTACGGCTTCGCAAAAAAGAGGATCTTTGACAAAATTATTTTGAAAAATGTTGGAAAGCCAGTTTAAGGCACCCAAAAAATCTGTTGCATTGGATTTTGATTATTCCTTATTGTTAGCAGAGCTTCCAAAAGTTTGAAAGAAAATTATAAGACTTAACCAAAATTAGGGTAAATGAGGACCTTAAGTAGGAGATTCCGACGATTCAAGCGACCATCGAAGAACTCGGAACAAAAACGTGACTGTTGAAAAGAAGGAGCAATCTGCATTGAGAGGGGTTAGAGGCGCTTGCCTGTTTTATTTGATGATTTTAGGGTAGGTCAGAAAAACGGCACGAACTTTGAACCGACATTATAGACAAACTTTTTGACTGAATTCAGAAAAAGAAATGCAGATGGGTGATGCGCATGAGCGGCTAGCCTAAGCTGCTATCTAATTATACCACGGACAGAGAGCTCCAAACGATACTTTATAGACATCGGATAGGACGTGAAACAAACAACCTTTGTTTTCTGAAATGTAGCAACAGTGCACTTCAAGCTAAGTTAGTTATGGCGGTTCTGGAAAACTTTTTCGATAGTGACATGTAATCGGGACATGGTCTTTTTTCGATCAAATTAGATGACGTTCAGGCAAAATTTTCTATAGAGACTTTCTCACAATAGTTTCACAAAGCTTGTTTGAATTCATGTTGACTTTAACAAATCATTTGATTAACATAGTGTGTAATTGTTCGGATACCTGCTGGTGGAAAAGGCACCAGCATATTTTATAATATACGGAGATTATCAAAAAAATTGCTAGCCATTTCAGAAAAGGCGGTGCTGGTCTGCCACCATATATTATAAGCACTGAAAGATGACCACCGCCTAAATTGTATACAAAATGCTTATAGCTAGATTCTCTAGTGGTCAAAAGTCAAACGGGTCTCTAATCAATGTATCACCAACATCCTGAAAATAATCTTCAGTCAGGAAAAAAAGAGAAGAAAATGACACCGCCCATATGCTCCTAAGTTCCTCCCACACCATTATGTTCTGCATGCACTCAGAAGTATGATCATATCAACTGGTTTTGTGGTTTTTAGTATGAAAAAGAATTTGATAAATACTAATTAGGAACACAAGAAATTCAGTTCCTTTTTGGTTCATTTTCTACACTACACTTTTCTACATATATCTGTACCAATGTGCTGCTTGCTTCTAGGAGGTACTGAATTTGGTGTTGAAAGTGAAAAAAAAATCATGACACAACCTAATACTTAATTTCGATCACACGGTTTAAATTTGAAATGTTGTAACTTTTTTCAAAGCAGCGATTGTTAAATTTTTTTATCAAACAATTTGCGGTTACACTAGAGATATTATGATCACTATATAATATAACATCGAAAGCGGTTTGTGGGCGGCGTTTCGCCAGAAGTAGAACACGCACGAAGTGAGGAGCGAGCTCGACCGCAGAGAATTTTGGGGGCGTGGTCTCCCCGGGTGGCATTCGCAGCTGTACAGCCACACAGTACTGGCGTTCTTTCTAAAGCTCAGCAACTCAAGGAGAAGGGGGTATCAAGCACTTTTCCGTTGTATGTAGCAAATTGTGCAATGGTGCTAATACTTCAGCCCAACCACTGCTTGCGCTTTTCTTGCTCCGCAAATACTTGTTCGTTGCCTTCTTGAATGTCACAAAAACCATCATTCATGTCCACGTTCCCTATTTTTACCACTTTGATGGGAACTGAAGCTTTTTGATCTGGCATACAGACAGTCAGCAGCCTCTTAGTTCCACACCTCTGCTTACGAAATCATTTCGTTTACAAAATTTGGCCAGATTTTTGCCGAGCTGTGCCGTTGATACGTTATGTTTCATGACAGTGGCAAAGAAACACCTATTTTTGATGATTAAGTTCCAAAACGTTCTTAGGGACAACCTGTTTCTGATTCAAGACTAAGTTAGAGCTTTTTGATGAAAATTGACGCAAATAATCACAACTAGATTCACGGTGGTCAGTTCCAAAACTTATCTTATTAGCAGAAATACATGAGCTTCTGTTTATCGGCCTCTCAGATGACTTTATAAGCGAACTGATCCTGCTCCCCATGTCAATCTAATGGAAGATGAAGTTTTTTAATATAATATAATTAGATCGCATTACAACTTTTTTGCCAAAAAATCCTTGTTAGACTATATACATGTTTGATTTTGGTAGAGTTGAACGCACTTCGCTTGGTAGTGTATAATATTCTCCCAGTTAATAGCGAAAATTTTGAGAATTTGGCGATGACTGCTGTCAACTGATCCTTGGAATAGCACCAATACTCGGCCGTCGACCACAATGGACGCTGACTCATCGCGCTTGCTCTTCGTAGTAAGCTGGACGGGTCAGCCAATTTACATGTCTAGACCGTTGATCACCCCAGGAGCTGACTCATCATAGTTGATCTTTGCAAACCGAGCCAGCCATGCATACTCTAAACATTAACACTATAGGATGGTCATACTAGGGATCAAGACAGCTGCCGAATTCGCTGGGAACTCTAATGTTATTCAATAGAAGTGTTTTGATATAATACAGGGTGTCCGTAAAGTATGTATGCATTGTTTGATCGTTAATATCTCCGTTCCCAGGGGGTCTTTCGCCGAACTTTGAGCACCAAACTGTAGAGCTGGCTTCAACTTAGATTCGCAGTATGGAGCGAATCGCCGGTCTCCTCTCATTACTGTAGGATTACGGTAGGAACATCAAACAGCTTGAAAACTTCTACACTAGGCTAATTAGAATTGCTTATTCTAATTGTGAAATTTCTAACTTATTATGATGCTTCATTGAAGAGTTATGCCAGGTAAGAGGTAGCGGCCATTTTTTCAATGTTCCTAAAAAGTGCGTTTACACCGTTTAGAAAGCTTCGCAATCTTGTGAATAGTTGAGTATTGAACTCAGGGTCCATAAAAACCCTATTACACAAGTTTTCACATTTTTTTGAAAAATTTTGAAACGAAAGCTTTTTCCACATTGACACCATATGTTTCAAGTTTCTACCGTAATCCTACAGTAACAGTGAGTGATCGCTGATTCGCTCTATACTGTAGATCTAAGTTGAAGCCAGCTCTACAGTATGGTGCTTAAAGCTCGGCAAAAGACCCCCTGGGAACGGAGATATTAACGTTCAAACAGTGCATACATACTTTACGGACACCCTGTATAATACGCGTAAACTAGCCCAGCTTTCAAATGCAATTCCGCCACACATTTATTTTGCAATCAAAATTTTGTAACTTTCACTGAGCTGTGCAGTTCTTGAGCATTTATACACCAGGCACACTGCCATTAGATCGCATCGCAACTTTTTTTTGTCAAGAAATTTTTGTTAGACTATATACATGTTTGATTTTAATAGAGTTAGATGCACTTCGCTTGGCATATAATAGGCTCCTAGATATTAAATTGTGGGAATTTGGCGATGACTGCTGTTAACTGATCCTTGGAATAGCACCAATACTCGACCGTCGACCACAATGGATGCTGACTCATCGCGCTTGCTCTTCGTAGTAAGTTAGGACGGGTCAGCCAATTTACATGTCTAGACCGTTGATCACGCCAGGAGCTGACTCATCATAGTTGATCTTTGCAAACCGAGCCAGCCATGCGTGCTTTGAACATTAACACAATAGGATGATCATACATTAGGGGTCAGGAATTTGCTGGGATTGATACATTGCTCAGATCATGTCAGAATTGCAATCTATACAAGTGACCTTCACATTCTGAAAAGAAGTCAAAATGAGAGATACGACAATTCTCACTTTATCTCTTTCTATTCTGACCAAAATATCAAAGCTGCTAATCGCACGCCGCATTCAAGATTGAAAGCATTTATAGAACAAGTTTTGGTCAAGCTAACAAGCTAGAAAATATTCAGGACACATTTTAAAACAGAGAATACCTCCATTTGTTTTCATTGACTTTATCGAAAAATTCGATGC